CTACTGTACACACGGTGTTTAAACCCTGAACCCAGCTCTCACAGGGAGCAATCTGCAGTTTTACATTTTCAAAATAGTTCACTTTGTGTGATTTATGAACCATTATCCTCATGGGGACTAAAAAAGGTTGAAAATTACTGGCATTGTTATACTTGTGGGGACATTTGGCCCCACCAAAATGCAAGCAATAATAGGTATACACACACACACGCACACACACAGACACACGCACACACACACAGACACACGCAATATACCTGGACTGGGCTTATGGGTCAGATAGTCCATTGTGAATCTGTAGACATCATTGGTCTGTACCGATGTGAGTTTGCTGAATACATCATCACAGCCTCTCACACTACCAAGACAGAAGAAAGGATGCATGATTAAACTGATGCACGACTTTGATTGCTTCTTTAAGAAATTGAGTAAAATTCTGAGAAAAAATCTTCAGACTCTGATGTGTAAAATTTCCATCTCTGCACAAACCAGACACTCTCCATCCAATACTAATGTTAGGTACAAGATTCAAAATCATCAGGATAAATATTGTATTATTAAAATCGCAGTCAAACATTTTTTGAAACATGTATTCAACTCAATTCAATTATTCAGAGAACACATGAACACTATCATCTACCACAACCATCTACCCATCCTCAAATTCAAATACAACATCTTGCAAGAAAGCAGCCCTAAGTACAATATGTGTGCAAGGCTGCGTGTGAGGTTAGACGTAGTGATGGGCAGGGCCGGATTAACCAATGGGCATTATGGGCACACACTGCACATACTCTCCATCACGAGGAAGACAAGTAGGAATCATTAATAAGTGTGTGTTATGGAGGACTCAGATTCTTAGAACTGGATTGGAGAGGTGTAATCCAAATCATATGCGTTATAAGTTTGTAGAAGTTATACATTAAAAATACCTTAAATATAAATTTTAGTGCTGCTTCAGTGAACTTGAACAAGTATATTAAAATCCATCAATTTCCCCGAGTTGTATTAGTATTTTTTCAAAGTGTTCTTTAACTGCTTTAAAAATAAGTTAAATCTCTGTAGACTAGAAATATATGTACTGTATATCATTTATTAAAAAAAAATGTGGGCAATACATTACAGATTAATTTTATTTAACAAATATTATACTAATCTTATTTTTTTCATTAAAATATGGGGTGCGGCTATAGGGGGCCTACAAGACATTGTGCCCAGGGGCCTCTGAATTATTAATCCGGGCCTGGTGATGGGAAATTCAGATTTCTGACGCGGATGTTTGGACTCAACATTATGTAGTCAGCAATAGTCATTTCAGTCAGTTTAAACATCAACATGATCTGAAAAATGTCTTACAGTAAAGTTTTACTAACTGTAAACCCAACTGCTGCACTTATTTAAATTTCATTACCATTGTCTGTTATGAAATAAACTTACGTTTTTCTCCAGATGCTCTCATTTAAGCCCTCGGTTTACCCGCGCTGCAGTTGTTCAAAGTTCAGTTCAGTCATACAGCAGGATGTGTCGTTTGTGTTTGGTTCACTGAATTACGCATGCGCAGTATTATCGGTTCAACGCCACTCACTGTAACGTTGCTATTCTAATTATTGAATGAGAGCGTACATTGGATTTTTTAGAGTCAGAGGGGGTATTAGGCTTGTTATTAAGCAAGAAGTGGGTGAATAAGTGCTTAATGGAGACGCGAATCATTTCAAATGATTCAGTTCGATTTGGTGAACTTGTTCAACCGGTTCACTTAGAAGATCCGGTTAAAAAGATTCGTTCGCGATCGCGATACAGAAATAAAACCCATTATTGGGCACAAATGTGTTAAAGTAATAGTTTTAAGTCTCTGTATTTAATGCTGTCACCGTGCTGCTGTCATGTCCACTCGTTTTTGTCGCGGGAGCAACAGAGAGGATGAGGAGAACCGGCTCGATCTGGCCAATGACGGCAGGAGACTCTGAGGTGCGAAAGGGTCAAACACAAACACCTGCAGCGCGGGTATATTTACTTCTAAAATGCTTACAGTAAGATTATGCATCACATACAGTTACAAATACGAAAACGAAGGAGGTTTTTGCTATAATTCTAGTTAGTTTCAGTTAGTTTTGTATGTATATCCCTGCAGAAAATCCAGCTTAAACCAGCCTAGGCTGGTTGGCTGGTTTTAGCTGGTCGACCAGGATGGTTTTAGAGGGGTTTTGGCCATTTCCAGCCTGGTTTTAGCTGGTCAGGCTGGAAACTGACCGGCTAAATCGAGTTAAAACCAGCTTGACCAGCCTGGTTTACGCTGGACATAGCTGGTTTTGGCTGGGCTCCCAGCCTGGCTAGGCTGGTTAAGCTGGTTTTAGCTGGTCATCTCCCTGCCTGACCAGCTAAGACCAGGCTGGAAATGGCTGAAAACCAGCCTGGAAATGGCCAAAACCCCTCTAAAACCAGCCTGGTTGACAAGCTAAAACCAGCTAACCAGCCTAGGCTGGTTTAAGCTGTTTTTTTTCAGTACAATACATTTTCAGTTAGTTCTAGTTTTTGAAAAAACTCTCGTTTTTGTTTTTATTTCAGTTAATGACAATTATTTTACATTTTAGTTTTCGTTTTTTCGTTTGTTCGTAATAACTAGGCACTGATAGACTGAATGTGACGATTTATTGTTAATAACTAGGCACTGATAGACTGAATGTGACGGTTTATTGTTAATAACTGGGCACTGATAGACTGAATGTGACGATTTATTGTTAATAACTAGGCACTGATAGACTGAATGTGACGATTTATTGTTAATAACTAGGCACTGATAGACTGAATGTGACGGTTTATTGTTAATAACTAGGCACTGATAGACTGAATGTGACGGTTTATTGTTAATAACTAGGCACTGATAGACTGAATGTGACGGTTTATTGTTAATAACTAGGCACTGATAGACTGAATGTGACGGTTTATTGTTAATAACTAGGCACTGATAGACTGAATGTGACGGTTTATTGTTAATAACTAGGCACTGATAGACTGAATGTGACGGTTTATTGTTAATAACTAGGCACTGATAGACTGAATGTGACGGTTTATTGTTAACAACTACTGTGTGTTTTTCAAGGAGAAAATCATATCTGAAATGCTTAATGAATGAGGGGAATCATTGCACTTGACAGCAAATAGCACGAGCATTATTCATCCATTGTAGACTACTTTGGTTAAAGGTGGCTACCATAGGAAGCAACTAGAAGACTTTCTTTGTTTGAGAGAATACTTCATCACAGAGACATTTCGGCAAATCAGGTAGTGCTCACATTTCTGTGTAAGAATCGCAGCTGATGGTCAAGGGGATGACAGAGAGGGTGTTTGGCCCGATCCCAGGGAGGAAAATGCGAAGGTAAGTCTGGAACCAATCAGCAAATGTCTGCGGAATGAAGTTTTGGAATCTGTTCTCCAGGGCCACCAGTGTCATGTTCAGAATGACGCTGCTCACAGTAGTGCTGACACTAAAGACGTTCCTCTGGAAAACAAAATAGAAAAGATACGGTGAAAAGTCAAAACAAGCAAACAAAAAACATTACAGCTAAATTCAACACTAAAAACATTCTCACCTGTGCAGACATGCTAGTGAATGTGATGAAGAACTGTTTTAACTGGTTTTGAGAGTTTACAACAGATGCAAAGAGTTGTCTGACAGAGGTTTCGTCCTCCAGGAGACCCGGGATCAGGATACGCTCAACCTTCTGTTCATCAGTTAGAGAGCCAAACACGGCTTCCTGCACAGAGAAGGAGACACCATTGGCCTGTCTGTGCTGACTGAATCCAAGACCATTTGCAAGAGTGTGATTTTAACTTTACCGATGAGATGTTGAATGCGGCTAGGTCCGAATAAGGCACATAGTTGAAGAACTGACCAAGGTTCATTTGCAGCCAGTCAGAATCATTTGTGATGCCCTGTTTGCAGGCTGCAGATTATAGATACAGTTTTATAGCTCATTAAATTAGATTTTTCATAGAGTAACTTGTCAAGATAACTCAATTGTTAATAATATTATTAATGTAAGCAGAGATCTTGATTTATTGTTTTAATAATACAAGTGGAAATACCTGGCTGATTGATCTGGTAGACAATTTGTTTAAGGTGTGCCACTAGACCTGCAGCAATTTCCTTTCTTCTTTGGACAGGCATTTGAGAATAAACCTTACTAAGACCTTTAACACTGTAAATGACATGAGATTAACAAGATGTGTACTGTTCATTGCATTGAAATAAACACACAAAGCAAAATCAACATCTTCTGGACAGTTTTAGTGTTTTAAAGGATTTGCAAAAATATATATGCATTTAATCAGTCCAAGATAAAAAAATATAAAGATAGGACTTCAACCTTTGAGAGATGTACTTTAAATTATTCACTGATAAGTAATAGCAACTATTGTGAAGCCATGAATGTGAATGTGCATAAAAAAATTCACTGACTGACGGAGGAATATTTTAAAGAGCTACAGAAACATTTACAAATATCACTCACATCACACGGTAGTCGGTGCAGTTGACTGAAGCTGTGACCTTAACCAGCATTTCTGTGGTGAAACTGGGGAGGATGGGAACGAGATTCACGGTGAACCACACCACCCAATCGTGAGTCTCAAATTTCCGGAAATAGCCTTCAATGATTGCGAAGGTGCGGTTCATCATCACGTCACTCACAGCAGGGCTGATGACAGGAATCTGTAGAGACACAACAACAGGAGTGTGAGTGGCACCGCAAGAAAGCCGCCTATTCTACACCTTTCTCTGGGGCATCCACACGGTCTATGCCACACATTTCAGCAGATTGACTTGCCTCTGGAGCTGCATTTAGTTCTGTCAGAAATTCCTTCATGTTCAGGAAAGCGTCGCCTTTCTCCAGCCGGTCAAACACAACCACGATCTGATCAGTGTTGTTTAGCGCTCCAGAGCTCAGGGTGATTTCAGCTACTTGAGTAGGGTTCAGCAGTGACAGCGATCCCAACTGAAGGACAAGATAGAGAGCAGAAGTTAGCGCAGGTGAAGCCCTTCACTTGAAAAAGACAGAAGATTCATCATGACAGATCACATGGACAACTGGAGAAAGGCATCAGGTACGCACACTGGAGAAATTCACATTCAGGGCTTCTAAAAACTCCACAGTAGCATAGCCAGAGAACAGGCCAAAGTTCTTCTCAAGCCATTCAGCGCTGCTCGTCATTTTGGAAAGACAGGCAGCATCTGCAGTGAACCAAGAGCATTGGAAAATTCAACAGAAACAGTGCAATTGTAAGCAAGCTGCAAAATTTGCCACAACCTCAGACGTTAAAAGATACCCTGGCAACTACAACAAGATGGGTGATGAAGCTTGACAGTGACAGGGCTTACCTGTTCGGTCAGCTCTTGAGAGGAAGGGTTTGATGAAAGCATTGAAGACGTCCTGTTTTGTCTCCATTGCCATGAGCGATGATTGACGGCTGAGACCCAGCACCCTAAATAGGCAAAGAATGGTGGCCATTATGGATTGCCAGACTTCTCTCTCCTAAGCACCACTTCAGCACTTCCACAGCATTGAGGTTACTTACGCTGCTTGGTAGGAGTCACAGCTGAAGTTCTTGGTACTCAAGCAGGATAGAAACTCCACAGAGACAGATGGCAAAAACGGTCTCAGACGCTCCTGGAACCAGGCTGTAATGAAGCTGGCATTTGTCAGCTGTGAAGCGCTAAAGTTGCTGATTGTCAGCTGTCCAATGGCATCCAGAATGTTGGATACAGCATGACCGTTGCTTAGGTTCTGGGAAAGCAAAGGGCACATATGTCACACACGTGTCAAAACAGAGCCCTGTGGCAGTGTTTCACTTGTGTACTGGAAAATGCAGGGCTGCTACTGACCTGACTGGAGTACACGGACAGCGCATTCTCCAGAACCCCAGTGACTTTCTGGAAGAAAAGCTTCCACATCTCTGTGCTGTTGCTCATGACCGTTGATGCCTTGCAGGTCAGCAGCGTGACGAGGTCATCAGAGGACAGAGAGGACGCAACCTTGGGGGGGGAAGCGGACAGATTTGTGCTGTTAGAGAAAAAGGTCTCTTTACAATTAACAGTCATACTGCTGCACGCTTCAGGAAAGGCTTACTGAAGAGCAGGCATATTCAGGAATGCTGAAGTTGCAGAGTTGAGCCGCGACGCTGCCTGATGTCTGAAGTTTTTCACTGCAAGGCACAAAAGCATGTTGTCCATTTACACCTCTGTTTTAAATCTTACCTCATTTCTCAGTAGACACCACAATGAAACTCACCTGTTTACACCTGCACAAAGCCTTTCCTCTGCAAAAAAGGCCAGAAAAGTTATCAGTAGCAGATCTTTATAGCCATCTCACAATATTATTAAAACTGAAAACATTTAGCAATCTTTGTTCCGACTCACCATCGATCAATGTTTCCTCGCACTGGTGAGAGGTGAGACAAAGCAAAAATTAGAGAAAAGAATTAGGAAGAGCTTATCTTGGGCTTATCCTGACTCAAACAGAATGCCAACAGATGAAGTACTTACAACAGCGGTGGGGGACACGGTCGGTGGTGCAGTTGGTGGTACTGTGGATGGTGTGGTGGATGGCAAGGTGGGGGGCACTGTGGAGAGTGTGGTAGTTGTTGCAGTGGGTGGTACTGTGGATGGTGTGGTGGATGGCAAGGTGGGGGTTGCAGTGGGTGGAGCAATAGGTGGCACAGTGTTTTTAGCAGTGGGTGGCATACTGTATGGCAGTGTGGGGGGTGTGGTGGGTGGTGCAGTGGCTGCTACTGTGGATGGTGTAATGGATGGCATGGTGGGAGATGCAGTGGGTGGAGCAATAGCTGTCGCAGTGTTTAGAGCAGTGGGTGGCATGGTGTATGGCAGCGTAGGGGGCGCTGTAGGGGGTGTGGTGGGTGGTGCAGTGGGTGCTACCATGGATAGTGTAGTGGATGCCATGGTGGGAGATGAAGTGGGTGGGGCAATAACTGTTGCAGTGTTTAGAGCAGTGGGTGGCATGGTGTATGGCAGCGTGGGGGGTACTGTAGAAGATGTGGTGGGTGGTGCAGTGGTTGGAGCAATAGGTGGCACAGTGTTTGGAGAAGTGGGTGGCACGGTGTATGGCAGCGTGGGGGGTACTGTGGGAGCTGTGGTGGGTGGTGCAGTAGGTGGTACTGTGGATGGTGTAATGGATGGCATAGTGGGAGAAGCAGTGGGTGGAGCAATAGCTGTCGCAGTGTTTAGAGCAGTGGGTGGCATGGTGTATGGCAGCATGGGGGGTTCTGTAGAAGATGTGGTGGGTGGTGCAGTGGTTGGAGAAATAGATGGCACAGTGTTTGGAGAAGTGGGTGGCACGGTGTATGGCAGTGTGGGGGGTACTGTGGGGGGTGTGGTGGGTGGTGCAGTGGGTGCTACTGTGGATAGTGTAGTGGATGACATGGTGGGAGATGCAGTGGGTGGAGCAATAGCTGTCGCAGTGTTTAGAGCAGTGGGTGGCATGGTGTATGGCACCGTGGGGGGTACTGTGGTGGGTGGTGCAGTGGGTGGTACTGTAATAGGTGTGGTGGATAGCATGGTGGGGGTTGCAGTAGGTGAAGCAATAGGTGGCGCAGTGTTTGGAGCAGTGTTTGGCATTGTGTATGGCAGCGTGGGGGCTGCTGTAGGGGGTGTGGTGGGTGGTGCAGTGGGTGGAACAATGGGTGGCACAGTGTTTGGAGAAGTGGGTAGCATGGTGTATGTCAGTGTGGGGAGTACTGTGAGGGTGGTGGGTGGTGCAGTGGGTGGTACCGTGGATGGTGTGGTGGATGGCATAGTGGGGGTTGCAGTGGGTTGAGCAATCGGTGGCCCAGTGTTTGGAGCAGTTGGTGTCAAAGTGTATGGCATGGTGGGGGGCACTGTGGGGGGTGTGGTGGGTGGTGGAGTCGTGCAGGCTAAAGAGAGAAGCCAAGACAAGAGATATTGGTCAATAGGAGGCAACTCTCATGACGCTGACATATTCAAATACATGTGGTCACAATTTGTTGGCTTTTCTCACCGCCCAGGCACTGCCAAAGTATTCCAGCAGCTTTACTGATGCCATACCTTTTGGTGGTGAATGTTGAAGTTTGTCTACACTTGAATTTAGCTCTACTCCAACTCCTGACGGAAGATCTGCCAAAGCTATCTTCATGCCTTCCAGTCTGTCAAAACAAACAACATTGCTCAATCTCCACTTTTATTTCTACAGAATGATTGAGAAATTAAAGCCAAGGGGGCTGGTTTGCTCACATTGCTTGGTAAGATTCGCATGTGATGTTGGCAGGGATGACTTCCAGCACTGTAGGACTGAAGCTGGCCAGCAGGACCACCAGATTGGTTTGGAACCACAGCTCATAGTCGCTTGTTTCAAATAGGGGAAGTTTGGGAGCCAGGGCAGTCATGGTCAGATTCAGCATTGTGTCTCGGACAGCCACATTTTCGATGTAGGTTATACTTTCCTGAAGGGGTGGAGGAAGGAGGGGTTGCTGTTGGCTTGTTTAAATATCTAAAATCCGGTTCAGCTCATAAAGGTTAGTCACTCTGAAGACCTACCTACAAACATTACTCACCACTTTGCTGACTTTCACAAATGTTTCAAAAAACATCTCAAGTTGTTTCTCATCTGGAGACGTCAGTATGCTGGTCAACACCTCCTGTACCACGGTGACATTGTCTAGAGCATCGGTGGATGGATCCAACAGTAGCTCTGCTTTCTGATCGGGTGCTAGGGATCCCAGAGCTGCCAACTAAGATGAACAAAGCAAAAACACAACACCAGAGGACATTATGCAAGACCGCCAGTGCTTTGGTGCCTGACCTAAACCAAGCAAACAAACAACAACAACAAAACTGTAGAAAGGAAAGATAAGAAAAAGATGGTACGTTACCATGCTAATGTTCAGGGACTTGAGGTCTGAGTAACTAGCTAAAGAGGAGAATCGACCCAAGTTGGTGTCGAGCCATTCAGCAGCGCTTTCAGTTTTCTGTCTGCAACCTGATTTTTTAAAGACAAGGATGGAGGAAGGTCAGCCTGCATCATGCACACAACAGGGGACACAACACACACCCTGGCCTGTTGTCTAAGAAAAAATATTTATATTGCAACCCATTCCCTTCCAGCAACAAGGAGATGCTGGAAAAAGGTGTTCTGGAAGGTTTACCTGGCATGCTGAATTTGGCAGCAGTTGTCTTTAGGTGCTCGACCAGAACATTGGTTATCTCCTGCCTCCTGGTAAATGTCATTCTCTGGAAATTGATTCCCAATCCCTTAACTCTGCAACACAAAGCCAAAGAGGGGTCATGAGGTGGAGATCCTGGTGCAGGCTGAAAAACATTCTCACTCTGAAGTTAGAAACTCACATCACACGGTAGTCGGTGCAGTTGACTGAAGCTGTGACCTTAACCAGCATTTCTGTGGTGAAACTGGGGAGGATGGGAACGAGATTCACGGTGAACCACACCACCCAATCGTGAGTCTCAAATTTCCGGAAATAGCCTTCAATGATTGCGAAGGTGCGGTTCATCATCACGTCACTCACAGCAGGGCTGATGACAGGAATCTGTAGAGACACAACAACAGGAGTGTGAGTGGCACCGCAAGAAAGCCTCCTATTCTACACCTTTCTCTGGGGCATCCACACGGTCTATGCCACACATTTCAGCAGATTGACTTGCCTCTGGAGCTGCATTTAGTTCTGTCAGAAATTCCTTCATGTTCAGGAAAGCGTCGCCTTTCTCCAGCCGGTCAAACACAACCACGATCTGATCAGTGTTGTTTAGCGCTCCAGAGCTCAGGGTGATTTCAGCTACTTGAGTAGGGTTCAGCAGTGACAGCGATCCCAACTGAAGGACAAGATAGAGAGCAGAAGTTAGCGCAGGTGAAGCCCTTCACTTGAAAAAGACAGAAGATTCATCATGACAGATCACATGGACAACTGGAGAAAGGCATCAGGTACGCACACTGGAGAAATTCACATTCAGGGCTTCTAAAAACTCCACAGTAGCATAGCCAGAGAACAGGCCAAAGTTCTTCTCAAGCCATTCAGCGCTGCTCGTCATTTTGGAAAGACAGGCAGCATCTGCAGTGAACCAAGAGCATTGGAAAATTCAACAGAAACAGTGCAATTGTAAGCAAGCTGCAAAATTTGCCACAACCTCAGACGTTAAAAGATACCCTGGCAACTACAACAAGATGGGTGATGAAGCTTGACAGTGACAGGGCTTACCTGTTCGGTCAGCTCTTGAGAGGAAGGGTTTGATGAAAGCATTGAAGACGTCCTGTTTTGTCTCCATTGCCATGAGCGATGATTGACGGCTGAGACCCAGCACCCTAAATAGGCAAAGAATGGTGGCCATTATGGATTGCCAGACTTCTCTCTCCTAAGCACCACTTCAGCACTTCCACAGCATTGAGGTTACTTACGCTGCTTGGTAGGAGTCACAGCTGAAGTTCTTGGTAGTCAAGCAGGATAGAAACTCCACAGAGACAGATGGCAAAAACGGTCTCAGACGCTCCTGGAACCAGGCTGTAATGAAGCTGGCATTTGTCAGCTGTGAAGCGCTAAAGTTGCTGATTGTCAGCTGTCCAATGGCATCCAGAATGTTGGATACAGCATGACCGTTGCTTAGGTTCTGGGAAAGCAAAGGGCACATATGTCACACACGTGTCAAAACAGAGCCCTGTGGCAGTGTTTCACTTGTGTACTGGAAAATGCAGGGCTGCTACTGACCTGACTGGAGTACACGGACAGCGCATTCTCCAGAACCCCAGTGACTTTCTGGAAGAAAAGCTTCCACATCTCTGTGCTGTTGCTCATGACCGTTGATGCCTTGCAGGTCAGCAGCGTGACGAGGTCATCAGAGGACAGAGAGGACGCAACCTTGGGGGGGGAAGCGGACAGATTTGTGCTGTTAGAGAAAAAGGTCTCTTTACAATTAACAGTCATACTGCTGCACGCTTCAGAAAAGGCTTACTGAAGAGCAGGCATATTCAGGAATGCTGAAGTTGCAGAGTTGAGCCGCGACGCTGCCTGATGTCTGAAGTTGTTCACTGCAAGGCACAAAAGCATGTTGTCCATTTACACCTCTGTTTTAAATCTTACCTCATTTCTCAGTAGACACCACAATGAAACTCACCTGTCTACACCTGCACAAAGCCTTTCCTCTGCAAAAAAGGCCAGAAAAGTTATCAGTGGCAGATCTTTATAGCCATCTCACAATATTATTAAAACTGAAAACATTTAGCAATCTTTGTTCCGACTCACCATTGATCAATGTTTCCTCGCACTGGTGAGAGGTGAGACAAAGCAAAAATTAGAGAAAAGAATTAGGAAGAGCTTATCTTGGGCATAATGCCACCAGATGAAGTACTTACAACAGCGGTGGGGGACACGGTCGGTGGTGCAGTGGGTGGTACTAGGGACGGTGTGGTGGATGGCATGGTGGGGGGCACTGTGGGGGGTGTGGTGGGTGGTGGAGTCGTGCAGGCTAAAGAGAGAAGCCAAGACAAGAGATATTGGTCGATGGGAGGCAACTCTCATGACGCTGACATATTCAAATACATGTGGTCACAATTTGTTGGCTTTTCTCACCGCCCAGGCACTGCCTAAGCATTCCAGCAGCTTTACTGATGCCATACCTTTTGGTGGTGAATGTTGAAGTGTGTCTACACTTGAATTTAGCTCTACTCCAATTCCTGACGGAAGATCTGCCAAAGCTATCTTCATGCCTTCCAGTCTGTCAAACCAAACAACATTGCTCAATCTCCACTTTTATTTCTACAGAACGATTGAGAAATTAAAGCCAAGGGGGCTGGTTTGCTCACATTGCTTGGTAAGATTCGCATGTGATGTTGGCAGGGATGACTTCCAGCACTGTAGGACTGAAGCTGGCCAGCAGGACCACCAGATTGGTTTGGAACCACAGCTCATAGTCGCTTGTTTCAAATAGGGGAAGTTTGGGAGCCAGGGCAGTCATGGTCAGATTCAGCATTGTGTCTCGGACAGCCACATTTTCGATGTAGGTTATACTTTCCTGAAGGGGTGAAGGAAGGAGGGGTTGCTGTTGGCTTTTTTAAATATCTAAAATCCGGTTCAGCTCATAAAGGTTAGTCACTCTGAAGACCTACCTACAAACATTACTCACCACTTTGCTGACTTTCACAAATGTTTCAAAAAACATCTCAAGTTGTTTCTCATCTGGAGACGTCAGTATGCTGGTCAACACCTCCTGTACCACGGTGACATTGTCTAGAGCATCGGTGGATGGATCCAACAGTAGCTCTGCTTTCTGATCGGGTGCTAGGGATCCCAGAGCTGCCAACTAAGATGAACAAAGCAAAAACACAACACCAGAGGACATTATGCAAGACCGCCAGTGCTTTGGTGCCTGACCTAAACCAAGCAAACAAACAACAACAACAAAACTGTAGAAAGGAAAGATAAGAAAAAGATGGTACGTTACCATGCTAATGTTCAGGGACTTGAGGTCTGAGTAACTGGCTAAAGAGGAGAATCGACCCAAAATGGTGTCGAGCCATTCAGCAGCGCTTTCAGTTTTCTGTCTGCAACCTGATTTTTTAAAGACAAGGATGGAGGAAGGTCAGCCTGCATCATGCACACAACAGGGGACACAACACACACCCTGGCCTGTTGTCTAAGAAAAAATATTTATATTGCAACCCATTCCCTTCCAGCAACAAGGAGATGCTGGAAAAAGGTGTTCTGGAAGGTTTACCTGGCATGCTGAATTTGGCAGCAGTTGTCTTTAGGTGCTCGACCAGAACATTGGTTATCTCCTGCCTCCTGGTAAATGTCATTCTCTGGAAATTGATTCCCAATCCCTTAACTCTGCAACACAAAGCCAAAGAGGGGTCATGAGGTGGAGATCCTGGTGCAGGCTGAAAAACATTCTCACTCTGAAGTTAGTAACTCACATCACACGGTAGTCGGTGCAGTTGACTGAAGCTGTGACCTTAACCAGCATTTCTGTGGTGAAACTGGGGAGGATGGGAACGAGATTCACGGTGAACCACACCACCCAATCGTGAGTCTCAAATTTCCGGAAATAGCCTTCAATGATTGCGAAGGTGCGGTTCATCATCACGTCACTCACAGCAGGGCTGATGACAGGAATCTGTAGAGACACAACAACAGGAGTGTGAGTGGCACCGCAAGAAAGCCTCCTATTCTACACCTTTCTCTGGGGCATCCACACGGTCTATGCCACACATTTCAGCAGATTGACTTGCCTCTGGAGCTGCATTTAGTTCTGTCAGAAATTCCTTCATGTTCAGGAAAGCATCGCCTTTCTCCAGCCGGTCAAACACAACCACGATCTGATCAGTGTTGTTTAGCGCTCCAGAGCTCAGGGTGATTTCAGCTACTTGAGTAGGGTTCAGCAGTGACAGCGATCCCAACTGAAGGACAAGATAGAGAGCAGAAGTTAGCGCAGGTGAAGCCCTTCACTTGAAAAAGACAGAAGATTCATCATGACAGATCACATGGACAACTGGAGAAAGGCATCAGGTACGCACACTGGAGAAATTCACATTCAGGGCTTCTAAAAACTCCACAGTAGCATAGCCAGAGAACAGGCCAAAGTTCTTCTCAAGCCATTCAGCGCTGCTCGTCATTTTGGAAAGACAGGCAGCATCTGCAGTGAACCAAGAGCATTGGAAAATTCAACAGAAACAAAATTTGCCACAACCTCAGACGTTAAAAGATACCCTGGCAACTACAACAAGATGGGTGATGAAGCTTGACAGTGACAGGGCTTACCTGTTCGGTCAGCTCTTGAGAGGAAGGGTTTGATGAAAGCATTGAAGACGTCCTGTTTTGTCTCCATTGCCATGAGCGATGATTGACGGCTGAGACCCAGCACCCTAAATAGGCAAAGAATGGTGGCCATTATGGATTGCCAGACTTCTCTCTCCTAAGCACCACTTCAGCACTTCCACAGCATTGAGGTTACTTACGCTGCTTGGTAGGAGTCACAGCTGAAGTTCTTGGTACTCAGGCAGGATAGAAACTCCACAGAGACAGATGGCAAAAATGGTCTCAGACGCTCCTGGAACCAGGCTGTAATGAAGCTGGCATTTGTCAGCTGTGAAGCGCTAAAGTTGCTGATTGTCAGCTGTCCAATGGCATCCAGAATGTTGGATACAGCATGACCGTTGCTTAGGTTCTGGGAAAGCAAAGGGCACATATGTCACACACGTGTCAAAACAGAGCCCTGTGGCAGTGTTTCACTTGTGTACTGGAAAATGCAGGGCTGCTACTGACCTGACTGGAGTACACGGACAGCGCATTCTCCAGAACCCCAGTGACTTTCTGGAAGAAAAGCTTCCACATCTCTGTGCTGTTGCTCATGACCGTTGATGCCTTGCAGGTCAGCAGCGTGACGAGGTCATCAGAGGACAGAGAGGACGCAACCTTGGGGGGGAAGCGGACAGATTTGTGCTGTTAGAGAAAAAGGTCTCTTTACAATTAACAGTCATACTGCTGCACGCTTCAGGAAAGGCTTACTGAAGAGCAGGCATATTCAGGAATGCTGAAGTTGCAGAGTTGAGCCGCGACGCTGCCTGATGTCTGAAGTTGTTCACTGCAAGGCACAAAAGCATGTTGTCCATTTACACCTCTGTTTTAAATCTTACCTCATTTCTCAGTAGACACCACAATGAAACTCACCTGTCTACACCTGCACAAAGCCTTTCCTCTGCAAAAAAGGCCAGAAAAGTTATCAGTGGCAGATCTTTATAGCCATCTCACAATATTATTAAAACTGAAAACATTTAGCAATCTTTGTTCCGACTCACCATCGATCAATGTTTCCTCGCACTGGTGAGAGGTGAGACAAAGCAAAAATTAAAGAAAAGAATTAGGAAGAGCTTATCTTGGGCATAATGCCACCAGATGAAGTACTTACAACAGCGGTGGGGGACACGGTCGGTGGTGCAGTGGGTGGTACTGGGGACGGTGTGGTGGATGGCATGGTGGGGGGCACTGTGGGGGGTGTGGTGGGTGGTGGAGTCGTGCAGGCTAAAGAGAGAAGCCAAGACAAGAGATATTGGTCGATGGGAGGCAACTCTCATGACGCTGACATATTCAAATACATGTGGTCACAATTTGTTGGCTTTTCTCACCGCCCAGGCACTGCCTAAGCATTCCAGCAGCTTTACTGATGCCATACCTTTTGGTGGTGAATGTTGAAGTGTGTCTACACTTGAATTTAGCTCTACTCCAACTCCTGACGGAAGATCTGCCAAAGCTATCTTCATGCCTTCCAGTCTGTCAAAACAAACAACATTGCTCAATCTCCACTTTTATTTCTACAGAACGATTGAGAAATTAAAGCCAAGGGGGCTGGTTTGCTCACATTGCTTGGTAAGATTCGCATGTGATGTTGGCAGGGATGACTTCCAGCACTGTAGGACTGAAGCTGGCCAGCAGGACCACCAGATTGGTTTGGAACCACAGCTCATAGTCGCTTGTTTCAAATAGGGGAAGTTTGGGAGCCAGGGCAGTCATGGTCAGATTCAGCATTGTGTCTCGGACAGCCACATTTTCGATGTAGGTTATACTTTCCTGAAGGGGTGGAGGAAGGAGGGGTTGCTGTTGGCTTGTTTAAATATCTAAAATCCGGTTCAGCTCATAAAGGTTAGTCACTCTGAAGACCTACCTACAAACATTACTCACCACTTTGCTGACTTTCACAAATGTTTCAAAAAACATCTCAAGTTGTTTCTCATCTGGAGACGTCAGTATGCTGGTCAACACCTCCTGTACCACGGTGACATTGTCTAGAGCATCGGTGGATGGATCCAACAGTAGCTCTGCTTTCTGATCGGGTGCTAGGGATCCCAGAGCTGCCAACTAAGATGAACAAAGCAAAAACACAACACCAGAGGACATTATGCAAGACCGCCAGTGCTTTGGTGCCTGACCTAAACCAAGCAAACAAACAACAACAACAAAACTGTAGAAAGGAAAGATAAGAAAAAGATGGTACGTTACCATGCTAATGTTCAGGGACTTGAGGTCTGAGTAACTGGCTAAAGAGGAGAATCGACCCAAGTTGGTGTCGAGCCATTCAGCAGCGCTTTCAGTTTTCTGTCTGCAACCTGATTTTTTAAAGACAAGGATGGAGGAAGGTCAGCCTGCATCATGCACACAACAGGGGACACAACACACACCCTGGCCTGTTGTCTAAGAAAAAATATTTATATTGCAACCCATTCCCTTCCAGCAACAAGGAGATGCTGGAAAAAGGTGTTCTGGAAGGTTTACCTGGCATGCTGAATTTGGCAGCAGTTGTCTTTAGGTGCTCGACCAGAACATTGGTTATCTCCTGCCTCCTGGTAAATGTCATTCTCTGGAAATTGATTCCCAATCCCTTAACTCTGCAACACAAAGCCAAAGAGGGGTCATGAGGTGGAGATCCTGGTGCAGGCTGAAAAACATTCTCACTCTGAAGTTAGTAACTCACATCACACGGTAGTCGGTGCAGTTGACTGAAGCTGTGACCTTAACCAGCATTTCTGTGGTGAAACTGGGGAGGATGGGAACGAGATTCACGGTGAACCACACCACCCAATCGTGAGTCTCAAATTTCCGGAAATAGCCTTCAATGATTGCGAAGGTGCGGTTCATCATCACGTCACTCACAGCAGGGCTGATGACAGGAATCTGTAGAGACACAACAACAGGAGTGTGAGTGGCACCGCAAGAAAGCCGCCTATTCCACACCTTTCTCTGGGGCATCCACACGGTCTATGCCACACATTTCAGCAGATTGACTTGCCTCTGGAGCTGCATTTAGTTCTGTCAGAAATTCCTTCATGTTCAGGAAAGCGTCGCCTTTCTCCAGCCGGTCAAACACAACCACGATCTGATCAGTGTTGTTTAGCGCTCCAGAGCTCAGGGTGATTTCAGCTACTTGAGTAGGGTTCAGCAGTGACAGCGATCCCAACTGAAGGACAAGATAGAGAGCAGAAGTTAGCGCAGGTGAAGCCCTTCACTTGAAAAAGACAGAAGATTCATCATGACAGATCACATGGACAACTGGAGAAAGGCATCAGGTACGCACACTGGAGAAATTCACATTCAGGGCTTCTAAAAACTCCACAGTAGCATAGCCAGAGAACAGGCCAAAGTTCTTCTCAAGCCATTCAGCGCTGCTCGTCATTTTGGAAAGACAGGCAGCATCTGCAGTGAACCAAGAGCATTGGAAAATTCAACAGAAACAGTGCAATTGTAAGCAAGCTGCAAAATTTGCCACAACCTCAGACGTTAAAAGATACCCTGGCAACTACAACAAGATGGGTGATGAAGCTTGACAGTGACAGGGCTTACCTGTTCGGTCAGCTCTTGAGAGGAAGGGTTTGATGAAAGCATTGAAGACGTCCTGTTTTGTCTCCATTGCCATGAGCGATGATTGACGGCTGAGACCCAGCACCCTAAATAGGCAAAGAATGGTGGCCATTATGGATTGCCAGACTTCTCTCTCCTAAGCACCACTTCAGCACTTCCACAGCATTGAGGTTACTTACGCTGCTTGGTAGGAGTCACAGCTGAAGTTCTTGGTACTCAAGCAGGATAGAAACTCCACAGAGACAGATGGCAAAAATGGTCTCAGACGCTCCTGGAACCAGGCTGTAATGAAGCTGGCATTTGTCAGCTGTGAAGCGCTAAAGTTGCTGATTGTCAGCTGTCCAATGGCATCCAGAATGTTGGATACAGCATGACCGTTGCTTAGGTTCTGGGAAAGCAAAGGGCACATATGTCACACACGTGTCAAAACAGAGCCCTGTGGCAGTGTTTCACTTGTGTACTGGAAAATGCAGGGCTGCTACTGACCTGACTGGAGTACACGGACAGCGCATTCTCCAGAACCCCAGTGACTTTCTGGAAGAAAAGCTTCCACATCTCTGTGCTGTTGCTCATGACCGTTGATGCCTTGCAGGTCAGCAGCGTGACGAGGTCATCAGAGGACAGAGAGGACGCAACCTTGGGGGGGGAAGCGGACAGATTTGTGCTGTTAGAGAAAAAGGTCTCTTTACAATTAACAGTCATACTGCTGCACGCTTCAGGAAAGGCTTACTGAAGAGCAGGCATATTCAGGAATGCTGAAGTTGCAGAGTTGAGCCGCGACGCTGCCTGATGTCTGAAGTTGTTCACTGCAAGGCACAAAAGCATGTTGTCCATTTACACCTCTGTTTTAAATCTTACCTCATTTCTCAGTAGACACCACAATGAAACTCACCTGTCTACACCTGCACAAAGCCTTTCCTCTGCAAAAAAGGCCAGAAAAGTTATCAGTGGCAGATCTTTATAGCCATCTCACAATATTATTAAAACTGAAAACATTTAGCAATCTTTGTTCCGACTCACCATCGATCAATGTTTCCTCGCACTGGTGAGAGGTGAGACAAAGCAAAAATTAGAGAAAAGAATTAGGAAGAGCTTATCTTGGGCATAATGCCACCAGATGAAGTACTTACAACAGCGGTGGGGGACACGGTCGGTGGTGCAGTGGGTGGTACTGGGGACGGTGTGGTGGATGGCATGGTGGGGGGCACTGTGGGGGGTGTGGTGGGTGGTGGAGTCGTGCAGGCTAAAGAGAGAAGCCAAGACAAGAGATATTGGTCGATGGGAGGCAACTCTCATGACGCTGACATATTCAAATACATGTGGTCACAATTTGTTGGCTTTTCTCACCGCCCAGGCACTGCCTAAGCATTCCAGCAGCTTTACTGATGCCATACCTTTTGGTGGTGAATGTTGAAGTGTGTCTACACTTGAATTTAGCTCTACTCCAACTCCTGACGGAAGATCTGCCAAAGCTATCTTCATGCCTTCCAGTCTGTCAAAACAAACAACATTGCTCAATCTCCACTTTTATTTCTACAGAACGATTGAGAAATTAAAGCCAAGGGGGCTGGTTTGCTCACATTGCTTGGTAAGATTCGCATGTGATGTTGGCAGGGATGACTTCCAGCACTGTAGGACTGAAGCTGGCCAGCAGGACCACCAGATTGGTTTGGAACCACAGCTCATAGTCGCTTGTTTCAAATAGGGGAAGTTTGGGAGCCAGGGCAGTCATGGTCAGATTCAGCATTGTGTCTCGGACAGCCACATTTTCGATGTAGGTTATACTTTCCTGAAGGGGTGGAGGAAGGAGGGGTTGCTGTTGGCTTGTTTAAATATCTAAAATCCGGTTCAGCTCATAAAGGTTAGTCACTCTGAAGACCTACCTACAAACATTACTCACCACTTTGCTGACTTTCACAAATGTTTCAAAAAACATCTCAAGTTGTTTCTCATCTGGAGACGTCAGTATGCTGGTCAACACCTCCTGTACCACGGTGACATTGTCTAGAGCATCGGTGGATGGATCCAACAGTAGCTCTGCTTTCTGATCGGGTGCTAGGGATCCCAGAGCTGCCAACTAAGATGAACAAAGCAAAAACACAACACCAGAGGACATTATGCAAGACCGCCAGTGCTTTGGTGCCTGACCTAAACCAAGCAAACAAACAACAACAACAAAACTGTAGAAAGGAAAGATAAGAAAAAGATGGTACGTTACCATGCTAATGTTCAGGGACTTGAGGTCTGAGTAACTGGCTAAAGAGGAGAATCGACCCAAGTTGGTGTCGAGCCATTCAGCAGCGCTTTCAGTTTTCTGTCTGCAACCTGATTTTTTAAAGACAAGGATGGAGGAAGGTCAGCCTGCATCATGCACACAACAGGGGACACAACACACACCCTGGCCTGTTGTCTAAGAAAAAATATTTATATTGCAACCCATTCCCTTCCAGCAACAAGGAGATGCTGGAAAAAGGTGTTCTGGAAGGTTTACCTGGCATGCTGAATTTGGCAGCAGTTGTCTTTAGGTGCTCGACCAGAACATTGGTTATCTCCTGCCTCCTGGTAAATGTCATTCTCTGGAAATTGATTCCCAATCCCTTAACTCTGCAACACAAAGCCAAAGAGGGGTCATGAGGTGGAGATCCTGGTGCAGGCTGAAAAACATTCTCACTCTGAAGTTAGTAACTCACATCACACGGTAGTCGGTGCAGTTGACTGAAGCTGTGACCTTAACCAGCATTTCTGTGGTGAAACTGGGGAGGATGGGAACGAGATTCACGGTGAACCACACCACCCAATCGTGAGTCTCAAATTTCCGGAAATAGCCTTCAATGATTGCGAAGGTGCGGTTCATCATCACGTCACTCACAGCAGGGCTGATGACAGGAATCTGTAGAGACACAACAACAGGAGTGTGAGTGGCACCGCAAGAAAGCCGCCTATTCCACACCTTTCTCTGGGGCATCCACACGGTCTATGCCACACATTTCAGCAGATTGACTTGCCTCTGGAGCTGCATTTAGTTCTGTCAGAAATTCCTTCATGTTCAGGAAAGCGTCGCCTTTCTCCAGCCGGTCAAACACAACCACGATCTGATCAGTGTTGTTTAGCGCTCCAGAGCTCAGGGTGATTTCAGCTACTTGAGTAGGGTTCAGCAGTGACAGCGATCCCAACTGAAGGACAAGATAGAGAGCAGAAGTTAGCGCAGGTGAAGCCCTTCACTTGAAAAAGACAGAAGATTCATCATGACAGATCACATGGACAACTGGAGAAAGGCATCAGGTACGCACACTGGAGAAATTCACATTCAGGGCTTCTAAAAACTCCACAGTAGCATAGCCAGAGAACAGGCCAAAGTTCTTCTCAAGCCATTCAGCGCTGCTCGTCATTTTGGAAAGACAGGCAGCATCTGCAGTGAACCAAGAGCATTGGAAAATTCAACAGAAACAGTGCAATTGTAAGCAAGCTGCAAAATTTGCCACAACCTCAGACGTTAAAAGATACCCTGGCAACTACAACAAGATGGGTGATGAAGCTTGACAGTGACAGGGCTTACCTGTTCGGTCAGCTCTTGAGAGGAAGGGTTTGATGAAAGCATTGAAGACGTCCTGTTTTGTCTCCATTGCCATGAGCGATGATTGACGGCTGAGACCCAGCACCCTAAATAGGCAAAGAATGGTGGCCATTATGGATTGCCAGACTTCTCTCTCCTAAGCACCACTTCAGCACTTCCACAGCATTGAGGTTACTTACGCTGCTTGGTAGGAGTCACAGCTGAAGTTCTTGGTACTCAAGCAGGATAGAAACTCCACAGAGACAGATGGCAAAAATGGTCTCAGACGCTCCTGGAACCAGGCTGTAATGAAGCTGGCATTTGTCAGCTGTGAAGCGCTAAAGTTGCTGATTGTCAGCTGTCCAATGGCATCCAGAATGTTGGATACAGCATGACCGTTGCTTAGGTTCTGGGAAAGCAAAGGGCACATATGTCACACACGTGTCAAAACAGAGCCCTGTGGCAGTGTTTCACTTGTGTACTGGAAAATGCAGGGCTGCTACTGACCTGACTGGAGTACACGGACAGCGCATTCTCCAGAACCCCAGTGACTTTCTGGAAGAAAAGCTTCCACATCTCTGTGCTGTTGCTCATGACCGTTGATGCCTTGCAGGTCAGCAGCGTGACGAGGTCATCAGAGGACAGAGAGGACGCAACCTTGGGGGGGGAAGCGGACAGATTTGTGCTGTTAGAGAAAAAGGTCTCTTTACAATTAACAGTCATACTGCTGCACGCTTCAGGAAAGGCTTACTGAAGAGCAGGCATATTCAGGAATGCTGAAGTTGCAGAGTTGAGCCGCGACGCTGCCTGATGTCTGAAGTTGTTCACTGCAAGGCACAAAAGCATGTTGTCCATTTACACCTCTGTTTTAAATCTTACCTCATTTCTCAGTAGACACCACAATGAAACTCACCTGTCTACACCTGCACAAAGCCTTTCCTCTGCAAAAAAGGCCAGAAAAGTTATCAGTGGCAGATCTTTATAGCCATCTCACAATATTATTAAAACTGAAAACATTTAGCAATCTTTGTTCCGACTCACCATCGATCAATGTTTCCTCGCACTGGTGAGAGGTGAGACAAAGCAAAAATTAGAGAAAAGAATTAGGAAGAGCTTATCTTGGGCATAATGCCACCAGATGAAGTACTTACAACAGCGGTGGGGGACACGGTCGGTGGTGCAGTGGGTGGTACTGGGGACGGTGTGGTGGATGGCATGGTGGGGGGCACTGTGGGGGGTGTGGTGGGTGGTGGAGTCGTGCAGGCTAAAGAGAGAAGCCAAGACAAGAGATATTGGTCGATGGGAGGCAACTCTCATGACGCTGACATATTCAAATACATGTGGTCACAATTTGTTGGCTTTTCTCACCGCCCAGGCACTGCCTAAGCATTCCAGCAGCTTTACTGATGCCATACCTTTTGGTGGTGAATGTTGAAGTGTGTCTACACTTGAATTTAGCTCTACTCCAACTCCTGACGGAAGATCTGCCAAAGCTATCTTCATGCCTTCCAGTCTGTCAAAACAAACAACATTGCTCAATCTCCACTTTTATTTCTACAGAACGATTGAGAAATTAAAGCCAAGGGGGCTGGTTTGCTCACATTGCTTGGTAAGATTCGCATGTGATGTTGGCAGGGATGACTTCCAGCACTGTAGGACTGAAGCTGGCCAGCAGGACCACCAGATTGGTTTGGAACCACAGCTCATAGTCGCTTGTTTCAAATAGGGGAAGTTTGGGAGCCAGGGCAGTCATGGTCAGATTCAGCATTGTGTCTCGGACAGCCACATTTTCGATGTAGGTTATACTTTCCTGAAGGGGTGGAGGAAGGAGGGGTTGCTGTTGGCTTGTTTAAATATCTAAAATCCGGTTCAGCTCATAAAGGTTAGTCACTCTGAAGACCTACCTACAAACATTACTCACCACTTTGCTGACTTTCACAAATGTTTCAAAAAACATCTCAAGTTGTTTCTCATCTGGAGACGTCAGTATGCTGGTCAACACCTCCTGTACCACGGTGACATTGTCTAGAGCATCGGTGGATGGATCCAACAGTAGCTCTGCTTTCTGATCGGGTGCTAGGGATCCCAGAGCTGCCAACTAAGATGAACAAAGCAAAAACACAACACCAGAGGACATTATGCAAGACCGCCAGTGCTTTGGTGCCTGACCTAAACCAAGCAAACAAACAACAACAACAAAACTGTAGAAAGGAAAGATAAGAAAAAGATGGTACGTTACCATGCTAATGTTCAGGGACTTGAGGTCTGAGTAACTGGCTAAAGAGGAGAATCGACCCAAGTTGGTGTCGAGCCATTCAGCAGCGCTTTCAGTTTTCTGTCTGCAACCTGATTTTTTAAAGACAAGGATGGAGGAAGGTCAGCCTGCATCATGCACACAACAGGGGACACAACACACACCCTGGCCTGTTGTCTAAGAAAAAATATTTATATTGCAACCCATTCCCTTCCAGCAACAAGGAGATGCTGGAAAAAGGTGTTCTGGAAGGTTTACCTGGCATGCTGAATTTGGCAGCAGTTGTCTTTAGGTGCTCGACCAGAACATTGGTTATCTCCTGCCTCCTGGTAAATGTCATTCTCTGGAAATTGATTCCCAATCCCTTAACTCTGCAACACAAAGCCAAAGAGGGGTCATGAGGTGGAGATCCTGGTGCAGGCTGAAAAACATTCTCACTCTGAAGTTAGTAACTCACATCACACGGTAGTCGGTGCAGTTGACTGAAGCTGTGACCTTAACCAGCATTTCTGTGGTGAAACTGGGGAGGATGGGAACGAGATTCACGGTGAACCACACCACCCAATCGTGAGTCTCAAATTTCCGGAAATAGCCTTCAATGATTGCGAAGGTGCGGTTCATCATCACGTCACTCACAGCAGGGCTGATGACAGGAATCTGTAGAGACACAACAACAGGAGTGTGAGTGGCACCGCAAGAAAGCCGCCTATTCCACACCTTTCTCTGGGGCATCCACACGGTCTATGCCACACATTTCAGCAGATTGACTTGCCTCTGGAGCTGCATTTAGTTCTGTCAGAAATTCCTTCATGTTCAGGAAAGCGTCGCCTTTCTCCAGCCGGTCAAACACAACCACGATCTGATCAGTGTTGTTTAGCGCTCCAGAGCTCAGGGTGATTTCAGCTACTTGAGTAGGGTTCAGCAGTGACAGCGATCCCAACTGAAGGACAAGATAGAGAGCAGAAGTTAGCGCAGGTGAAGCCCTTCACTTGAAAAAGACAGAAGATTCATCATGACAGATCACATGGACAACTGGAGAAAGGCATCAGGTACGCACACTGGAGAAATTCACATTCAGGGCTTCTAAAAACTCCACAGTAGCATAGCCAGAGAACAGGCCAAAGTTCTTCTCAAGCCATTCAGCGCTGCTCGTCATTTTGGAAAGACAGGCAGCATCTGCAGTGAACCAAGAGCATTGGAAAATTCAACAGAAACAGTGCAATTGTAAGCAAGCTGCAAAATTTGCCACAACCTCAGACGTTAAAAGATACCCTGGCAACTACAACAAGATGGGTGATGAAGCTTGACAGTGACAGGGCTTACCTGTTCGGTCAGCTCTTGAGAGGAAGGGTTTGATGAAAGCATTGAAGACGTCCTGTTTTGTCTCCATTGCCATGAGCGATGATTGACGGCTGAGACCCAGCACCCTAAATAGGCAAAGAATGGTGGCCATTATGGATTGCCAGACTTCTCTCTCCTAAGCACCACTTCAGCACTTCCACAGCATTGAGGTTACTTACGCTGCTTGGTAGGAGTCACAGCTGAAGTTCTTGGTACTCAAGCAGGATAGAAACTCCACAGAGACAGATGGCAAAAATGGTCTCAGACGCTCCTGGAACCAGGCTGTAATGAAGCTGGCATTTGTCAGCTGTGAAGCGCTAAAGTTGCTGATTGTCAGCTGTCCAATGGCATCCAGAATGTTGGATACAGCATGACCGTTGCTTAGGTTCTGGGAAAGCAAAGGGCACATATGTCACACACGTGTCAAAACAGAGCCCTGTGGCAGTGTTTCACTTGTGTACTGGAAAATGCAGGGCTGCTACTGACCTGACTGGAGTACACGGACAGCGCATTCTCCAGAACCCCAGTGACTTTCTGGAAGAAAAGCTTCCACATCTCTGTGCTGTTGCTCATGACCGTTGATGCCTTGCAGGTCAGCAGCGTGACGAGGTCATCAGAGGACAGAGAGGACGCAACCTTGGGGGGGGAAGCGGACAGATTTGTGCTGTTAGAGAAAAAGGTCTCTTTACAATTAACAGTCATACTGCTGCACGCTTCAGGAAAGGCTTACTGAAGAGCAGGCATATTCAGGAATGCTGAAGTTGCAGAGTTGAGCCGCGACGCTGCCTGATGTCTGAAGTTGTTCACTGCAAGGCACAAAAGCATGTTGTCCATTTACACCTCTGTTTTAAATCTTACCTCATTTCTCAGTAGACACCACAATGAAACTCACCTGTCTACACCTGCACAAAGCCTTTCCTCTGCAAAAAAGGCCAGAAAAGTTATCAGTGGCAGATCTTTATAGCCATCTCACAATATTATTAAAACTGAAAACATTTAGCAATCTTTGTTCCGACTCACCATCGATCAATGTTTCCTCGCACTGGTGAGAGGTGAGACAAAGCAAAAATTAGAGAAAAGAATTAGGAAGAGCTTATCTTGGGCATAATGCCACCAGATGAAGTACTTACAACAGCGGTGGGGGACACGGTCGGTGGTGCAGTGGGTGGTACTGGGGACGGTGTGGTGGATGGCATGGTGGGGGGCACTGTGGGGGGTGTGGTGGGTGGTGGAGTCGTGCAGGCTAAAGAGAGAAGCCAAGACAAGAGATATTGGTCGATGGGAGGCAACTCTCATGACGCTGACATATTCAAATACATGTGGTCACAATTTGTTGGCTTTTCTCACCGCCCAGGCACTGCCTAAGCATTCCAGCAGCTTTACTGATGCCATACCTTTTGGTGGTGAATGTTGAAGTGTGTCTACACTTGAATTTAGCTCTACTCCAACTCCTGACGGAAGATCTGCCAAAGCTATCTTCATGCCTTCCAGTCTGTCAAAACAAACAACATTGCTCAATCTCCACTTTTATTTCTACAGAACGATTGAGAAATTAAAGCCAAGGGGGCTGGTTTGCTCACATTGCTTGGTAAGATTCGCATGTGATGTTGGCAGGGATGACTTCCAGCACTGTAGGACTGAAGCTGGCCAGCAGGACCACCAGATTGGTTTGGAACCACAGCTCATAGTCGCTTGTTTCAAATAGGGGAAGTTTGGGAGCCAGGGCAGTCATGGTCAGATTCAGCATTGTGTCTCGGACAGCCACATTTTCGATGTAGGTTATACTTTCCTGAAGGGGTGGAGGAAGGAGGGGTTGCTGTTGGCTTGTTTAAATATCTAAAATCCGGTTCAGCTCATAAAGGTTAGTCACTCTGAAGACCTACCTACAAACATTACTCACCACTTTGCTGACTTTCACAAATGTTTCAAAAAACATCTCAAGTTGTTTCTCATCTGGAGACGTCAGTATGCTGGTCAACACCTCCTGTACCACGGTGACATTGTCTAGAGCATCGGTGGATGGATCCAACAGTAGCTCTGCTTTCTGATCGGGTGCTAGGGATCCCAGAGCTGCCAACTAAGATGAACAAAGCAAAAACACAACACCAGAGGACATTATGCAAGACCGCCAGTGCTTTGGTGTCTGCCCAACACAAAGCAACATCCACAAAGAGAGAGAGAGAGAGAGAGAAAGAGAGAAGAAATTGCCTGCAAACACAAGAAGAACAAAGAGAAGGTAATTTACCACACTGATGTTCAGGGCCTTGAGGTCCGAGTAACTGGCCAATGAGGAGAATGGGCCCAAGTTGCTGTCGAGCCATTGGGTAATGCTTTCAGTTTTCTGTCTGCAACCTGATTTTGAGAGACGAGGATGGAGGAAGGTCAGCCTGCTTCATGCACTGCTATGCATCTGACACACAACAATCCTGGCCCGTCACATGAAACTAAACTCGCAACGCACGCCGTCCCGGCAACAGGGAGATGCCGGAACAGGACATACAGGAAGGCCTACCTGGCATACTGAATTGGGAAGAAGCAGCCTTCAGGTGCTCCACCAGATTGCTGGTTATCTCATGGCTCCTGCTCAATGTCATTTTCTGGAAAACCATTCCAAGTCCCTCAACGCTGCAACAGAAAGACAAATAAGTGTGACAAGGTGGATGCGCCGGTGCTGGCAGACAAACATTCTCTGTTTTCAGAAACTCACATCACGCGGTAGTTGGTGCAGTTGACTGTAACTGTGACCTTAACCAGCATCTCTGAGGTGAAACTGGGAAGGATAGGAATGAGATTCACGGTGAACCACACCAGCCAATCCCGAGTCTCAAACTTGTGGAATTTGGTTCCAATGATTGTGAAGGTGCGGTTCATCATCACGTCGCTCACAGCAGGGCTGATGTCCGGAACCTACGGGGACACAACAACAGGAGTGTGAACGGCCCTGTGAGAAAGCTTCATGCTGTTGGCTTTTCTCCGGGGCTTCCACGTGGCCTCGGCCATGCACTTCAATGGATCGACTTGCCTCTGGAGCTGCACTGAGTTTTGTCAGAAACTCCTCCACGTTCACAAAAGCGTTGCCTTCCTCTAGTCGGAGGAACACAGCACCGATCTGGTCCGTGTTGTTGAGCGCTCCAGAGCTCAGGGTGAGTTCAGCTACTTGGGTAGGGCTCAGCAGTGACAGCGATCCCAACTGTAGAATAAGATGGAGAGCAGACGTTGTCACAGATGAAGCGCGTCATATCAAAAATGTATTTTTTTTTAAAGTACAAACAACAACAATAACGACAGTTGACACAGGCAGCTGGCGAAAAGCATCAGGTACGCACGCTGGAGAAATTTGCATTCAGGGTTTCTAAATACTCCACTGTAGCATAGCCAGAGAACAGCCCAAAGTTCTTCTTAAGCCATTCGGCACTGCTCGTCGCTTCGGCAAGACAGGCATGATCTGTATTGAACACAGAGAATTGGGGAAATTCATCAGAAGCGGCATGCCATCGTAAGCAAGCTGCAATATTTGTCAGAAGCTGAGATGCCGACGATGCTTTGGGAACTACGGCAAGACGGATGACAACTCAAGACAGCGACGGCGCTTAAACGTACCTGTTCGGTCATCTCTGGAGAGGAAGGGCTTGATGAAAGCAGTGAAGACGTCCTGTTTTGTCTTCACCACCATGAGGGATGCTTGACGGCTGAGAGCCAGCACCCTATAACGGGGAAAGAGCAGCGGTCATTATGGATTGCCAGACTTTTCTCTCCTAAACACCACCTCAGGACTTGCACAACACTGAGGTTACTTACACAGCTTGGTAGGAGTCACAGCTGAAGTTCTTGGTACTCAGGCAGGACAGAAACTCCACAGAGACAGATGGCAAAAATGCTGTCAGCCGCGCCTGAAACCAGGCTGCAACGAAGCTGGCATTTGCCAGATGTGAAGCGCTGAAGTTACTGATTGTCAGCTCTCCGATGGCATCGAGAATGTTGGACACTGGCAGATCGTTGGTGAGGTTCTGTGGAAGCATTAAGGACATAGATCAACACAGAGCTCTGCGCCAACGCTTCACTTGCGTTCCGGTAAAAGCAGGGCTGGCACCCACCTGACTGGAGTAGACTGACAGCGCATTCTCCAGAACTCCACTGACTTGCTGCAAGAAAAGCTTCCACGCCTCTGTGCTGTTGCTGAAGACGGTTGATGCCTTGCAAGTCAGCAGCGTGACGAGGTCATCAGAGGACAGAGAGGACGTAACCTTGGAGCAAGAGGACAGATAGGTGCAATAAGATAAACAGGACTCTCTGCAAAGACAGGCATACGGGCGCACGGTTGATGGAGGCCTTACCGAAGAGCAGGCATATTCAGGAATGCTGAAGTTGCACAGACGATCGGAGAAATTGCCTGATGCCTGAAGGAGTTCACTGCAAGGCACAAAAGCATGGTTTCCATTTAAACCCACACCTTAAAGGCCAACTATTTTCTCAGCAGACAGACACCACAATGCAACTCACCTGTTGTTAACACCTGCACAAAGGCTCTTTCCTGCAAAGGAAGACCAAGAAATGATCAGTTAGACATCTTTGGGTGCATCTTGCAATTTTATTGCAAAATGAAAATAAACAGAGCAATCGCTTTAATCTCAATCCCAGGCCAGCAATCTTTGTTCTGACTCACCATCGACTAATGTTTCTTTGCACTAGTGAGAGGGAAGATAAAACAAGAAGAGAAGAGAAAGGAATTAGGAACAGCTTTTCTTGGGCTTTCCCCCCCAGACTCAAACAGAATGCCAACACATGCATTACTTACGACAGCAGTGGGGGGCGGAGGCGTGCAGCCTGAAGAGAAGGCAAGACAAAAGAGATATTGTTCAATGGGAGGCCCCTGTCAGAGCGTTTTACGTTCAAACACTTCTGCTCACTGTTCTTTGGCTTTACCAACCGACAAGGCATTGTTTGTCAATTTGAGCAGGTTTACGTAGGTCATACCTTTTGGTGGTGACTGTTGAAGTAGGTCCACACTAGACTTGAGCTGTCCTCCAGCTCCAGATGGAAGATCTGCCAAAGCCTTCTCCATGCCTTTCAGTCTGTCGAAAAACAAACAACAAAAAAGCTCTTTCTTCACTTTTATTTCTATGGAACGAGTAAGGTGGTGACGCTAAGGGGGCTGGTTCGCTCACATTGCTTGGTAAGAATCACATGTGATGTTGGCAGGGATGACTTCCAGCACTGAAGGACTGAAGCTGGCCAGCAGGACCACCAGATTGGTTTGGAACCACAGCACATAGTCACTCGTTTCAAATAGGGGAAGTGAGGGAGCCAGGGCAGTCATGGTCAGATTCAGCATTGTGTCTCGTACAGCCACGTTTGCAATGAAGGTAATATTTTCCTGCGTGGGTGTGGGCAGAGGACAAGAACTGTTACCTCCATGCTCAAAACTTTCAAAGAAAATCCAAACTTGGCTGGCTTGTTTAAAAGCCTCTTAATTCAGGTCCAACCCATGCAAGATGATCGTTTTAAAAACAAAGCAACCAAGCAAGAAACAAACACTACTAACCTCGTGGCAGACTACAACAAATTTTTCAAAGAACATCTCAAGCTGATTCTCGTCTGAAGAGTTCAGGATGCTGATCATCACCTCCTGTACCACGGTCACGTTTTCTAGAGCACCGGTGGTCCGATCCAACAGCAGCTCTGCTTTCTGATCAGGTGACAGGGATCCCAGAGCTGCCAACTAAGAAGGACAAAGAGAAACCACAACGTCGATGGACATTACACATGACCGCCTGTGCTTTGCTGTCTGCCCAACACAAAGCAACATCCACAAAGAGAGAGAGAGAGAGAGAGAAAGAGAGAAGAAATTGCCTGCAAACACAAGAAGAACAAAGAGAAGGTAATTTACCACACTGATGTTCAGGGCCTTGAGGTCCGAGTAACTGGCCAATGAGGAGAATGGGCCCAAGTTGCTGTCGAGCCATTGGGTAATGCTTTCAGTTTTCTGTCTGCAACCTGATTTTGAGAGACGAGGATGGAGGAAGGTCAGCCTGCTTCATGCACTGCTATGCATCTGACACACAACAATCCTGGCCCGTCACATGAAACTAAACTCGCAACGCACGCCGTCCCGGCAACAGGGAGATGCCGGAACAGGACATACAGGAAGGCCTACCTGGCATACTGAATTGGGAAGAAGCAGCCTTCAGGTGCTCCACCAGATTGCTGGTTATCTCATGGCTCCTGCTCAATGTCATTTTCTGGAAAACCATTCCAAGTCCCTCAACGCTGCAACAGAAAGACAAATAAGTGTGACAAGGTGGATGCGCCGGTGCTGGCAGACAAACATTCTCTGTTTTCAGAAACTCACATCACGCGGTAGTTGGTGCAGTTGACTGTAACTGTGACCTTAACCAGCATCTCTGAGGTGAAACTGGGAAGGATAGGAATGAGATTCACGGTGAACCACACCAGCCAATCCCGAGTCTCAAACTTGTGGAATTTGGTTCCAATGATTGTGAAGGTGCGGTTCATCATCACGTCGCTCACAGCAGGGCTGATGTCCGGAACCTACGGGGACACAACAACAGGAGTGTGAACGGCCCTGTGAGAAAGCTTCATGCTGTTGGCTTTTCTCCGGGGCTTCCACGTGGCCTCGGCCATGCACTTCAATGGATCGACTTGCCTCTGGAGCTGCACTGAGTTTTGTCAGAAACTCCTCCACGTTCACAAAAGCGTTGCCTTCCTCTAGTCGGAGGAACACAGCACCGATCTGGTCCGTGTTGTTGAGCGCTCCAGAGCTCAGGGTGAGTTCAGCTACTTGGGTAGGGCTCAGCAGTGACAGCGATCCCAACTGTAGAATAAGATGGAGAGCAGACGTTGTCACAGATGAAGCGCGTCATATCAAAAATGTATTTTTTTTTAAAGTACAAACAACAACAATAACGACAGTTGACACAGGCAGCTGGCGAAAAGCATCAGGTACGCACGCTGGAGAAATTTGCATTCAGGGTTTCTAAATACTCCACTGTAGCATAGCCAGAGAACAGCCCAAAGTTCTTCTTAAGCCATTCGGCACTGCTCGTCGCTTCGGCAAGACAGGCATGATCTGTATTGAACACAGAGAATTGGGGAAATTCATCAGAAGCGGCATGCCATCGTAAGCAAGCTGCAATATTTGTCAGAAGCTGAGATGCCGACGATGCTTTGGGAACTACGGCAAGACGGATGACAACTCAAGACAGCGACGGCGCTTAAACGTACCTGTTCGGTCATCTCTGGAGAGGAAGGGCTTGATGAAAGCAGTGAAGACGTCCTGTTTTGTCTTCACCACCATGAGGGATGCTTGACGGCTGAGAGCCAGCACCCTATAACGGGGAAAGAGCAGCGGTCATTATGGATTGCCAGACTTTTCTCTCCTAAACACCACCTCAGGACTTGCACAACACTGAGGTTACTTACACAGCTTGGTAGGAGTCACAGCTGAAGTTCTTGGTACTCAGGCAGGACAGAAACTCCACAGAGACAGATGGCAAAAATGCTGTCAGCCGCGCCTGAAACCAGGCTGCAACGAAGCTGGCATTTGCCAGATGTGAAGCGCTGAAGTTACTGATTGTCAGCTCTCCGATGGCATCGAGAATGTTGGACACTGGCAGATCGTTGGTGAGGTTCTGTGGAAGCATTAAGGACATAGATCAACACAGAGCTCTGCGCCAACGCTTCACTTGCGTTCCGGTAAAAGCAGGGCTGGCACCCACCTGACTGGAGTAGACTGACAGCGCATTCTCCAGAACTCCACTGACTTGCTGCAAGAAAAGCTTCCACGCCTCTGTGCTGTTGCTGAAGACGGTTGATGCCTTGCAAGTCAGCAGCGTGACGAGGTCATCAGAGGACAGAGAGGACGTAACCTTGGAGCAAGAGGACAGATAGGTGCAATAAGATAAACAGGACTCTCTGCAAAGACAGGCATACGGGCGCACGGTTGATGGAGGCCTTACCGAAGAGCAGGCATATTCAGGAATGCTGAAGTTGCACAGACGATCGGAGAAATTGCCTGATGCCTGAAGGAGTTCACTGCAAGGCACAAAAGCATGGTTTCCATTTAAACCCACACCTTAAAGGCCAACTATTTTCTCAGCAGACAGACACCACAATGCAACTCACCTGTTGTTAACACCTGCACAAAGGCTCTTTCCTGCAAAGGAAGACCAAGAAATGATCAGTTAGACATCTTTGGGTGCATCTTGCAATTTTATTGCAAAATGAAAATAAACAGAGCAATCGCTTTAATCTCAATCCCAGGCCAGCAATCTTTGTTCTGACTCACCATCGACTAATGTTTCTTTGCACTAGTGAGAGGGAAGATAAAACAAGAAGAGAAGAGAAAGGAATTAGGAACAGCTTTTCTTGGGCTTTCCCCCCCAGACTCAAACAGAATGCCAACACATGCATTACTTACGACAGCAGTGGGGGGCGGAGGCGTGCAGCCTGAAGAGAAGGCAAGACAAAAGAGATATTGTTCAATGGGAGGCCCCTGTCAGAGCGTTTTACGTTCAAACACTTCTGCTCACTGTTCTTTGGCTTTACCAACCGACAAGGCATTGTTTGTCAATTTGAGCAGGTTTACGTAGGTCATACCTTTTGGTGGTGACTGTTGAAGTAGGTCCACACTAGACTTGAGCTGTCCTCCAGCTCCAGATGGAAGATCTGCCAAAGCCTTCTCCATGCCTTTCAGTCTGTCGAAAAACAAACAACAAAAAAGCTCTTTCTTCACTTTTATTTCTATGGAACGAGTAAGGTGGTGACGCTAAGGGGGCTGGTTCGCTCACATTGCTTGGTAAGAATCACATGTGATGTTGGCAGGGATGACTTCCAGCACTGAAGGACTGAAGCTGGCCAGCAGGACCACCAGATTGGTTTGGAACCACAGCACATAGTCACTCGTTTCAAATAGGGGAAGTGAGGGAGCCAGGGCAGTCATGGTCAGATTCAGCATTGTGTCTCGTACAGCCACGTTTGCAATGAAGGTAATATTTTCCTGCGTGGGTGTGGGCAGAGGACAAGAACTGTTACCTCCATGCTCAAAACTTTCAAAGAAAATCCAAACTTGGCTGGCTTGTTTAAAAGCCTCTTAATTCAGGTCCAACCCATGCAAGATGATCGTTTTAAAAACAAAGCAACCAAGCAAGAAACAAACACTACTAACCTCGTGGCAGACTACAACAAATTTTTCAAAGAACATCTCAAGCTGATTCTCGTCTGAAGAGTTCAGGATGCTGATCATCACCTCCTGTACCACGGTCACGTTTTCTAGAGCACCGGTGGTCCGATCCAACAGCAGCTCTGCTTTCTGATCAGGTGACAGGGATCCCAGAGCTGCCAACTAAGAAGGACAAAGAGAAACCACAACGTCGATGGACATTACACATGACCGCCTGTGCTTTGCTGTCTGCCCAACACAAAGCAACATCCACAAAGAGAGAGAGAGAGAGAGAGAAAGAGAGAAGAAATTGCCTGCAAACACAAGAAGAACAAAGAGAAGGTAATTTACCACACTGATGTTCAGGGCCTTGAGGTCCGAGTAACTGGCCAATGAGGAGAATGGGCCCAAGTTGCTGTCGAGCCATTGGGTAATGCTTTCAGTTTTCTGTCTGCAACCTGATTTTGAGAGACGAGGATGGAGGAAGGTCAGCCTGCTTCATGCACTGCTATGCATCTGACACACAACAATCCTGGCCCGTCACATGAAACTAAACTCGCAACGCACGCCGTCCCGGCAACAGGGAGATGCCGGAACAGGACATACAGGAAGGCCTACCTGGCATACTGAATTGGGAAGAAGCAGCCTTCAGGTGCTCCACCAGATTGCTGGTTATCTCATGGCTCCTGCTCAATGTCATTTTCTGGAAAACCATTCCAAGTCCCTCAACGCTGCAACAGAAAGACAAATAAGTGTGACAAGGTGGATGCGCCGGTGCTGGCAGACAAACATTCTCTGTTTTCAGAAACTCACATCACGCGGTAGTTGGTGCAGTTGACTGTAACTGTGACCTTAACCAGCATCTCTGAGGTGAAACTGGGAAGGATAGGAATGAGATTCACGGTGAACCACACCAGCCAATCCCGAGTCTCAAACTTGTGGAATTTGGTTCCAATGATTGTGAAGGTGCGGTTCATCATCACGTCGCTCACAGCAGGGCTGATGTCCGGAACCTACGGGGACACAACAACAGGAGTGTGAACGGCCCTGTGAGAAAGCTTCATGCTGTTGGCTTTTCTCCGGGGCTTCCACGTGGCCTCGGCCATGCACTTCAATGGATCGACTTGCCTCTGGAGCTGCACTGAGTTTTGTCAGAAACTCCTCCACGTTCACAAAAGCGTTGCCTTCCTCTAGTCGGAGGAACACAGCACCGATCTGGTCCGTGTTGTTGAGCGCTCCAGAGCTCAGGGTGAGTTCAGCTACTTGGGTAGGGCTCAGCAGTGACAGCGATCCCAACTGTAGAATAAGATGGAGAGCAGACGTTGTCACAGATGAAGCGCGTCATATCAAAAATGTATTTTTTTTTAAAGTACAAACAACAACAATAACGACAGTTGACACAGGCAGCTGGCGAAAAGCATCAGGTACGCACGCTGGAGAAATTTGCATTCAGGGTTTCTAAATACTCCACTGTAGCATAGCCAGAGAACAGCCCAAAGTTCTTCTTAAGCCATTCGGCACTGCTCGTCGCTTCGGCAAGACAGGCATGATCTGTATTGAACACAGAGAATTGGGGAAATTCATCAGAAGCGGCATGCCATCGTAAGCAAGCTGCAATATTTGTCAGAAGCTGAGATGCCGACGATGCTTTGGGAACTACGGCAAGACGGATGACAACTCAAGACAGCGACGGCGCTTAAACGTACCTGTTCGGTCATCTCTGGAGAGGAAGGGCTTGATGAAAGCAGTGAAGACGTCCTGTTTTGTCTTCACCACCATGAGGGATGCTTGACGGCTGAGAGCCAGCACCCTATAACGGGGAAAGAGCAGCGGTCATTATGGATTGCCAGACTTTTCTCTCCTAAACACCACCTCAGGACTTGCACAACACTGAGGTTACTTACACAGCTTGGTAGGAGTCACAGCTGAAGTTCTTGGTACTCAGGCAGGACAGAAACTCCACAGAGACAGATGGCAAAAATGCTGTCAGCCGCGCCTGAAACCAGGCTGCAACGAAGCTGGCATTTGCCAGATGTGAAGCGCTGAAGTTACTGATTGTCAGCTCTCCGATGGCATCGAGAATGTTGGACACTGGCAGATCGTTGGTGAGGTTCTGTGGAAGCATTAAGGACATAGATCAACACAGAGCTCTGCGCCAACGCTTCACTTGCGTTCCGGTAAAAGCAGGGCTGGCACCCACCTGACTGGAGTAGACTGACAGCGCATTCTCCAGAACTCCACTGACTTGCTGCAAGAAAAGCTTCCACGCCTCTGTGCTGTTGCTGAAGACGGTTGATGCCTTGCAAGTCAGCAGCGTGACGAGGTCATCAGAGGACAGAGAGGACGTAACCTTGGAGCAAGAGGACAGATAGGTGCAATAAGATAAACAGGACTCTCTGCAAAGACAGGCATACGGGCGCACGGTTGATGGAGGCCTTACCGAAGAGCAGGCATATTCAGGAATGCTGAAGTTGCACAGACGATCGGAGAAATTGCCTGATGCCTGAAGGAGTTCACTGCAAGGCACAAAAGCATGGTTTCCATTTAAACCCACACCTTAAAGGCCAACTATTTTCTCAGCAGACAGACACCACAATGCAACTCACCTGTTGTTAACACCTGCACAAAGGCTCTTTCCTGCAAAGGAAGACCAAGAAATGATCAGTTAGACATCTTTGGGTGCATCTTGCAATTTTATTGCAAAATGAAAATAAACAGAGCAATCGCTTTAATCTCAATCCCAGGCCAGCAATCTTTGTTCTGACTCACCATCGACTAATGTTTCTTTGCACTAGTGAGAGGGAAGATAAAACAAGAAGAGAAGAGAAAGGAATTAGGAACAGCTTTTCTTGGGCTTTCCCCCCCAGACTCAAACAGAATGCCAACACATGCATTACTTACGACAGCAGTGGGGGGCGGAGGCGTGCAGCCTGAAGAGAAGGCAAGACAAAAGAGATATTGTTCAATGGGAGGCCCCTGTCAGAGCGTTTTACGTTCAAACACTTCTGCTCACTGTTCTTTGGCTTTACCAACCGACAAGGCATTGTTTGTCAATTTGAGCAGGTTTACGTAGGTCATACCTTTTGGTGGTGACTGTTGAAGTAGGTCCACACTAGACTTGAGCTGTCCTCCAGCTCCAGATGGAAGATCTGCCAAAGCCTTCTCCATGCCTTTCAGTCTGTCGAAAAACAAACAACAAAAAAGCTCTTTCTTCACTTTTATTTCTATGGAACGAGTAAGGTGGTGACGCTAAGGGGGCTGGTTCGCTCACATTGCTTGGTAAGAATCACATGTGATGTTGGCAGGGATGACTTCCAGCACTGAAGGACTGAAGCTGGCCAGCAGGACCACCAGATTGGTTTGGAACCACAGCACATAGTCACTCGTTTCAAATAGGGGAAGTGAGGGAGCCAGGGCAGTCATGGTCAGATTCAGCATTGTGTCTCGTACAGCCACGTTTGCAATGAAGGTAATATTTTCCTGCGTGGGTGTGGGCAGAGGACAAGAACTGTTACCTCCATGCTCAAAACTTTCAAAGAAAATCCAAACTTGGCTGGCTTGTTTAAAAGCCTCTTAATTCAGGTCCAACCCATGCAAGATGATCGTTTTAAAAACAAAGCAACCAAGCAAGAAACAAACACTACTAACCTCGTGGCAGACTACAACAAATTTTTCAAAGAACATCTCAAGCTGATTCTCGTCTGAAGAGTTCAGGATGCTGATCATCACCTCCTGTACCACGGTCACGTTTTCTAGAGCACCGGTGGTCCGATCCAACAGCAGCTCTGCTTTCTGATCAGGTGACAGGGATCCCAGAGCTGCCAACTAAGAAGGACAAAGAGAAACCACAACGTCGATGGACATTACACATGACCGCCTGTGCTTTGCTGTCTGCCCAACACAAAGCAACATCCACAAAGAGAGAGAGAGAGAGAGAGAAAGAGAGAAGAAATTGCCTGCAAACACAAGAAGAACAAAGAGAAGGTAATTTACCACACTGATGTTCAGGGCCTTGAGGTCCGAGTAACTGGCCAATGAGGAGAATGGGCCCAAGTTGCTGTCGAGCCATTGGGTAATGCTTTCAGTTTTCTGTCTGCAACCTGATTTTGAGAGACGAGGATGGAGGAAGGTCAGCCTGCTTCATGCACTGCTATGCATCTGACACACAACAATCCTGGCCCGTCACATGAAACTAAACTCGCAACGCACGCCGTCCCGGCAACAGGGAGATGCCGGAACAGGACATACAGGAAGGCCTACCTGGCATACTGAATTGGGAAGAAGCAGCCTTCAGGTGCTCCACCAGATTGCTGGTTATCTCATGGCTCCTGCTCAATGTCATTTTCTGGAAAACCATTCCAAGTCCCTCAACGCTGCAACAGAAAGACAAATAAGTGTGACAAGGTGGATGCGCCGGTGCTGGCAGACAAACATTCTCTGTTTTCAGAAACTCACATCACGCGGTAGTTGGTGCAGTTGACTGTAACTGTGACCTTAACCAGCATCTCTGAGGTGAAACTGGGAAGGATAGGAATGAGATTCACGGTGAACCACACCAGCCAATCCCGAGTCTCAAACTTGTGGAATTTGGTTCCAATGATTGTGAAGGTGCGGTTCATCATCACGTCGCTCACAGCAGGGCTGATGTCCGGAACCTACGGGGACACAACAACAGGAGTGTGAACGGCCCTGTGAGAAAGCTTCATGCTGTTGGCTTTTCTCCGGGGCTTCCACGTGGCCTCGGCCATGCACTTCAATGGATCGACTTGCCTCTGGAGCTGCACTGAGTTTTGTCAGAAACTCCTCCACGTTCACAAAAGCGTTGCCTTCCTCTAGTCGGAGGAACACAGCACCGATCTGGTCCGTGTTGTTGAGCGCTCCAGAGCTCAGGGTGAGTTCAGCTACTTGGGTAGGGCTCAGCAGTGACAGCGATCCCAACTGTAGAATAAGATGGAGAGCAGACGTTGTCACAGATGAAGCGCGTCATATCAAAAATGTATTTTTTTTTAAAGTACAAACAACAACAATAACGACAGTTGACACAGGCAGCTGGCGAAAAGCATCAGGTACGCACGCTGGAGAAATTTGCATTCAGGGTTTCTAAATACTCCACTGTAGCATAGCCAGAGAACAGCCCAAAGTTCTTCTTAAGCCATTCGGCACTGCTCGTCGCTTCGGCAAGACAGGCATGATCTGTATTGAACACAGAGAATTGGGGAAATTCATCAGAAGCGGCATGCCATCGTAAGCAAGCTGCAATATTTGTCAGAAGCTGAGATGCCGACGATGCTTTGGGAACTACGGCAAGACGGATGACAACTCAAGACAGCGACGGCGCTTAAACGTACCTGTTCGGTCATCTCTGGAGAGGAAGGGCTTGATGAAAGCAGTGAAGACGTCCTGTTTTGTCTTCACCACCATGAGGGATGCTTGACGGCTGAGAGCCAGCACCCTATAACGGGGAAAGAGCAGCGGTCATTATGGATTGCCAGACTTTTCTCTCCTAAACACCACCTCAGGACTTGCACAACACTGAGGTTACTTACACAGCTTGGTAGGAGTCACAGCTGAAGTTCTTGGTACTCAGGCAGGACAGAAACTCCACAGAGACAGATGGCAAAAATGCTGTCAGCCGCGCCTGAAACCAGGCTGCAACGAAGCTGGCATTTGCCAGATGTGAAGCGCTGAAGTTACTGATTGTCAGCTCTCCGATGGCATCGAGAATGTTGGACACTGGCAGATCGTTGGTGAGGTTCTGTGGAAGCATTAAGGACATAGATCAACACAGAGCTCTGCGCCAACGCTTCACTTGCGTTCCGGTAAAAGCAGGGCTGGCACCCACCTGACTGGAGTAGACTGACAGCGCATTCTCCAGAACTCCACTGACTTGCTGCAAGAAAAGCTTCCACGCCTCTGTGCTGTTGCTGAAGACGGTTGATGCCTTGCAAGTCAGCAGCGTGACGAGGTCATCAGAGGACAGAGAGGACGTAACCTTGGAGCAAGAGGACAGATAGGTGCAATAAGATAAACAGGACTCTCTGCAAAGACAGGCATACGGGCGCACGGTTGATGGAGGCCTTACCGAAGAGCAGGCATATTCAGGAATGCTGAAGTTGCACAGACGATCGGAGAAATTGCCTGATGCCTGAAGGAGTTCACTGCAAGGCACAAAAGCATGGTTTCCATTTAAACCCACACCTTAAAGGCCAACTATTTTCTCAGCAGACAGACACCACAATGCAACTCACCTGTTGTTAACACCTGCACAAAGGCTCTTTCCTGCAAAGGAAGACCAAGAAATGATCAGTTAGACATCTTTGGGTGCATCTTGCAATTTTATTGCAAAATGAAAATAAACAGAGCAATCGCTTTAATCTCAATCCCAGGCCAGCAATCTTTGTTCTGACTCACCATCGACTAATGTTTCTTTGCACTAGTGAGAGGGAAGATAAAACAAGAAGAGAAGAGAAAGGAATTAGGAACAGCTTTTCTTGGGCTTTCCCCCCCAGACTCAAACAGAATGCCAACACATGCATTACTTACGACAGCAGTGGGGGGCGGAGGCGTGCAGCCTGAAGAGAAGGCAAGACAAAAGAGATATTGTTCAATGGGAGGCCCCTGTCAGAGCGTTTTACGTTCAAACACTTCTGCTCACTGTTCTTTGGCTTTACCAACCGACAAGGCATTGTTTGTCAATTTGAGCAGGTTTACGTAGGTCATACCTTTTGGTGGTGACTGTTGAAGTAGGTCCACACTAGACTTGAGCTGTCCTCCAGCTCCAGATGGAAGATCTGCCAAAGCCTTCTCCATGCCTTTCAGTCTGTCGAAAAACAAACAACAAAAAAGCTCTTTCTTCACTTTTATTTCTATGGAACGAGTAAGGTGGTGACGCTAAGGGGGCTGGTTCGCTCACATTGCTTGGTAAGAATCACATGTGATGTTGGCAGGGATGACTTCCAGCACTGAAGGACTGAAGCTGGCCAGCAGGACCACCAGATTGGTTTGGAACCACAGCACATAGTCACTCGTTTCAAATAGGGGAAGTGAGGGAGCCAGGGCAGTCATGGTCAGATTCAGCATTGTGTCTCGTACAGCCACGTTTGCAATGAAGGTAATATTTTCCTGCGTGGGTGTGGGCAGAGGACAAGAACTGTTACCTCCATGCTCAAAACTTTCAAAGAAAATCCAAACTTGGCTGGCTTGTTTAAAAGCCTCTTAATTCAGGTCCAACCCATGCAAGATGATCGTTTTAAAAACAAAGCAACCAAGCAAGAAACAAACACTACTAACCTCGTGGCAGACTACAACAAATTTTTCAAAGAACATCTCAAGCTGATTCTCGTCTGAAGAGTTCAGGATGCTGATCATCACCTCCTGTACCACGGTCACGTTTTCTAGAGCACCGGTGGTCCGATCCAACAGCAGCTCTGCTTTCTGATCAGGTGACAGGGATCCCAGAGCTGCCAACTAAGAAGGACAAAGAGAAACCACAACGTCGATGGACATTACACATGACCGCCTGTGCTTTGCTGTCTGCCCAACACAAAGCAACATCCACAAAGAGAGAGAGAGAGAGAGAGAAAGAGAGAAGAAATTGCCTGCAAACACAAGAAGAACAAAGAGAAGGTAATTTACCACACTGATGTTCAGGGCCTTGAGGTCCGAGTAACTGGCCAATGAGGAGAATGGGCCCAAGTTGCTGTCGAGCCATTGGGTAATGCTTTCAGTTTTCTGTCTGCAACCTGATTTTGAGAGACGAGGATGGAGGAAGGTCAGCCTGCTTCATGCACTGCTATGCATCTGACACACAACAATCCTGGCCCGTCACATGAAACTAAACTCGCAACGCACGCCGTCCCGGCAACAGGGAGATGCCGGAACAGGACATACAGGAAGGCCTACCTGGCATACTGAATTGGGAAGAAGCAGCCTTCAGGTGCTCCACCAGATTGCTGGTTATCTCATGGCTCCTGCTCAATGTCATTTTCTGGAAAACCATTCCAAGTCCCTCAACGCTGCAACAGAAAGACAAATAAGTGTGACAAGGTGGATGCGCCGGTGCTGGCAGACAAACATTCTCTGTTTTCAGAAACTCACATCACGCGGTAGTTGGTGCAGTTGACTGTAACTGTGACCTTAACCAGCATCTCTGAGGTGAAACTGGGAAGGATAGGAATGAGATTCACGGTGAACCACACCAGCCAATCCCGAGTCTCAAACTTGTGGAATTTGGTTCCAATGATTGTGAAGGTGCGGTTCATCATCACGTCGCTCACAGCAGGGCTGATGTCCGGAACCTACGGGGACACAACAACAGGAGTGTGAACGGCCCTGTGAGAAAGCTTCATGCTGTTGGCTTTTCTCCGGGGCTTCCACGTGGCCTCGGCCATGCACTTCAATGGATCGACTTGCCTCTGGAGCTGCACTGAGTTTTGTCAGAAACTCCTCCACGTTCACAAAAGCGTTGCCTTCCTCTAGTCGGAGGAACACAGCACCGATCTGGTCCGTGTTGTTGAGCGCTCCAGAGCTCAGGGTGAGTTCAGCTACTTGGGTAGGGCTCAGCAGTGACAGCGATCCCAACTGTAGAATAAGATGGAGAGCAGACGTTGTCACAGATGAAGCGCGTCATATCAAAAATGTATTTTTTTTTAAAGTACAAACAACAACAATAACGACAGTTGACACAGGCAGCTGGCGAAAAGCATCAGGTACGCACGCTGGAGAAATTTGCATTCAGGGTTTCTAAATACTCCACTGTAGCATAGCCAGAGAACAGCCCAAAGTTCTTCTTAAGCCATTCGGCACTGCTCGTCGCTTCGGCAAGACAGGCATGATCTGTATTGAACACAGAGAATTGGGGAAATTCATCAGAAGCGGCATGCCATCGTAAGCAAGCTGCAATATTTGTCAGAAGCTGAGATGCCGACGATGCTTTGGGAACTACGGCAAGACGGATGACAACTCAAGACAGCGACGGCGCTTAAACGTACCTGTTCGGTCATCTCTGGAGAGGAAGGGCTTGATGAAAGCAGTGAAGACGTCCTGTTTTGTCTTCACCACCATGAGGGATGCTTGACGGCTGAGAGCCAGCACCCTATAACGGGGAAAGAGCAGCGGTCATTATGGATTGCCAGACTTTTCTCTCCTAAACACCACCTCAGGACTTGCACAACACTGAGGTTACTTACACAGCTTGGTAGGAGTCACAGCTGAAGTTCTTGGTACTCAGGCAGGACAGAAACTCCACAGAGACAGATGGCAAAAATGCTGTCAGCCGCGCCTGAAACCAGGCTGCAACGAAGCTGGCATTTGCCAGATGTGAAGCGCTGAAGTTACTGATTGTCAGCTCTCCGATGGCATCGAGAATGTTGGACACTGGCAGATCGTTGGTGAGGTTCTGTGGAAGCATTAAGGACATAGATCAACACAGAGCTCTGCGCCAACGCTTCACTTGCGTTCCGGTAAAAGCAGGGCTGGCACCCACCTGACTGGAGTAGACTGACAGCGCATTCTCCAGAACTCCACTGACTTGCTGCAAGAAAAGCTTCCACGCCTCTGTGCTGTTGCTGAAGACGGTTGATGCCTTGCAAGTCAGCAGCGTGACGAGGTCATCAGAGGACAGAGAGGACGTAACCTTGGAGCAAGAGGACAGATAGGTGCAATAAGATAAACAGGACTCTCTGCAAAGACAGGCATACGGGCGCACGGTTGATGGAGGCCTTACCGAAGAGCAGGCATATTCAGGAATGCTGAAGTTGCACAGACGATCGGAGAAATTGCCTGATGCCTGAAGGAGTTCACTGCAAGGCACAAAAGCATGGTTTCCATTTAAACCCACACCTTAAAGGCCAACTATTTTCTCAGCAGACAGACACCACAATGCAACTCACCTGTTGTTAACACCTGCACAAAGGCTCTTTCCTGCAAAGGAAGACCAAGAAATGATCAGTTAGACATCTTTGGGTGCATCTTGCAATTTTATTGCAAAATGAAAATAAACAGAGCAATCGCTTTAATCTCAATCCCAGGCCAGCAATCTTTGTTCTGACTCACCATCGACTAATGTTTCTTTGCACTAGTGAGAGGGAAGATAAAACAAGAAGAGAAGAGAAAGGAATTAGGAACAGCTTTTCTTGGGCTTTCCCCCCCAGACTCAAACAGAATGCCAACACATGCATTACTTACGACAGCAGTGGGGGGCGGAGGCGTGCAGCCTGAAGAGAAGGCAAGACAAAAGAGATATTGTTCAATGGGAGGCCCCTGTCAGAGCGTTTTACGTTCAAACACTTCTGCTCACTGTTCTTTGGCTTTACCAACCGACAAGGCATTGTTTGTCAATTTGAGCAGGTTTACGTAGGTCATACCTTTTGGTGGTGACTGTTGAAGTAGGTCCACACTAGACTTGAGCTGTCCTCCAGCTCCAGATGGAAGATCTGCCAAAGCCTTCTCCATGCCTTTCAGTCTGTCGAAAAACAAACAACAAAAAAGCTCTTTCTTCACTTTTATTTCTATGGAACGAGTAAGGTGGTGACGCTAAGGGGGCTGGTTCGCTCACATTGCTTGGTAAGAATCACATGTGATGTTGGCAGGGATGACTTCCAGCACTGAAGGACTGAAGCTGGCCAGCAGGACCACCAGATTGGTTTGGAACCACAGCACATAGTCACTCGTTTCAAATAGGGGAAGTGAGGGAGCCAGGGCAGTCATGGTCAGATTCAGCATTGTGTCTCGTACAGCCACGTTTGCAATGAAGGTAATATTTTCCTGCGTGGGTGTGGGCAGAGGACAAGAACTGTTACCTCCATGCTCAAAACTTTCAAAGAAAATCCAAACTTGGCTGGCTTGTTTAAAAGCCTCTTAATTCAGGTCCAACCCATGCAAGATGATCGTTTTAAAAACAAAGCAACCAAGCAAGAAACAAACACTACTAACCTCGTGGCAGACTACAACAAATTTTTCAAAGAACATCTCAAGCTGATTCTCGTCTGAAGAGTTCAGGATGCTGATCATCACCTCCTGTACCACGGTCACGTTTTCTAGAGCACCGGTGGTCCGATCCAACAGCAGCTCTGCTTTCTGATCAGGTGACAGGGATCCCAGAGCTGCCAACTAAGAAGGACAAAGAGAAACCACAACGTCGATGGACATTACACATGACCGCCTGTGCTTTGCTGTCTGCCCAACACAAAGCAACATCCACAAAGAGAGAGAGAGAGAGAGAGAAAGAGAGAAGAAATTGCCTGCAAACACAAGAAGAACAAAGAGAAGGTAATTTACCACACTGATGTTCAGGGCCTTGAGGTCCGAGTAACTGGCCAATGAGGAGAATGGGCCCAAGTTGCTGTCGAGCCATTGGGTAATGCTTTCAGTTTTCTGTCTGCAACCTGATTTTGAGAGACGAGGATGGAGGAAGGTCAGCCTGCTTCATGCACTGCTATGCATCTGACACACAACAATCCTGGCCCGTCACATGAAACTAAACTCGCAACGCACGCCGTCCCGGCAACAGGGAGATGCCGGAACAGGACATACAGGAAGGCCTACCTGGCATACTGAATTGGGAAGAAGCAGCCTTCAGGTGCTCCACCAGATTGCTGGTTATCTCATGGCTCCTGCTCAATGTCATTTTCTGGAAAACCATTCCAAGTCCCTCAACGCTGCAACAGAAAGACAAATAAGTGTGACAAGGTGGATGCGCCGGTGCTGGCAGACAAACATTCTCTGTTTTCAGAAACTCACATCACGCGGTAGTTGGTGCAGTTGACTGTAACTGTGACCTTAACCAGCATCTCTGAGGTGAAACTGGGAAGGATAGGAATGAGATTCACGGTGAACCACACCAGCCAATCCCGAGTCTCAAACTTGTGGAATTTGGTTCCAATGATTGTGAAGGTGCGGTTCATCATCACGTCGCTCACAGCAGGGCTGATGTCCGGAACCTACGGGGACACAACAACAGGAGTGTGAACGGCCCTGTGAGAAAGCTTCATGCTGTTGGCTTTTCTCCGGGGCTTCCACGTGGCCTCGGCCATGCACTTCAATGGATCGACTTGCCTCTGGAGCTGCACTGAGTTTTGTCAGAAACTCCTCCACGTTCACAAAAGCGTTGCCTTCCTCTAGTCGGAGGAACACAGCACCGATCTGGTCCGTGTTGTTGAGCGCTCCAGAGCTCAGGGTGAGTTCAGCTACTTGGGTAGGGCTCAGCAGTGACAGCGATCCCAACTGTAGAATAAGATGGAGAGCAGACGTTGTCACAGATGAAGCGCGTCATATCAAAAATGTATTTTTTTTTAAAGTACAAACAACAACAATAACGACAGTTGACACAGGCAGCTGGCGAAAAGCATCAGGTACGCACGCTGGAGAAATTTGCATTCAGGGTTTCTAAATACTCCACTGTAGCATAGCCAGAGAACAGCCCAAAGTTCTTCTTAAGCCATTCGGCACTGCTCGTCGCTTCGGCAAGACAGGCATGATCTGTATTGAACACAGAGAATTGGGGAAATTCATCAGAAGCGGCATGCCATCGTAAGCAAGCTGCAATATTTGTCAGAAGCTGAGATGCCGACGATGCTTTGGGAACTACGGCAAGACGGATGACAACTCAAGACAGCGACGGCGCTTAAACGTACCTGTTCGGTCATCTCTGGAGAGGAAGGGCTTGATGAAAGCAGTGAAGACGTCCTGTTTTGTCTTCACCACCATGAGGGATGCTTGACGGCTGAGAGCCAGCACCCTATAACGGGGAAAGAGCAGCGGTCATTATGGATTGCCAGACTTTTCTCTCCTAAACACCACCTCAGGACTTGCACAACACTGAGGTTACTTACACAGCTTGGTAGGAGTCACAGCTGAAGTTCTTGGTACTCAGGCAGGACAGAAACTCCACAGAGACAGATGGCAAAAATGCTGTCAGCCGCGCCTGAAACCAGGCTGCAACGAAGCTGGCATTTGCCAGATGTGAAGCGCTGAAGTTACTGATTGTCAGCTCTCCGATGGCATCGAGAATGTTGGACACTGGCAGATCGTTGGTGAGGTTCTGTGGAAGCATTAAGGACATAGATCAACACAGAGCTCTGCGCCAACGCTTCACTTGCGTTCCGGTAAAAGCAGGGCTGGCACCCACCTGACTGGAGTAGACTGACAGCGCATTCTCCAGAACTCCACTGACTTGCTGCAAGAAAAGCTTCCACGCCTCTGTGCTGTTGCTGAAGACGGTTGATGCCTTGCAAGTCAGCAGCGTGACGAGGTCATCAGAGGACAGAGAGGACGTAACCTTGGAGCAAGAGGACAGATAGGTGCAATAAGATAAACAGGACTCTCTGCAAAGACAGGCATACGGGCGCACGGTTGATGGAGGCCTTACCGAAGAGCAGGCATATTCAGGAATGCTGAAGTTGCACAGACGATCGGAGAAATTGCCTGATGCCTGAAGGAGTTCACTGCAAGGCACAAAAGCATGGTTTCCATTTAAACCCACACCTTAAAGGCCAACTATTTTCTCAGCAGACAGACACCACAATGCAACTCACCTGTTGTTAACACCTGCACAAAGGCTCTTTCCTGCAAAGGAAGACCAAGAAATGATCAGTTAGACATCTTTGGGTGCATCTTGCAATTTTATTGCAAAATGAAAATAAACAGAGCAATCGCTTTAATCTCAATCCCAGGCCAGCAATCTTTGTTCTGACTCACCATCGACTAATGTTTCTTTGCACTAGTGAGAGGGAAGATAAAACAAGAAGAGAAGAGAAAGGAATTAGGAACAGCTTTTCTTGGGCTTTCCCCCCCAGACTCAAACAGAATGCCAACACATGCATTACTTACGACAGCAGTGGGGGGCGGAGGCGTGCAGCCTGAAGAGAAGGCAAGACAAAAGAGATATTGTTCAATGGGAGGCCCCTGTCAGAGCGTTTTACGTTCAAACACTTCTGCTCACTGTTCTTTGGCTTTACCAACCGACAAGGCATTGTTTGTCAATTTGAGCAGGTTTACGTAGGTCATACCTTTTGGTGGTGACTGTTGAAGTAGGTCCACACTAGACTTGAGCTGTCCTCCAGCTCCAGATGGAAGATCTGCCAAAGCCTTCTCCATGCCTTTCAGTCTGTCGAAAAACAAACAACAAAAAAGCTCTTTCTTCACTTTTATTTCTATGGAACGAGTAAGGTGGTGACGCTAAGGGGGCTGGTTCGCTCACATTGCTTGGTAAGAATCACATGTGATGTTGGCAGGGATGACTTCCAGCACTGAAGGACTGAAGCTGGCCAGCAGGACCACCAGATTGGTTTGGAACCACAGCACATAGTCACTCGTTTCAAATAGGGGAAGTGAGGGAGCCAGGGCAGTCATGGTCAGATTCAGCATTGTGTCTCGTACAGCCACGTTTGCAATGAAGGTAATATTTTCCTGCGTGGGTGTGGGCAGAGGACAAGAACTGTTACCTCCATGCTCAAAACTTTCAAAGAAAATCCAAACTTGGCTGGCTTGTTTAAAAGCCTCTTAATTCAGGTCCAACCCATGCAAGATGATCGTTTTAAAAACAAAGCAACCAAGCAAGAAACAAACACTACTAACCTCGTGGCAGACTACAACAAATTTTTCAAAGAACATCTCAAGCTGATTCTCGTCTGAAGAGTTCAGGATGCTGATCATCACCTCCTGTACCACGGTCACGTTTTCTAGAGCACCGGTGGTCCGATCCAACAGCAGCTCTGCTTTCTGATCAGGTGACAGGGATCCCAGAGCTGCCAACTAAGAAGGACAAAGAGAAACCACAACGTCGATGGACATTACACATGACCGCCTGTGCTTTGCTGTCTGCCCAACACAAAGCAACATCCACAAAGAGAGAGAGAGAGAGAGAGAAAGAGAGAAGAAATTGCCTGCAAACACAAGAAGAACAAAGAGAAGGTAATTTACCACACTGATGTTCAGGGCCTTGAGGTCCGAGTAACTGGCCAATGAGGAGAATGGGCCCAAGTTGCTGTCGAGCCATTGGGTAATGCTTTCAGTTTTCTGTCTGCAACCTGATTTTGAGAGACGAGGATGGAGGAAGGTCAGCCTGCTTCATGCACTGCTATGCATCTGACACACAACAATCCTGGCCCGTCACATGAAACTAAACTCGCAACGCACGCCGTCCCGGCAACAGGGAGATGCCGGAACAGGACATACAGGAAGGCCTACCTGGCATACTGAATTGGGAAGAAGCAGCCTTCAGGTGCTCCACCAGATTGCTGGTTATCTCATGGCTCCTGCTCAATGTCATTTTCTGGAAAACCATTCCAAGTCCCTCAACGCTGCAACAGAAAGACAAATAAGTGTGACAAGGTGGATGCGCCGGTGCTGGCAGACAAACATTCTCTGTTTTCAGAAACTCACATCACGCGGTAGTTGGTGCAGTTGACTGTAACTGTGACCTTAACCAGCATCTCTGAGGTGAAACTGGGAAGGATAGGAATGAGATTCACGGTGAACCACACCAGCCAATCCCGAGTCTCAAACTTGTGGAATTTGGTTCCAATGATTGTGAAGGTGCGGTTCATCATCACGTCGCTCACAGCAGGGCTGATGTCCGGAACCTACGGGGACACAACAACAGGAGTGTGAACGGCCCTGTGAGAAAGCTTCATGCTGTTGGCTTTTCTCCGGGGCTTCCACGTGGCCTCGGCCATGCACTTCAATGGATCGACTTGCCTCTGGAGCTGCACTGAGTTTTGTCAGAAACTCCTCCACGTTCACAAAAGCGTTGCCTTCCTCTAGTCGGAGGAACACAGCACCGATCTGGTCCGTGTTGTTGAGCGCTCCAGAGCTCAGGGTGAGTTCAGCTACTTGGGTAGGGCTCAGCAGTGACAGCGATCCCAACTGTAGAATAAGATGGAGAGCAGACGTTGTCACAGATGAAGCGCGTCATATCAAAAATGTATTTTTTTTTAAAGTACAAACAACAACAATAACGACAGTTGACACAGGCAGCTGGCGAAAAGCATCAGGTACGCACGCTGGAGAAATTTGCATTCAGGGTTTCTAAATACTCCACTGTAGCATAGCCAGAGAACAGCCCAAAGTTCTTCTTAAGCCATTCGGCACTGCTCGTCGCTTCGGCAAGACAGGCATGATCTGTATTGAACACAGAGAATTGGGGAAATTCATCAGAAGCGGCATGCCATCGTAAGCAAGCTGCAATATTTGTCAGAAGCTGAGATGCCGACGATGCTTTGGGAACTACGGCAAGACGGATGACAACTCAAGACAGCGACGGCGCTTAAACGTACCTGTTCGGTCATCTCTGGAGAGGAAGGGCTTGATGAAAGCAGTGAAGACGTCCTGTTTTGTCTTCACCACCATGAGGGATGCTTGACGGCTGAGAGCCAGCACCCTATAACGGGGAAAGAGCAGCGGTCATTATGGATTGCCAGACTTTTCTCTCCTAAACACCACCTCAGGACTTGCACAACACTGAGGTTACTTACACAGCTTGGTAGGAGTCACAGCTGAAGTTCTTGGTACTCAGGCAGGACAGAAACTCCACAGAGACAGATGGCAAAAATGCTGTCAGCCGCGCCTGAAACCAGGCTGCAACGAAGCTGGCATTTGCCAGATGTGAAGCGCTGAAGTTACTGATTGTCAGCTCTCCGATGGCATCGAGAATGTTGGACACTGGCAGATCGTTGGTGAGGTTCTGTGGAAGCATTAAGGACATAGATCAACACAGAGCTCTGCGCCAACGCTTCACTTGCGTTCCGGTAAAAGCAGGGCTGGCACCCACCTGACTGGAGTAGACTGACAGCGCATTCTCCAGAACTCCACTGACTTGCTGCAAGAAAAGCTTCCACGCCTCTGTGCTGTTGCTGAAGACGGTTGATGCCTTGCAAGTCAGCAGCGTGACGAGGTCATCAGAGGACAGAGAGGACGTAACCTTGGAGCAAGAGGACAGATAGGTGCAATAAGATAAACAGGACTCTCTGCAAAGACAGGCATACGGGCGCACGGTTGATGGAGGCCTTACCGAAGAGCAGGCATATTCAGGAATGCTGAAGTTGCACAGACGATCGGAGAAATTGCCTGATGCCTGAAGGAGTTCACTGCAAGGCACAAAAGCATGGTTTCCATTTAAACCCACACCTTAAAGGCCAACTATTTTCTCAGCAGACAGACACCACAATGCAACTCACCTGTTGTTAACACCTGCACAAAGGCTCTTTCCTGCAAAGGAAGACCAAGAAATGATCAGTTAGACATCTTTGGGTGCATCTTGCAATTTTATTGCAAAATGAAAATAAACAGAGCAATCGCTTTAATCTCAATCCCAGGCCAGCAATCTTTGTTCTGACTCACCATCGACTAATGTTTCTTTGCACTAGTGAGAGGGAAGATAAAACAAGAAGAGAAGAGAAAGGAATTAGGAACAGCTTTTCTTGGGCTTTCCCCCCCAGACTCAAACAGAATGCCAACACATGCATTACTTACGACAGCAGTGGGGGGCGGAGGCGTGCAGCCTGAAGAGAAGGCAAGACAAAAGAGATATTGTTCAATGGGAGGCCCCTGTCAGAGCGTTTTACGTTCAAACACTTCTGCTCACTGTTCTTTGGCTTTACCAACCGACAAGGCATTGTTTGTCAATTTGAGCAGGTTTACGTAGGTCATACCTTTTGGTGGTGACTGTTGAAGTAGGTCCACACTAGACTTGAGCTGTCCTCCAGCTCCAGATGGAAGATCTGCCAAAGCCTTCTCCATGCCTTTCAGTCTGTCGAAAAACAAACAACAAAAAAGCTCTTTCTTCACTTTTATTTCTATGGAACGAGTAAGGTGGTGACGCTAAGGGGGCTGGTTCGCTCACATTGCTTGGTAAGAATCACATGTGATGTTGGCAGGGATGACTTCCAGCACTGAAGGACTGAAGCTGGCCAGCAGGACCACCAGATTGGTTTGGAACCACAGCACATAGTCACTCGTTTCAAATAGGGGAAGTGAGGGAGCCAGGGCAGTCATGGTCAGATTCAGCATTGTGTCTCGTACAGCCACGTTTGCAATGAAGGTAATATTTTCCTGCGTGGGTGTGGGCAGAGGACAAGAACTGTTACCTCCATGCTCAAAACTTTCAAAGAAAATCCAAACTTGGCTGGCTTGTTTAAAAGCCTCTTAATTCAGGTCCAACCCATGCAAGATGATCGTTTTAAAAACAAAGCAACCAAGCAAGAAACAAACACTACTAACCTCGTGGCAGACTACAACAAATTTTTCAAAGAACATCTCAAGCTGATTCTCGTCTGAAGAGTTCAGGATGCTGATCATCACCTCCTGTACCACGGTCACGTTTTCTAGAGCACCGGTGGTCCGATCCAACAGCAGCTCTGCTTTCTGATCAGGTGACAGGGATCCCAGAGCTGCCAACTAAGAAGGACAAAGAGAAACCACAACGTCGATGGACATTACACATGACCGCCTGTGCTTTGCTGTCTGCCCAACACAAAGCAACATCCACAAAGAGAGAGAGAGAGAGAGAGAAAGAGAGAAGAAATTGCCTGCAAACACAAGAAGAACAAAGAGAAGGTAATTTACCACACTGATGTTCAGGGCCTTGAGGTCCGAGTAACTGGCCAATGAGGAGAATGGGCCCAAGTTGCTGTCGAGCCATTGGGTAATGCTTTCAGTTTTCTGTCTGCAACCTGATTTTGAGAGACGAGGATGGAGGAAGGTCAGCCTGCTTCATGCACTGCTATGCATCTGACACACAACAATCCTGGCCCGTCACATGAAACTAAACTCGCAACGCACGCCGTCCCGGCAACAGGGAGATGCCGGAACAGGACATACAGGAAGGCCTACCTGGCATACTGAATTGGGAAGAAGCAGCCTTCAGGTGCTCCACCAGATTGCTGGTTATCTCATGGCTCCTGCTCAATGTCATTTTCTGGAAAACCATTCCAAGTCCCTCAACGCTGCAACAGAAAGACAAATAAGTGTGACAAGGTGGATGCGCCGGTGCTGGCAGACAAACATTCTCTGTTTTCAGAAACTCACATCACGCGGTAGTTGGTGCAGTTGACTGTAACTGTGACCTTAACCAGCATCTCTGAGGTGAAACTGGGAAGGATAGGAATGAGATTCACGGTGAACCACACCAGCCAATCCCGAGTCTCAAACTTGTGGAATTTGGTTCCAATGATTGTGAAGGTGCGGTTCATCATCACGTCGCTCACAGCAGGGCTGATGTCCGGAACCTACGGGGACACAACAACAGGAGTGTGAACGGCCCTGTGAGAAAGCTTCATGCTGTTGGCTTTTCTCCGGGGCTTCCACGTGGCCTCGGCCATGCACTTCAATGGATCGACTTGCCTCTGGAGCTGCACTGAGTTTTGTCAGAAACTCCTCCACGTTCACAAAAGCGTTGCCTTCCTCTAGTCGGAGGAACACAGCACCGATCTGGTCCGTGTTGTTGAGCGCTCCAGAGCTCAGGGTGAGTTCAGCTACTTGGGTAGGGCTCAGCAGTGACAGCGATCCCAACTGTAGAATAAGATGGAGAGCAGACGTTGTCACAGATGAAGCGCGTCATATCAAAAATGTATTTTTTTTTAAAGTACAAACAACAACAATAACGACAGTTGACACAGGCAGCTGGCGAAAAGCATCAGGTACGCACGCTGGAGAAATTTGCATTCAGGGTTTCTAAATACTCCACTGTAGCATAGCCAGAGAACAGCCCAAAGTTCTTCTTAAGCCATTCGGCACTGCTCGTCGCTTCGGCAAGACAGGCATGATCTGTATTGAACACAGAGAATTGGGGAAATTCATCAGAAGCGGCATGCCATCGTAAGCAAGCTGCAATATTTGTCAGAAGCTGAGATGCCGACGATGCTTTGGGAACTACGGCAAGACGGATGACAACTCAAGACAGCGACGGCGCTTAAACGTACCTGTTCGGTCATCTCTGGAGAGGAAGGGCTTGATGAAAGCAGTGAAGACGTCCTGTTTTGTCTTCACCACCATGAGGGATGCTTGACGGCTGAGAGCCAGCACCCTATAACGGGGAAAGAGCAGCGGTCATTATGGATTGCCAGACTTTTCTCTCCTAAACACCACCTCAGGACTTGCACAACACTGAGGTTACTTACACAGCTTGGTAGGAGTCACAGCTGAAGTTCTTGGTACTCAGGCAGGACAGAAACTCCACAGAGACAGATGGCAAAAATGCTGTCAGCCGCGCCTGAAACCAGGCTGCAACGAAGCTGGCATTTGCCAGATGTGAAGCGCTGAAGTTACTGATTGTCAGCTCTCCGATGGCATCGAGAATGTTGGACACTGGCAGATCGTTGGTGAGGTTCTGTGGAAGCATTAAGGACATAGATCAACACAGAGCTCTGCGCCAACGCTTCACTTGCGTTCCGGTAAAAGCAGGGCTGGCACCCACCTGACTGGAGTAGACTGACAGCGCATTCTCCAGAACTCCACTGACTTGCTGCAAGAAAAGCTTCCACGCCTCTGTGCTGTTGCTGAAGACGGTTGATGCCTTGCAAGTCAGCAGCGTGACGAGGTCATCAGAGGACAGAGAGGACGTAACCTTGGAGCAAGAGGACAGATAGGTGCAATAAGATAAACAGGACTCTCTGCAAAGACAGGCATACGGGCGCACGGTTGATGGAGGCCTTACCGAAGAGCAGGCATATTCAGGAATGCTGAAGTTGCACAGACGATCGGAGAAATTGCCTGATGCCTGAAGGAGTTCACTGCAAGGCACAAAAGCATGGTTTCCATTTAAACCCACACCTTAAAGGCCAACTATTTTCTCAGCAGACAGACACCACAATGCAACTCACCTGTTGTTAACACCTGCACAAAGGCTCTTTCCTGCAAAGGAAGACCAAGAAATGATCAGTTAGACATCTTTGGGTGCATCTTGCAATTTTATTGCAAAATGAAAATAAACAGAGCAATCGCTTTAATCTCAATCCCAGGCCAGCAATCTTTGTTCTGACTCACCATCGACTAATGTTTCTTTGCACTAGTGAGAGGGAAGATAAAACAAGAAGAGAAGAGAAAGGAATTAGGAACAGCTTTTCTTGGGCTTTCCCCCCCAGACTCAAACAGAATGCCAACACATGCATTACTTACGACAGCAGTGGGGGGCGGAGGCGTGCAGCCTGAAGAGAAGGCAAGACAAAAGAGATATTGTTCAATGGGAGGCCCCTGTCAGAGCGTTTTACGTTCAAACACTTCTGCTCACTGTTCTTTGGCTTTACCAACCGACAAGGCATTGTTTGTCAATTTGAGCAGGTTTACGTAGGTCATACCTTTTGGTGGTGACTGTTGAAGTAGGTCCACACTAGACTTGAGCTGTCCTCCAGCTCCAGATGGAAGATCTGCCAAAGCCTTCTCCATGCCTTTCAGTCTGTCGAAAAACAAACAACAAAAAAGCTCTTTCTTCACTTTTATTTCTATGGAACGAGTAAGGTGGTGACGCTAAGGGGGCTGGTTCGCTCACATTGCTTGGTAAGAATCACATGTGATGTTGGCAGGGATGACTTCCAGCACTGAAGGACTGAAGCTGGCCAGCAGGACCACCAGATTGGTTTGGAACCACAGCACATAGTCACTCGTTTCAAATAGGGGAAGTGAGGGAGCCAGGGCAGTCATGGTCAGATTCAGCATTGTGTCTCGTACAGCCACGTTTGCAATGAAGGTAATATTTTCCTGCGTGGGTGTGGGCAGAGGACAAGAACTGTTACCTCCATGCTCAAAACTTTCAAAGAAAATCCAAACTTGGCTGGCTTGTTTAAAAGCCTCTTAATTCAGGTCCAACCCATGCAAGATGATCGTTTTAAAAACAAAGCAACCAAGCAAGAAACAAACACTACTAACCTCGTGGCAGACTACAACAAATTTTTCAAAGAACATCTCAAGCTGATTCTCGTCTGAAGAGTTCAGGATGCTGATCATCACCTCCTGTACCACGGTCACGTTTTCTAGAGCACCGGTGGTCCGATCCAACAGCAGCTCTGCTTTCTGATCAGGTGACAGGGATCCCAGAGCTGCCAACTAAGAAGGACAAAGAGAAACCACAACGTCGATGGACATTACACATGACCGCCTGTGCTTTGCTGTCTGCCCAACACAAAGCAACATCCACAAAGAGAGAGAGAGAGAGAGAGAAAGAGAGAAGAAATTGCCTGCAAACACAAGAAGAACAAAGAGAAGGTAATTTACCACACTGATGTTCAGGGCCTTGAGGTCCGAGTAACTGGCCAATGAGGAGAATGGGCCCAAGTTGCTGTCGAGCCATTGGGTAATGCTTTCAGTTTTCTGTCTGCAACCTGATTTTGAGAGACGAGGATGGAGGAAGGTCAGCCTGCTTCATGCACTGCTATGCATCTGACACACAACAATCCTGGCCCGTCACATGAAACTAAACTCGCAACGCACGCCGTCCCGGCAACAGGGAGATGCCGGAACAGGACATACAGGAAGGCCTACCTGGCATACTGAATTGGGAAGAAGCAGCCTTCAGGTGCTCCACCAGATTGCTGGTTATCTCATGGCTCCTGCTCAATGTCATTTTCTGGAAAACCATTCCAAGTCCCTCAACGCTGCAACAGAAAGACAAATAAGTGTGACAAGGTGGATGCGCCGGTGCTGGCAGACAAACATTCTCTGTTTTCAGAAACTCACATCACGCGGTAGTTGGTGCAGTTGACTGTAACTGTGACCTTAACCAGCATCTCTGAGGTGAAACTGGGAAGGATAGGAATGAGATTCACGGTGAACCACACCAGCCAATCCCGAGTCTCAAACTTGTGGAATTTGGTTCCAATGATTGTGAAGGTGCGGTTCATCATCACGTCGCTCACAGCAGGGCTGATGTCCGGAACCTACGGGGACACAACAACAGGAGTGTGAACGGCCCTGTGAGAAAGCTTCATGCTGTTGGCTTTTCTCCGGGGCTTCCACGTGGCCTCGGCCATGCACTTCAATGGATCGACTTGCCTCTGGAGCTGCACTGAGTTTTGTCAGAAACTCCTCCACGTTCACAAAAGCGTTGCCTTCCTCTAGTCGGAGGAACACAGCACCGATCTGGTCCGTGTTGTTGAGCGCTCCAGAGCTCAGGGTGAGTTCAGCTACTTGGGTAGGGCTCAGCAGTGACAGCGATCCCAACTGTAGAATAAGATGGAGAGCAGACGTTGTCACAGATGAAGCGCGTCATATCAAAAATGTATTTTTTTTTAAAGTACAAACAACAACAATAACGACAGTTGACACAGGCAGCTGGCGAAAAGCATCAGGTACGCACGCTGGAGAAATTTGCATTCAGGGTTTCTAAATACTCCACTGTAGCATAGCCAGAGAACAGCCCAAAGTTCTTCTTAAGCCATTCGGCACTGCTCGTCGCTTCGGCAAGACAGGCATGATCTGTATTGAACACAGAGAATTGGGGAAATTCATCAGAAGCGGCATGCCATCGTAAGCAAGCTGCAATATTTGTCAGAAGCTGAGATGCCGACGATGCTTTGGGAACTACGGCAAGACGGATGACAACTCAAGACAGCGACGGCGCTTAAACGTACCTGTTCGGTCATCTCTGGAGAGGAAGGGCTTGATGAAAGCAGTGAAGACGTCCTGTTTTGTCTTCACCACCATGAGGGATGCTTGACGGCTGAGAGCCAGCACCCTATAACGGGGAAAGAGCAGCGGTCATTATGGATTGCCAGACTTTTCTCTCCTAAACACCACCTCAGGACTTGCACAACACTGAGGTTACTTACACAGCTTGGTAGGAGTCACAGCTGAAGTTCTTGGTACTCAGGCAGGACAGAAACTCCACAGAGACAGATGGCAAAAATGCTGTCAGCCGCGCCTGAAACCAGGCTGCAACGAAGCTGGCATTTGCCAGATGTGAAGCGCTGAAGTTACTGATTGTCAGCTCTCCGATGGCATCGAGAATGTTGGACACTGGCAGATCGTTGGTGAGGTTCTGTGGAAGCATTAAGGACATAGATCAACACAGAGCTCTGCGCCAACGCTTCACTTGCGTTCCGGTAAAAGCAGGGCTGGCACCCACCTGACTGGAGTAGACTGACAGCGCATTCTCCAGAACTCCACTGACTTGCTGCAAGAAAAGCTTCCACGCCTCTGTGCTGTTGCTGAAGACGGTTGATGCCTTGCAAGTCAGCAGCGTGACGAGGTCATCAGAGGACAGAGAGGACGTAACCTTGGAGCAAGAGGACAGATAGGTGCAATAAGATAAACAGGACTCTCTGCAAAGACAGGCATACGGGCGCACGGTTGATGGAGGCCTTACCGAAGAGCAGGCATATTCAGGAATGCTGAAGTTGCACAGACGATCGGAGAAATTGCCTGATGCCTGAAGGAGTTCACTGCAAGGCACAAAAGCATGGTTTCCATTTAAACCCACACCTTAAAGGCCAACTATTTTCTCAGCAGACAGACACCACAATGCAACTCACCTGTTGTTAACACCTGCACAAAGGCTCTTTCCTGCAAAGGAAGACCAAGAAATGATCAGTTAGACATCTTTGGGTGCATCTTGCAATTTTATTGCAAAATGAAAATAAACAGAGCAATCGCTTTAATCTCAATCCCAGGCCAGCAATCTTTGTTCTGACTCACCATCGACTAATGTTTCTTTGCACTAGTGAGAGGGAAGATAAAACAAGAAGAGAAGAGAAAGGAATTAGGAACAGCTTTTCTTGGGCTTTCCCCCCCAGACTCAAACAGAATGCCAACACATGCATTACTTACGACAGCAGTGGGGGGCGGAGGCGTGCAGCCTGAAGAGAAGGCAAGACAAAAGAGATATTGTTCAATGGGAGGCCCCTGTCAGAGCGTTTTACGTTCAAACACTTCTGCTCACTGTTCTTTGGCTTTACCAACCGACAAGGCATTGTTTGTCAATTTGAGCAGGTTTACGTAGGTCATACCTTTTGGTGGTGACTGTTGAAGTAGGTCCACACTAGACTTGAGCTGTCCTCCAGCTCCAGATGGAAGATCTGCCAAAGCCTTCTCCATGCCTTTCAGTCTGTCGAAAAACAAACAACAAAAAAGCTCTTTCTTCACTTTTATTTCTATGGAACGAGTAAGGTGGTGACGCTAAGGGGGCTGGTTCGCTCACATTGCTTGGTAAGAATCACATGTGATGTTGGCAGGGATGACTTCCAGCACTGAAGGACTGAAGCTGGCCAGCAGGACCACCAGATTGGTTTGGAACCACAGCACATAGTCACTCGTTTCAAATAGGGGAAGTGAGGGAGCCAGGGCAGTCATGGTCAGATTCAGCATTGTGTCTCGTACAGCCACGTTTGCAATGAAGGTAATATTTTCCTGCGTGGGTGTGGGCAGAGGACAAGAACTGTTACCTCCATGCTCAAAACTTTCAAAGAAAATCCAAACTTGGCTGGCTTGTTTAAAAGCCTCTTAATTCAGGTCCAACCCATGCAAGATGATCGTTTTAAAAACAAAGCAACCAAGCAAGAAACAAACACTACTAACCTCGTGGCAGACTACAACAAATTTTTCAAAGAACATCTCAAGCTGATTCTCGTCTGAAGAGTTCAGGATGCTGATCATCACCTCCTGTACCACGGTCACGTTTTCTAGAGCACCGGTGGTCCGATCCAACAGCAGCTCTGCTTTCTGATCAGGTGACAGGGATCCCAGAGCTGCCAACTAAGAAGGACAAAGAGAAACCACAACGTCGATGGACATTACACATGACCGCCTGTGCTTTGCTGTCTGCCCAACACAAAGCAACATCCACAAAGAGAGAGAGAGAGAGAGAGAAAGAGAGAAGAAATTGCCTGCAAACACAAGAAGAACAAAGAGAAGGTAATTTACCACACTGATGTTCAGGGCCTTGAGGTCCGAGTAACTGGCCAATGAGGAGAATGGGCCCAAGTTGCTGTCGAGCCATTGGGTAATGCTTTCAGTTTTCTGTCTGCAACCTGATTTTGAGAGACGAGGATGGAGGAAGGTCAGCCTGCTTCATGCACTGCTATGCATCTGACACACAACAATCCTGGCCCGTCACATGAAACTAAACTCGCAACGCACGCCGTCCCGGCAACAGGGAGATGCCGGAACAGGACATACAGGAAGGCCTACCTGGCATACTGAATTGGGAAGAAGCAGCCTTCAGGTGCTCCACCAGATTGCTGGTTATCTCATGGCTCCTGCTCAATGTCATTTTCTGGAAAACCATTCCAAGTCCCTCAACGCTGCAACAGAAAGACAAATAAGTGTGACAAGGTGGATGCGCCGGTGCTGGCAGACAAACATTCTCTGTTTTCAGAAACTCACATCACGCGGTAGTTGGTGCAGTTGACTGTAACTGTGACCTTAACCAGCATCTCTGAGGTGAAACTGGGAAGGATAGGAATGAGATTCACGGTGAACCACACCAGCCAATCCCGAGTCTCAAACTTGTGGAATTTGGTTCCAATGATTGTGAAGGTGCGGTTCATCATCACGTCGCTCACAGCAGGGCTGATGTCCGGAACCTACGGGGACACAACAACAGGAGTGTGAACGGCCCTGTGAGAAAGCTTCATGCTGTTGGCTTTTCTCCGGGGCTTCCACGTGGCCTCGGCCATGCACTTCAATGGATCGACTTGCCTCTGGAGCTGCACTGAGTTTTGTCAGAAACTCCTCCACGTTCACAAAAGCGTTGCCTTCCTCTAGTCGGAGGAACACAGCACCGATCTGGTCCGTGTTGTTGAGCGCTCCAGAGCTCAGGGTGAGTTCAGCTACTTGGGTAGGGCTCAGCAGTGACAGCGATCCCAACTGTAGAATAAGATGGAGAGCAGACGTTGTCACAGATGAAGCGCGTCATATCAAAAATGTATTTTTTTTTAAAGTACAAACAACAACAATAACGACAGTTGACACAGGCAGCTGGCGAAAAGCATCAGGTACGCACGCTGGAGAAATTTGCATTCAGGGTTTCTAAATACTCCACTGTAGCATAGCCAGAGAACAGCCCAAAGTTCTTCTTAAGCCATTCGGCACTGCTCGTCGCTTCGGCAAGACAGGCATGATCTGTATTGAACACAGAGAATTGGGGAAATTCATCAGAAGCGGCATGCCATCGTAAGCAAGCTGCAATATTTGTCAGAAGCTGAGATGCCGACGATGCTTTGGGAACTACGGCAAGACGGATGACAACTCAAGACAGCGACGGCGCTTAAACGTACCTGTTCGGTCATCTCTGGAGAGGAAGGGCTTGATGAAAGCAGTGAAGACGTCCTGTTTTGTCTTCACCACCATGAGGGATGCTTGACGGCTGAGAGCCAGCACCCTATAACGGGGAAAGAGCAGCGGTCATTATGGATTGCCAGACTTTTCTCTCCTAAACACCACCTCAGGACTTGCACAACACTGAGGTTACTTACACAGCTTGGTAGGAGTCACAGCTGAAGTTCTTGGTACTCAGGCAGGACAGAAACTCCACAGAGACAGATGGCAAAAATGCTGTCAGCCGCGCCTGAAACCAGGCTGCAACGAAGCTGGCATTTGCCAGATGTGAAGCGCTGAAGTTACTGATTGTCAGCTCTCCGATGGCATCGAGAATGTTGGACACTGGCAGATCGTTGGTGAGGTTCTGTGGAAGCATTAAGGACATAGATCAACACAGAGCTCTGCGCCAACGCTTCACTTGCGTTCCGGTAAAAGCAGGGCTGGCACCCACCTGACTGGAGTAGACTGACAGCGCATTCTCCAGAACTCCACTGACTTGCTGCAAGAAAAGCTTCCACGCCTCTGTGCTGTTGCTGAAGACGGTTGATGCCTTGCAAGTCAGCAGCGTGACGAGGTCATCAGAGGACAGAGAGGACGTAACCTTGGAGCAAGAGGACAGATAGGTGCAATAAGATAAACAGGACTCTCTGCAAAGACAGGCATACGGGCGCACGGTTGATGGAGGCCTTACCGAAGAGCAGGCATATTCAGGAATGCTGAAGTTGCACAGACGATCGGAGAAATTGCCTGATGCCTGAAGGAGTTCACTGCAAGGCACAAAAGCATGGTTTCCATTTAAACCCACACCTTAAAGGCCAACTATTTTCTCAGCAGACAGACACCACAATGCAACTCACCTGTTGTTAACACCTGCACAAAGGCTCTTTCCTGCAAAGGAAGACCAAGAAATGATCAGTTAGACATCTTTGGGTGCATCTTGCAATTTTATTGCAAAATGAAAATAAACAGAGCAATCGCTTTAATCTCAATCCCAGGCCAGCAATCTTTGTTCTGACTCACCATCGACTAATGTTTCTTTGCACTAGTGAGAGGGAAGATAAAACAAGAAGAGAAGAGAAAGGAATTAGGAACAGCTTTTCTTGGGCTTTCCCCCCCAGACTCAAACAGAATGCCAACACATGCATTACTTACGACAGCAGTGGGGGGCGGAGGCGTGCAGCCTGAAGAGAAGGCAAGACAAAAGAGATATTGTTCAATGGGAGGCCCCTGTCAGAGCGTTTTACGTTCAAACACTTCTGCTCACTGTTCTTTGGCTTTACCAACCGACAAGGCATTGTTTGTCAATTTGAGCAGGTTTACGTAGGTCATACCTTTTGGTGGTGACTGTTGAAGTAGGTCCACACTAGACTTGAGCTGTCCTCCAGCTCCAGATGGAAGATCTGCCAAAGCCTTCTCCATGCCTTTCAGTCTGTCGAAAAACAAACAACAAAAAAGCTCTTTCTTCACTTTTATTTCTATGGAACGAGTAAGGTGGTGACGCTAAGGGGGCTGGTTCGCTCACATTGCTTGGTAAGAATCACATGTGATGTTGGCAGGGATGACTTCCAGCACTGAAGGACTGAAGCTGGCCAGCAGGACCACCAGATTGGTTTGGAACCACAGCACATAGTCACTCGTTTCAAATAGGGGAAGTGAGGGAGCCAGGGCAGTCATGGTCAGATTCAGCATTGTGTCTCGTACAGCCACGTTTGCAATGAAGGTAATATTTTCCTGCGTGGGTGTGGGCAGAGGACAAGAACTGTTACCTCCATGCTCAAAACTTTCAAAGAAAATCCAAACTTGGCTGGCTTGTTTAAAAGCCTCTTAATTCAGGTCCAACCCATGCAAGATGATCGTTTTAAAAACAAAGCAACCAAGCAAGAAACAAACACTACTAACCTCGTGGCAGACTACAACAAATTTTTCAAAGAACATCTCAAGCTGATTCTCGTCTGAAGAGTTCAGGATGCTGATCATCACCTCCTGTACCACGGTCACGTTTTCTAGAGCACCGGTGGTCCGATCCAACAGCAGCTCTGCTTTCTGATCAGGTGACAGGGATCCCAGAGCTGCCAACTAAGAAGGACAAAGAGAAACCACAACGTCGATGGACATTACACATGACCGCCTGTGCTTTGCTGTCTGCCCAACACAAAGCAACATCCACAAAGAGAGAGAGAGAGAGAGAGAAAGAGAGAAGAAATTGCCTGCAAACACAAGAAGAACAAAGAGAAGGTAATTTACCACACTGATGTTCAGGGCCTTGAGGTCCGAGTAACTGGCCAATGAGGAGAATGGGCCCAAGTTGCTGTCGAGCCATTGGGTAATGCTTTCAGTTTTCTGTCTGCAACCTGATTTTGAGAGACGAGGATGGAGGAAGGTCAGCCTGCTTCATGCACTGCTATGCATCTGACACACAACAATCCTGGCCCGTCACATGAAACTAAACTCGCAACGCACGCCGTCCCGGCAACAGGGAGATGCCGGAACAGGACATACAGGAAGGCCTACCTGGCATACTGAATTGGGAAGAAGCAGCCTTCAGGTGCTCCACCAGATTGCTGGTTATCTCATGGCTCCTGCTCAATGTCATTTTCTGGAAAACCATTCCAAGTCCCTCAACGCTGCAACAGAAAGACAAATAAGTGTGACAAGGTGGATGCGCCGGTGCTGGCAGACAAACATTCTCTGTTTTCAGAAACTCACATCACGCGGTAGTTGGTGCAGTTGACTGTAACTGTGACCTTAACCAGCATCTCTGAGGTGAAACTGGGAAGGATAGGAATGAGATTCACGGTGAACCACACCAGCCAATCCCGAGTCTCAAACTTGTGGAATTTGGTTCCAATGATTGTGAAGGTGCGGTTCATCATCACGTCGCTCACAGCAGGGCTGATGTCCGGAACCTACGGGGACACAACAACAGGAGTGTGAACGGCCCTGTGAGAAAGCTTCATGCTGTTGGCTTTTCTCCGGGGCTTCCACGTGGCCTCGGCCATGCACTTCAATGGATCGACTTGCCTCTGGAGCTGCACTGAGTTTTGTCAGAAACTCCTCCACGTTCACAAAAGCGTTGCCTTCCTCTAGTCGGAGGAACACAGCACCGATCTGGTCCGTGTTGTTGAGCGCTCCAGAGCTCAGGGTGAGTTCAGCTACTTGGGTAGGGCTCAGCAGTGACAGCGATCCCAACTGTAGAATAAGATGGAGAGCAGACGTTGTCACAGATGAAGCGCGTCATATCAAAAATGTATTTTTTTTTAAAGTACAAACAACAACAATAACGACAGTTGACACAGGCAGCTGGCGAAAAGCATCAGGTACGCACGCTGGAGAAATTTGCATTCAGGGTTTCTAAATACTCCACTGTAGCATAGCCAGAGAACAGCCCAAAGTTCTTCTTAAGCCATTCGGCACTGCTCGTCGCTTCGGCAAGACAGGCATGATCTGTATTGAACACAGAGAATTGGGGAAATTCATCAGAAGCGGCATGCCATCGTAAGCAAGCTGCAATATTTGTCAGAAGCTGAGATGCCGACGATGCTTTGGGAACTACGGCAAGACGGATGACAACTCAAGACAGCGACGGCGCTTAAACGTACCTGTTCGGTCATCTCTGGAGAGGAAGGGCTTGATGAAAGCAGTGAAGACGTCCTGTTTTGTCTTCACCACCATGAGGGATGCTTGACGGCTGAGAGCCAGCACCCTATAACGGGGAAAGAGCAGCGGTCATTATGGATTGCCAGACTTTTCTCTCCTAAACACCACCTCAGGACTTGCACAACACTGAGGTTACTTACACAGCTTGGTAGGAGTCACAGCTGAAGTTCTTGGTACTCAGGCAGGACAGAAACTCCACAGAGACAGATGGCAAAAATGCTGTCAGCCGCGCCTGAAACCAGGCTGCAACGAAGCTGGCATTTGCCAGATGTGAAGCGCTGAAGTTACTGATTGTCAGCTCTCCGATGGCATCGAGAATGTTGGACACTGGCAGATCGTTGGTGAGGTTCTGTGGAAGCATTAAGGACATAGATCAACACAGAGCTCTGCGCCAACGCTTCACTTGCGTTCCGGTAAAAGCAGGGCTGGCACCCACCTGACTGGAGTAGACTGACAGCGCATTCTCCAGAACTCCACTGACTTGCTGCAAGAAAAGCTTCCACGCCTCTGTGCTGTTGCTGAAGACGGTTGATGCCTTGCAAGTCAGCAGCGTGACGAGGTCATCAGAGGACAGAGAGGACGTAACCTTGGAGCAAGAGGACAGATAGGTGCAATAAGATAAACAGGACTCTCTGCAAAGACAGGCATACGGGCGCACGGTTGATGGAGGCCTTACCGAAGAGCAGGCATATTCAGGAATGCTGAAGTTGCACAGACGATCGGAGAAATTGCCTGATGCCTGAAGGAGTTCACTGCAAGGCACAAAAGCATGGTTTCCATTTAAACCCACACCTTAAAGGCCAACTATTTTCTCAGCAGACAGACACCACAATGCAACTCACCTGTTGTTAACACCTGCACAAAGGCTCTTTCCTGCAAAGGAAGACCAAGAAATGATCAGTTAGACATCTTTGGGTGCATCTTGCAATTTTATTGCAAAATGAAAATAAACAGAGCAATCGCTTTAATCTCAATCCCAGGCCAGCAATCTTTGTTCTGACTCACCATCGACTAATGTTTCTTTGCACTAGTGAGAGGGAAGATAAAACAAGAAGAGAAGAGAAAGGAATTAGGAACAGCTTTTCTTGGGCTTTCCCCCCCAGACTCAAACAGAATGCCAACACATGCATTACTTACGACAGCAGTGGGGGGCGGAGGCGTGCAGCCTGAAGAGAAGGCAAGACAAAAGAGATATTGTTCAATGGGAGGCCCCTGTCAGAGCGTTTTACGTTCAAACACTTCTGCTCACTGTTCTTTGGCTTTACCAACCGACAAGGCATTGTTTGTCAATTTGAGCAGGTTTACGTAGGTCATACCTTTTGGTGGTGACTGTTGAAGTAGGTCCACACTAGACTTGAGCTGTCCTCCAGCTCCAGATGGAAGATCTGCCAAAGCCTTCTCCATGCCTTTCAGTCTGTCGAAAAACAAACAACAAAAAAGCTCTTTCTTCACTTTTATTTCTATGGAACGAGTAAGGTGGTGACGCTAAGGGGGCTGGTTCGCTCACATTGCTTGGTAAGAATCACATGTGATGTTGGCAGGGATGACTTCCAGCACTGAAGGACTGAAGCTGGCCAGCAGGACCACCAGATTGGTTTGGAACCACAGCACATAGTCACTCGTTTCAAATAGGGGAAGTGAGGGAGCCAGGGCAGTCATGGTCAGATTCAGCATTGTGTCTCGTACAGCCACGTTTGCAATGAAGGTAATATTTTCCTGCGTGGGTGTGGGCAGAGGACAAGAACTGTTACCTCCATGCTCAAAACTTTCAAAGAAAATCCAAACTTGGCTGGCTTGTTTAAAAGCCTCTTAATTCAGGTCCAACCCATGCAAGATGATCGTTTTAAAAACAAAGCAACCAAGCAAGAAACAAACACTACTAACCTCGTGGCAGACTACAACAAATTTTTCAAAGAACATCTCAAGCTGATTCTCGTCTGAAGAGTTCAGGATGCTGATCATCACCTCCTGTACCACGGTCACGTTTTCTAGAGCACCGGTGGTCCGATCCAACAGCAGCTCTGCTTTCTGATCAGGTGACAGGGATCCCAGAGCTGCCAACTAAGAAGGACAAAGAGAAACCACAACGTCGATGGACATTACACATGACCGCCTGTGCTTTGCTGTCTGCCCAACACAAAGCAACATCCACAAAGAGAGAGAGAGAGAGAGAGAAAGAGAGAAGAAATTGCCTGCAAACACAAGAAGAACAAAGAGAAGGTAATTTACCACACTGATGTTCAGGGCCTTGAGGTCCGAGTAACTGGCCAATGAGGAGAATGGGCCCAAGTTGCTGTCGAGCCATTGGGTAATGCTTTCAGTTTTCTGTCTGCAACCTGATTTTGAGAGACGAGGATGGAGGAAGGTCAGCCTGCTTCATGCACTGCTATGCATCTGACACACAACAATCCTGGCCCGTCACATGAAACTAAACTCGCAACGCACGCCGTCCCGGCAACAGGGAGATGCCGGAACAGGACATACAGGAAGGCCTACCTGGCATACTGAATTGGGAAGAAGCAGCCTTCAGGTGCTCCACCAGAATGCTGGTTATCTCATGGCTCCTGCTCAATGTCATTTTCTGGAAAACCATTCCAAGTCCCTCAACGCTGCAACAGAAAGACAAATAAGTGTGACAAGGTGGATGCGCCGGTGCTGGCAGACAAACATTCTCTGTTTTCAGAAACTCACATCACGCGGTAGTTGGTGCAGTTGACTGTAACTGTGACCTTAACCAGCATTTCTGAGGTGAAACTGGGAAGGATAGGAATGAGATTCACGGTGAACCACACCAGCCAATCCCGAGTCTCAAACTTGTGGAATTTGGTTCCAATGATTGTGAAGGTGCGGTTCATCATCACGTCGCTCACAGCAGGGCTGATGTCCGGAACCTACGGGGACACAACAACAGGAGTGTGAACGGCCCTGTGAGAAAGCTTCATGCTGTTGGCTTTTCTCCGGGGCTTCCACGTGGCCTCGGCCATGCACTTCAATGGATCGACTTGCCTCTGGAGCTGCACTGAGTTTTGTCAGAAACTCCTCCACGTTCACAAAAGCGTTGCCTTCCTCTAGTCGGAGGAACACAGCACCGATCTGGTCCGTGTTGTTGAGCGCTCCAGAGCTCAGGGTGAGTTCAGCTACTTGGGTAGGGCTCAGCAGTGACAGCGATCCCAACTGTAGAATAAGATGGAGAGCAGACGTTGTCACAGATGAAGCGCGTCATATCAAAAATGTATTTTTTTTTAAAGTACAAACAACAACAATAACGACAGTTGACACAGGCAGCTGGCGAAAAGCATCAGGTACGCACGCTGGAGAAATTTGCATTCAGGGTTTCTAAATACTCCACTGTAGCATAGCCAGAGAACAGCCCAAAGTTCTTCTTAAGCCATTCGGCACTGCTCGTCGCTTCGGCAAGACAGGCATGATCTGTATTGAACACAGAGAATTGGGGAAATTCATCAGAAGCGGCATGCCATCGTAAGCAAGCTGCAATATTTGTCAGAAGCTGCAGTGCCGACGATGCTTTGGGAACTACGGCAAGACGGATGACAACTCAAGACAGCGACGGCGCTTAAACGTACCTGTTCGGTCATCTCTGGAGAGGAAGGGCTTGATGAAAGCAGTGAAGACGTCCTGTTTTGTCTTCACCACCATGAGGGATGCTTGACGGCTGAGAGCCAGCACCCTATAACGGGGAAAGAGCAGCGGTCATTATGGATTGCCAGACTTTTCTCTCCTAAACACCACCTCAGGACTTGCACAACACTGAGGTTACTTACACAGCTTGGTAGGAGTCACAGCTGAAGTTCTTGGTACTCAGGCAGGACAGAAACTCCACAGAGACAGATGGCAAAAATGCTGTCAGCCGCGCCTGAAACCAGGCTGCAACGAAGCTGGCATTTGCCAGATGTGAAGCGCTGAAGTTACTGATTGTCAGCTCTCCGATGGCATCGAGAATGTTGGACACTGGCAGATCGTTGGTGAGGTTCTGTGGAAGCATTAAGGACATAGATCAACACAGAGCTCTGCGCCAACGCTTCACTTGCGTTCCGGTAAAAGCAGGGCTGGCACCCACCTGACTGGAGTAGACTGACAGCGCATTCTCCAGAACTCCACTGACTTGCTGCAAGAAAAGCTTCCACGCCTCTGTGCTGTTGCTGAAGACGGTTGATGCCTTGCAAGTCAGCAGCGTGACGAGGTCATCAGAGGACAGAGAGGACGTAACCTTGGAGCAAGAGGACAGATAGGTGCAATAAGATAAACAGGACTCTCTGCAAAGACAGGCATACGGGCGCACGGTTGATGGAGGCCTTACCGAAGAGCAGGCATATTCAGGAATGCTGAAGTTGCACAGACGATCGGAGAAATTGCCTGATGCCTGAAGGAGTTCACTGCAAGGCACAAAAGCATGGTTTCCATTTAAACCCACACCTTAAAGGCCAACTATTTTCTCAGCAGACAGACACCACAATGCAACTCACCTGTTGTTAACACCTGCACAAAGGCTCTTTCCTGCAAAGGAAGACCAAGAAATGATCAGTTAGACATCTTTGGGTGCATCTTGCAATTTTATTGCAAAATGAAAATAAACAGAGCAATCGCTTTAATCTCAATCCCAGGCCAGCAATCTTTGTTCTGACTCACCATCGACTAATGTTTCTTTGCACTAGTGAGAGGGAAGATAAAACAAGAAGAGAAGAGAAAGGAATTAGGAACAGCTTTTCTTGGGCTTTCCCCCCCAGACTCAAACAGAATGCCAACACATGCATTACTTACGACAGCAGTGGGGGGCGGAGGCGTGCAGCCTGAAGAGAAGGCAAGACAAAAGAGATATTGTTCAATGGGAGGCCCCTGTCAGAGCGTTTTACGTTCAAACACTTCTGCTCACTGTTCTTTGGCTTTACCAACCGACAAGGCATTGTTTGTCAATTTGAGCAGGTTTACGTAGGTCATACCTTTTGGTGGTGACTGTTGAAGTAGGTCCACACTAGACTTGAGCTGTCCTCCAGCTCCAGATGGAAGATCTGCCAAAGCCTTCTCCATGCCTTTCAGTCTGTCGAAAAACAAACAACAAAAAAGCTCTTTCTTCACTTTTATTTCTATGGAACGAGTAAGGTGGTGACGCTAAGGGGGCTGGTTCGCTCACATTGCTTGGTAAGAATCACATGTGATGTTGGCAGGGATGACTTCCAGCACTGAAGGACTGAAGCTGGCCAGCAGGACCACCAGATTGGTTTGGAACCACAGCACATAGTCACTCGTTTCAAATAGGGGAAGTGAGGGAGCCAGGGCAGTCATGGTCAGATTCAGCATTGTGTCTCGTACAGCCACGTTTGCAATGAAGGTAATATTTTCCTGCGTGGGTGTGGGCAGAGGACAAGAACTGTTACCTCCATGCTCAAAACTTTCAAAGAAAATCCAAACTTGGCTGGCTTGTTTAAAAGCCTCTTAATTCAGGTCCAACCCATGCAAGATGATCGTTTTAAAAACAAAGCAACCAAGCAAGAAACAAACACTACTAACCTCGTGGCAGACTACAACAAATTTTTCAAAGAACATCTCAAGCTGATTCTCGTCTGAAGAGTTCAGGATGCTGATCATCACCTCCTGTACCACGGTCACGTTTTCTAGAGCACCGGTGGTCCGATCCAACAGCAGCTCTGCTTTCTGATCAGGTGACAGGGATCCCAGAGCTGCCAACTAAGAAGGACAAAGAGAAACCACAACGTCGATGGACATTACACATGACCGCCTGTGCTTTGCTGTCTGCCCAACACAAAGCAACATCCACAAAGAGAGAGAGAGAGAGAGAGAAAGAGAGAAGAAATTGCCTGCAAACACAAGAAGAACAAAGAGAAGGTAATTTACCACACTGATGTTCAGGGCCTTGAGGTCCGAGTAACTGGCCAATGAGGAGAATGGGCCCAAGTTGCTGTCGAGCCATTGGGTAATGCTTTCAGTTTTCTGTCTGCAACCTGATTTTGAGAGACGAGGATGGAGGAAGGTCAGCCTGCTTCATGCACTGCTATGCATCTGACACACAACAATCCTGGCCCGTCACATGAAACTAAACTCGCAACGCACGCCGTCCCGGCAACAGGGAGATGCCGGAACAGGACATACAGGAAGGCCTACCTGGCATACTGAATTGGGAAGAAGCAGCCTTCAGGTGCTCCACCAGATTGCTGGTTATCTCATGGCTCCTGCTCAATGTCATTTTCTGGAAAACCATTCCAAGTCCCTCAACGCTGCAACAGAAAGACAAATAAGTGTGACAAGGTGGATGCGCCGGTGCTGGCAGACAAACATTCTCTGTTTTCAGAAACTCACATCACGCGGTAGTTGGTGCAGTTGACTGTAACTGTGACCTTAACCAGCATCTCTGAGGTGAAACTGGGAAGGATAGGAATGAGATTCACGGTGAACCACACCAGCCAATCCCGAGTCTCAAACTTGTGGAATTTGGTTCCAATGATTGTGAAGGTGCGGTTCATCATCACGTCGCTCACAGCAGGGCTGATGTCCGGAACCTACGGGGACACAACAACAGGAGTGTGAACGGCCCTGTGAGAAAGCTTCATGCTGTTGGCTTTTCTCCGGGGCTTCCACGTGGCCTCGGCCATGCACTTCAATGGATCGACTTGCCTCTGGAGCTGCACTGAGTTTTGTCAGAAACTCCTCCACGTTCACAAAAGCGTTGCCTTCCTCTAGTCGGAGGAACACAGCACCGATCTGGTCCGTGTTGTTGAGCGCTCCAGAGCTCAGGGTGAGTTCAGCTACTTGGGTAGGGCTCAGCAGTGACAGCGATCCCAACTGTAGAATAAGATGGAGAGCAGACGTTGTCACAGATGAAGCGCGTCATATCAAAAATGTATTTTTTTTTAAAGTACAAGCAACAACAATAACGACAGTTGACACAGGCAGCTGGCGAAAAGCATCAGGTACGCACGCTGGAGAAATTTGCATTCAGGGTTTCTAAATACTCCACTGTAGCATAGCCAGAGAACAGCCCAAAGTTCTTCTTAAGCCATTCGGCACTGCTCGTCGCTTCGGCAAGACAGGCATGATCTGTATTGAACACAGAGAATTGGGGAAATTCATCAGAAGCGGCATGCCATCGTAAGCAAGCTGCAATATTTGTCAGAAGCTGAGATGCCGACGATGCTTTGGGAACTACGGCAAGACGGATGACAACTCAAGACAGCGACGGCGCTTAAACGTACCTGTTCGGTCATCTCTGGAGAGGAAGGGCTTGATGAAAGCAGTGAAGACGTCCTGTTTTGTCTCCACCACCATGAGGGATGCTTGACGGCTGAGAGCCAGCACCCTATAACGGGGAAAGAGCAGCGGTCATTATGGATTGCCAGACTTTTCTCTCCTAAACACCACCTCAGGACTTGCACAACACTGAGGTTACTTACACAGCTTGGTAGGAGTCACAGCTGAAGTTCTTGGTACTCAGGCAGGACAGAAACTCCACAGAGACAGATGGCAAAAATGCTGTCAGCCGCGCCTGAAACCAGGCTGCAACGAAGCTGGCATTTGCCAGATGTGAAGCGCTGAAGTTACTGATTGTCAGCTCTCCGATGGCATCGAGAATGTTGGACACTGGCAGATCGTTGGTGAGGTTCTGTGGAAGCATTAAGGACATAGATCAACACAGAGCTCTGCGCCAACGCTTCACTTGCGTTCCGGTAAAAGCAGGGCTGGCACCCACCTGACTGGAGTAGACTGACAGCGCATTCTCCAGAACTCCACTGACTTGCTGCAAGAAAAGCTTCCACGCCTCTGTGCTGTTGCTGAAGACGGTTGATGCCTTGCAAGTCAGCAGCGTGACGAGGTCATCAGAGGACAGAGAGGACGTAACCTTGGAGCAAGAGGACAGATAGGTGCAATAAGATAAACAGGACTCTCTGCAAAGACAGGCATACGGGCGCACGGTTGATGGAGGCCTTACCGAAGAGCAGGCATATTCAGGAATGCTGAAGTTGCACAGACGATCGGAGAAATTGCCTGATGCCTGAAGGAGTTCACTGCAAGGCACAAAAGCATGGTTTCCATTTAAACCCACACCTTAAAGGCCAACTATTTTCTCAGCAGACAGACACCACAATGCAACTCACCTGTTGTTAACACCTGCACAAAGGCTCTTTCCTGCAAAGGAAGACCAAGAAATGATCAGTTAGACATCTTTAGGTGCATCTTGCAATTTTATTGCAAAATGAAAATAAACAGAGCAATCGCTTTAATCTCAATCCCAGGCCAGCAATCTTTGTTCTGACTCACCATCGACTAATGTTTCTTTGCACTAGTGAGAGGGAAGATAAAACAAGAAGAGAAGAGAAAGGAATTAGGAACAGCTTTTCTTGGGCTTTCCCCCCCAGACTCAAACAGAATGCCAACACATGCATTACTTACGACAGCAGTGGGGGGCGGAGGCGTGCAGCCTGAAGAGAAGGCAAGACAAAAGAGATATTGTTCAATGGGAGGCCCCTGTCAGAGCGTTTTACGTTCAAACACTTCTGCTCACTGTTCTTTGGCTTTACCAACCGACAAGGCATTGTTTGTCAATTTGAGCAGGTTTACGTAGGTCATACCTTTTGGTGGTGACTGTTGAAGTAGGTCCACACTAGACTTGAGCTGTCCTCCAGCTCCAGATGGAAGATCTGCCAAAGCCTTCTCCATGCCTTTCAGTCTGTCGAAAAACAAACAACAAAAAAGCTCTTTCTTCACTTTTATTTCTATGGAACGAGTAAGGTGGTGACGCTAAGGGGGCTGGTTCGCTCACATTGCTTGGTAAGAATCACATGTGATGTTGGCAGGGATGACTTCCAGCACTGAAGGACTGAAGCTGGCCAGCAGGACCACCAGATTGGTTTGGAACCACAGCACATAGTCACTCGTTTCAAATAGGGCAAGTGAGGGAGCCAGGGCAGTCATGGTCAGATTCAGCATTGTGTCTCGTACAGCCACGTTTGCAATGAAGGTAATATTTTCCTGCGTGGGTGTGGGCAGAGGACAAGAACTGTTACCTCCATGCTCAAAACTTTCAAAGAAAATCCAAACTTGGCTGGCTTGTTTAAAAGCCTCTTAATTCAGGTCCAACCCATGCAAGATGATCGTTTTAAAAACAAAGCAACCAAGCAAGAAACAAACACTACTAACCTCGTGGCAGACTACAACAAATTTTTCAAAGAACATCTCAAGCTGATTCTCGTCTGAAGAGTTCAGGATGCTGATCATCACCTCCTGTACCACGGTCACGTTTTCTAGAGCACCGGTGGTCCGATCCAACAGCAGCTCTGCTTTCTGATCAGGTGACAGGGATCCCAGAGCTGCCAACTAAGAAGGACAAAGAGAAACCACAACGTCGATGGACATTACACATGACCGCCTGTGCTTTGCTGTCTGCCCAACACAAAGCAACATCCACAAAGAGAGAGAGAGAGAGAGAGAAAGAGAGAAGAAATTGCCTGCAAACACAAGAAGAACAAAGAGAAGGTAATTTACCACACTGATGTTCAGGGCCTTGAGGTCCGAGTAACTGGCCAATGAGGAGAATGGGCCCAAGTTGCTGTCGAGCCATTGGGTAACGCTTTCAGTTTTCTGTCTGCAACCTGATTTTGAGAGACGAGGATGGAGGAAGGTCAGCCTGCTTCATGCACTGCTATGCATCTGACACACAACAATCCTGGCCCGTCACATGAAACTAAACTCGCAACGCACGCCGTCCCGGCAACAGGGAGATGCCGGAACAGGACATACAGGAAGGCCTACCTGGCATACTGAATTGGGAAGAAGCAGCCTTCAGGTGCTCCACCAGAATGCTGGTTATCTCATGGCTCCTGCTCAATGTCATTTTCTGGAAAACCATTCCAAGTCCCTCAACGCTGCAACAGAAAGACAAATAAGTGTGACAAGGTGGATGCGCCGGTGCTGGCAGACAAACATTCTCTGTTTTCAGAAACTCACATCACGCGGTAGTTGGTGCAGTTGACTGTAACTGTGACCTTAACCAGCATCTCTGAGGTGAAACTGGGAAGGATAGGAATGAGATTCACGGTGAACCACACCAGCCAATCCCGAGTCTCAAACTTGTGGAATTTGGTTCCAATGATTGTGAAGGTGCGGTTCATCATCACGTCGCTCACAGCAGGGCTGATGTCCGGAACCTACGGGGACACAACAACAGGAGTGTGAACGGCCCTGTGAGAAAGCTTCATGCTGTTGGCTTTTCTCCGGGGCTTCCACGTGGCCTCGGCCATGCACTTCAATGGATCGACTTGCCTCTGGAGCTGCACTGAGTTTTGTCAGAAACTCCTCCACGTTCACAAAAGCGTTGCCTTCCTCTAGTCGGAGGAACACAGCACCGATCTGGTCCGTGTTGTTGAGCGCTCCAGAGCTCAGGGTGAGTTCAGCTACTTGGGTAGGGCTCAGCAGTCGTAATGATGAAAAAAACTGAATCATATTATAAACAGCAGTTTTATCAACAATTCTGACATTAAAGAAATAAATGCTGTGAATGGAAAGTATGAATGTCTACTTGCATTGTAAAAGTCTCTGTTTAGAGTTTGAAGGTCCTTCAAGGTAGCATACTTGGAGAACTCAGCAAAATTCCTATTGAGCCAGTCTGCGCTGCTCATATTGTTAGAATTACAGGCAGCATCTGAATTTAACATAGAATATTGAAGAAATGTGAAGAATATTGTCTTAAACAGGGATACAATGAGCATAATAGCTTATTTTTTCTTTATTATGATCAAGCTTTCATTAATTTAATGACAGGCATAATTGTAAGTACTTTTTAATGCATCAATAAAATAAATAAAAACGCACCTGGAAATTTTCTAGACAAGAATGGCTTAATGAACTGGGTGTAGATGGAGGACTTTAATGTCTCATTGATTTGTGTCGCCTGCTCACTGAGTGTTTTTATTCTACATACAAAAGCAAACATTTAAGATCAAGCCACAGTTTAATTTAGTTTCTGTGTAACATCAGTGCATTTAGAATACAACTCATACATTTCCTGATAGGAGGCACATGAAAAGTTGATCTTGCTCATGTTGTACATGAAGTCTGAGTTCACAAATGGGAGAATTGGAACCAGCTTGACACACAGCCAAGACTGAACAAACTCCACGTTCTGCGCATTCTCCGCAGTCAGTGTGGCTAAAGCACCAAAAGTGTCAGCAATGCCCTCGATTGAAGAAACTCCCTGAAAGTCAGAAAATAAAAGATGTTTTAGCACTCACATCACAGACAATCCTAAGTGATTATCTGTTCGAGAAGCAGTAGAGCATCCAGGCCGAAGAAACAAATCGAACCCTGCATTGCAGTGCACAGTTTTCACTGATACAGACACAACTAAATTATGATTATTCGGCTGATTGCAAGCATGAAAGAAAATGATTTCAGAAACAAAACTGAATGCACAAACTAAATAAAAATCTATACAGATGATGATAAGCAAAGCAGGTGTTGTCCAGCAGAGGGCAAAGATGTGGTTAAATGTAGTTTTCTTACAAGGAGAACCATGACATTTAGTGTGGACGTAACAATCTTTCCAAGCTCATTTTGCAGCATTTGTAGATTCTCTTGAGGAAAACTAGCTTTGCTGTTTGATAAACACTGTAGTTGGTTTGCAGTGTTATCCACAGTGTTTAGAATCTGGATATGAAAACAAAAAGTCATAAATTATAAACATTTGAATAGGACACTGTCAAGTATCTCCTACATCGGGATATGTAAGCATATTCTCATTAGCTTCTTCCGACATGAGTTTTAGCTTCCTTTGTTATGTTATTGAAATGATGATGACCCATAGTGTAAAAGAGTTTCCCCTTATACTGACAGTCTGAGATTACACTGAAACAACGGAGACTAATGAAATCCATCTGAACTGGGGCTAATATCAATAACTGAACGCCTACAAATTTGTCAGAATCTATAGTGGTCCACTGAAAGTCGGGAGAGCCTGTTATTTGGCATTTTGAATTCATTTTTTTCCTTCTGTTTTGTATTTTATTTGTTGTTCTTAATTATGCGTTTATATTATCTTCCAATTCTTCACATAAATTCAGCTAAATGGACAAAGAATGAAAATCAGACAGTGTAGGCTAAATCTGGCTCATTTTTACATACTGAATGTACTGTTGATGTCCTTTGTCAATTACTAAATAAATAAATTAGACATCCCTAAGACTATCTCCACTTGATCAGTAAAAAGCAAAAACTAAACTACATATTTGTGGGTAAAACTTGACTGGTAATAAAAGCACTTTATGTTCAATATATTTGTATGTTTGTTTAAAGTCCTATTGCCATGTATATGGGTTAGGTCAGTGGGGTTCATCACGGTGCTAATAAATTATATACTAATAATAATATAATTAGACTTTTTCATTGGTCTGATTGCTTCTATTATTCTACTATTTTACAAGTTGCTCTAGATAAAAACATCTGCTAAATAGCTACATGTAAACATCACAATGCTTTACAAAGTTTAACAAGCAGATTTCTTGAAAGTTTCCTGGAAATGTTGCCACAGATCATAAGGTTTTAGACTCATCTCATCTGCATCTTTCTATAAGCATACAACAATCCTTCTGGATAATAATAATAATAATTTTTATTTTCAATGCACTTTTCTCAAGCTCAAAGCTCTACGAGGGAAAAAACAAAGCTGTAAAAACAACAAGTAGGAAAGTACATGAAGTACATGATAATGTACGTGATAAACATGAAGTACGATAACGATAGATCACACATTAAAAACACTACTAAAGAGCTGAGTCTTAAGAAGCTTCTTAAAACAGTCCAGAGACAGTGAATCGATATGGTGAACGAGATGCCTGAACATGTACACCACTTTTTAAAACTGGGCGTTTTTATTTTAATTAACATCTTTATTTAGAAAAGATGGTTTAATGTGACAGGAAGGACATTTACACTATTTTATTATGCCTTCTGAACTACATTTCACAAATCTACAAAGCCACAACACTGACAAGAACCTGAAATGTTTCATCACATTATTCTGATTTCTGGAGGATCAGCGTGTGTCTCTGAAGACCGAAGTAATGATGCTGAAGGTTTTGCTCAGGGGTTAGGGAAAAAAGGAAAATACTTTTGGATCATGTCTTTACAATTATGTTTTGAAACAGTTTTCATCAAAACTGAGAGACAAAGAGCCGCAGGCCTGGCGCCTTTCAATTTGCAAGCGTGTAATAATGGAACACTAAAAACTGTATGTATGTATATATATATATATATATATATATATATATATATATATATATATATATATATATAATTATTATTGTTATTATTGGTATTTTTTTTTACAAAATATTTATGAAGTTGATAGTAAACCAAGTGGTTATTATGCGTTTTAAAGCAAATCTCTTTTATAAAAGTGCAATGATCAACCTCATGGAGCAAGAAATAAAGAGGTATGTACCGTGATTGGTTTGTGTTGCCTTAAAAATAGTCCAATATAGTATTACAGGTTTACAGGTATACAGGTTTACTGATGTAATGTTAAATTGGTCAAGAATAGTGAATGATCCTAAACACAGGAGACGCCTGACAGTCAGTCATCACAGTCCCAACCATCGAGGTCTGAGTTTTTGGACCAACCCTAAATAATCTATTGATTTTCCCATGTATCTGTTATCCTTGAAGTTTCCTGCGCTGCTTAAACTATCCAGCCCCACAACTAAACAATTCAGTACCTTTCCAAAGCGACTGCTGGCCCCAATGCCTAGCTCTGCCACGTCTGCTAGAAATTATATTAGACATTTCAAAATGTATGAGAATTGAAACTGCTCATTTTATAGTATTTGACAATGTGCTTGATCTAACAAAGCAGAAGAGACTTTAAAAACACAAATTTAATGCCAAGAATACGAGTTATAAAAAGACATGGGCCTACTGCCTTTAGAAAGGTAGCGTAACGGGACAGCAATATTACGCTGTCGATATTTCACCTTTACTTTAATCTAAGCGATGTCTTATCCAACACCTCCAGCATCTCCGATTAACAGACTCTGAGTATGTTGGCTCTTCTTTATAGTTGTCCAGACTGACTGGAATTTCGGCTTCATAATGAACTGAAGCTTGATTTACATTTCTGGGCCTTGTGACATCCACCACCTTCCCCATCAATCGCTTTCGGTATTCCTCATTTATTAGTTGGGGTTAGGATAACAAATGTAAATCTAAGAGTTCTGGGACATTCTGCAGATCATAGAAGCATGCAGTACATTTTAGAGGTACTTCTTTCCTCTAGAAGCTTCCACCTGAACTGATAAATGCCCACTTTTGCTGACTGGAAATGACTTCACTATATTATTAATGCCTAATGAATCAGTTCAACAAAAACAACTGCAACATTCAACTGTGATGATGTAGGAAGACAGCAGAGAGAGTTCACTCACCAGAGAGCTGAAATTTCGGAGATTGATGGGATTACAGCGGTCCAGGGTTTGATTGGTAGTGCTCCTGTAACAGCGGAAATAAATGATATTGAGCCTTCAGATTTACTCCAAATATTCAAACGCTACCTCTGAACGTTAATCGAGATGAATACTTACGCAGTAGTGAGACTGCATGGTGCTGTTTCTAGAGAAAGACAGAGATGTGCTCGTTAGTTTTCATGCACTCACTGAAGAATCGGACTGTACTTGACTAGAGGTCTGCTGCGTTCTGTCATGAGACAGACACTGTTGAGGATATCTAAAATTAAATCAACACTTGGGCAGCTCTTTATGCCGCTCGTGAGGATATTTATCACTGATGAAGTACATGTAGTTCTTTTTGAGATGCTCCTCAAATGGGTAAGTTCATTGTTTGTAAATAAGAAGCTAACAATGTGAAGATGAGGGTCTTTCTTTCACTGCCGTGAGTCAAGGTGAATACAACAATGGGAAAGAACTAAGAACTGAAGAAGGCCTACAAACACCTCCAGCAGCAGCAGCAGCAGCGTGAACGCCACCTCACTACACAATTCATGAACACTCACTGCTGTTTTCAACATGTTCCTCATGTCTCTTGTTCTCCTTAAAGTATGTTGTGGTCTGATTTTGTATACAACACAAGTAAACAAACAAAGCCTTGTCAGTAACCTAAGCAAACAGAGAGTTAAAGGGAAAAATCTCTTCTTCTGTCCTCTAACACTGTCTGACAGCACCACCTGCAGGATCAGCACCTCTTTTCTTCAGGCTTTCTGTTCTTCAACCCTCTTTTACTTCTTCTTCTTCTTCTTGTAAGTTTACAGCGGTTGGCATCCAGCGTTTTGGTGCGTTGCCGCCACCTTCAGCTCCGGAGTGTGGACCAGAGGTTAGGTTTACAGACTAATACCCCCCCACTTCCCTCATTCCCACCCTTTCTCATACACACACACACACACATACTTACAACCACAGCCCTCACCCCTACTCCTATGTCAAAATAATAATCATAATACTCATAATAATAATATCCACCACAATACTTTTACTCCTACTTTTACTTCTACTTGTTCTAATAGTTCTATTTAACTCTCTTCCCTTTACATTCTATTACAATTTAAATGATTTATTTACTTATTTATTTTAAAACCTATTAAAAACATCAGTTTACTCTATAAGAATTCTGAACTGAACCCTGTCAACCCTCTTTTAATGCCCACAGGAACCGATGTATAGTGGACTCATGCCTATATAAAGCGTGTGGATGTTTCCCAGTGATGGGTTGCAGCTGAAAGGGCATCCGCTGTGTAAAACAGATGCTGGATGAGATGGCGGTTCATATTTAATTTAAATATCTATGTAATTAATTTGTTTTGTATAGTTTTGTTTCTATGTATGCATGTGTATCACATAGAGGTATATATATATATATGTGTGTGTGTGTGTGTGTGTGTGTGTGTGTACAGTTGAAGTCAGAATTATTAACCCCCTGAATTATTAGTTCACCTGTTTATTTTTTCCCAATTTCTGTGTAACGGAGAGCAGATTTCTCCAACACATGTCTAATCATAACAGTGTTAATAACTCATCTCTAATAACTGATTTATTTTCTCTTTGTCATGATGACAGTAAATAATATTGAATAAAAAATAATAATAAAATTGTGTTTAAAATGACAGATTTTTTGTTTAAAATAAACTGCTTTTATTCTAGTTGAAATAAAACAGATCAGACTTTCTCCAGAAGAACAAATATTATCAGACACACTTTGAACATTTCCTCAATCTGTTCAAGATCATTTGGTAAAAATCAAGAGAGGGGGGGGGGGGCTAATAATTCTGACTTGAACTGTATATATAAATCTATATATAATACACACACACATATATTAGGTCTAAACAAACGTTTGTTTTGGATGTGATTAATAGCAGTTAATCTTTGCCCAGCACTAATATTTACTTAAGCAATGACTAATTGTTGATCTGGATTAGGGGACCCAAACTCAGAAAGCATGGATGAACATTTAACAAGCATTGAGTAAGTCATCTGTGTACATGGTTTATTCCCCCAGGTGTAATGTGTCTGAACCATCCACAAGAGGGTGCTGCCTCCACGCTGACAGCTTTTGTCGACTCAGAGCAGATGCTCGTCATCCATGAGCTATACTTTCACACATTTCCTTCATATTTTGTTACTTTGAGTGAGATGCATGTGAACTGTTGAGTAAACTCACCATTTGATTGTGTTGCGTTGCACTGACAAACAAAAAAGAAAAAAGAACTGTTAAAAAAGAAACTTCTGACTTACTAAGATTGTATAATTTTGCAAACGTACAGAAGCATTTTTCTGGACTTACCTGTGCATTACCTGGACTCACCACCGATGCTGTAGACAGAGAAAGAAGAACATGCAGTTACTGTAATATTGAGACACTTGTGAACTTACAGAAATAATAAATGACCCTTAATAACATGCTATTGTTGTACATGCAGTTAGTTAAAGAGTAAAACAGAATATTGTTGATTAAAAATATTTACTTTTCAGACCCTGCAGGATTTTGTAAAAAAAAAACAACAACATTTTTCATAAGTAGAAAGACATTATAAAGCATTAAAAGCCATTTTAAACTCGTCACATTTAAGATCTGGTTTGTTTAAAAATCAATGATCTTATGAGATCTGATATGAAGTGTGTCTCACGCTGCACAAGAAGTTCTGCATTAAGTTCCATTATTTCATGCCATGTCTTTAAAATATGGGGAAACAAATTACTGCAGTATTTCAGTGGATTTTCTGCACTCTGTTTCTTCGCCTGTTTTCACACCTGTTTCTTCTGACAACACGTCTTTCATGCCATTTTACACTTGAACAACTTAATAAATGCTTGGCCTATGAAACTGACTGTATGTTGCATTATAGATGGTGTCAAAGGAACCATGTCAAATATCCGCTGGAATATAGCCTACTGTTAGAAAATGAATGCTAAGTCATCTGTGCTGCTGGATGGTGGATATATTTTATTTAATTGGGACAGTGGAGGTTACAGACAGAAACGTAGTGGGAGCAGAGAGAGGGGAAGGGTCAGCGAGGGACCTCGAGCCAGGAATGAAACTTGGGTTGCCGTGAGTACCTTAGTGTTATATGTCAGCACTCTTAACCACTAGGCTGTTGCCACTGTCACATTTAACCCTTATAAGTAGATGATTAGCAGCTGATACACCTCAAGTGACTTCATTCCAGCAGGCTTTAAGTGTGTGTAGAATCAATTTATGACTATGATGATATGTTTGAATATATAAACTATTGCAGATGGTGCTCTGTGGTAGCTGGAATTGAACTGTCCTCCCGTCTGCCCAAATTACGCTATAAATTTACTGAAATTTTAAAAGTTTGCTTAATTTTGTGTTACATTCAGTAATTGGGAAATCCTGGAGGGTCTAATTGAGTGATTGTGTGTGTGTGTGTGTGTGTGTGTGTGTGTGTGTGTGTGTGTGTGTGTGTGTGTGTGTGTATGTATCCACGTATTCTAAAAAATAAAACCAGTTTGATAGTTTTGCGATAATATTCCAGTACCCTTGATGATCTTAGACAGCGTTTATTCTGAATTTGTTGTGGATTAAGTGATGAAATAAAAAATAAATCATAATGTCTTCGAAGAAATTCATGGATTAAAACCCAAAAAGCCAGCATTTGTGTGAGTAGGAAAAGCATGCTTGTGGAATGTGAATAATTGTGTGACTCACGGATCCAAACACTAGTTAGGGCTGAGGGGTTTGTGTGGAAAGCATGTGTTGCTTCATCTGTTGCAGAAACACTGGGGTTTAGTCCTTCAGTAGTTACAGATTCTGTCTCTGGTGGATTTGAAGAGTTGACAGTATATTGGGTCGGATTTTTAATGGTTGAAGCTTCAATGATTGTAGAAACAGCATTTGTAGAAAGGCTAACTGCAGCTGTATATGTATTAGCTGTTGTTTCATGGATTTCAGTGTTTGGTTCTGCTGATAATTCAGTTGCGGGACTTTCGATAACAGTTGAAGCTTCGACTATGGTGGAATCATCATTTGTAGAAAGGCTAACTGTAGCTGTATGTGCTTCAGATGAAGAAGGAACATTAGCTGTTTCAGTGATTGTAGTGTTTGGTTCTGCAGATGTTTCAGTAGCTGAAGTTTCAGTAACAGTTGAAGCTTCATCTGCTGTGGAAACAGAATTTGTAGAAAGGCTAACTGTAGCTGTATGTGTATTGGCTGTTGTTTCATGGATTTCAGTGTTTGGTTCTGCAGATGTTTCAGCTGTGGGACTTTCGTTATTGGTTGAAGCCTCAACTATGGAGGAAACAGCATTTGTCGAAATGCTAACTGTAGCTGTATGTGCCTCGAGTGTACTAGGAACATTAACTGATGCTTCAGGGATTGTAGTGTTTGGTTCTGCAGATGTTTCCATTGCGGGACTTTCGGTAACAGTTGAAGCTTCATCTGTTGTAGAAACAGCATTTGTTGAAAGGCTAACTGTAGCTGTATGTGCTTCAGATGAAGAAGGAACATTAGCTGATGTTTCATGGATTTCAGTGTTTGGTTCTGCAGATGTTTCAGTTGTGGGACTTTCGTTATTGGTTGAAACCTCAACTATGGAGGAAACAGCACTTGTCAAAATGCTAGCAGTAGCTGTATGTGCCTCGAGTGTACTAGGAACATTAACTGATGCTTCAGTGATTGTAGTGTTTGGTTCTGCAGATGTTGCAGTTGCTGGACTTTCGGTAACAGTTGAAACTTCATCTGTTGTAGAAACAGCATTTGTTGAAAAGTTAACTGTAGCTGTATGTGCTCTGGTTGACGAAGGAACATTAGCTGATGTTTCATGTATTTCAGTGTTTGGTTCTGCAGATGTTTCAGTAGTGGGACTTTCGTTATTGGTTGAAGCCTCAACTATGGAGGAAACAGCATTTGTAGAAAGGCTAACCGTAGCTGTATGTGCTTCAGAGGAAGAAGGAACATTAGCTGATGTTTCAGGAATTGTAGTGTTTGGTTCTGCAGATGTTTCTGTTGCGGGACTCTCTGTAACAGTTGAAGCTTTATCTGTTGTAGAAACAACAATTGTTGAAATGCTAACTGTAGCTGTATGTGCTTCGATTGACGAAGGAACATTCGCTGTTGTTTCAAGGATTGTAGTGTTTGGTTCTGCAGATATTTCAGTTGTGGGACTTTCGTTATTGGTTGAAGCTTCAACTATGGAGGAAACAGCACTTGTCGAAATGCTAACTGTAGCTGTATGTGCCTCGAGTGTACTAGGAACATTAACTGATGCTTCAGGGATTGTAGTATTTGGTTCTGCTGATGATTCAGTTGCTAGACTCTCGGTAACAGTTGAAGCTTCATCTATGGTCGAAACAGCATTTGTAGAAAGGCTAACTGTAGCTGTATGTGCTTCAGATGAAGAAAGAACATTAGCTGATGTTTCAGGAATTGTAGTGTTTGGTTCTGCAGATATTTCAGTTGTGGGACTTTCGTTATTGGTTGAAGCCTCAACTATGGAGGAAACAGCACTTGTCAAAATGCTAGCAGTAGCTGTATGTGCCTCGAGTGTACTAGGAACATTAACTGATGCTTCAGGGATTGTAGTGTTTGGTTCTGCAGATGTTTCCATTGCGGGACTTTCGGTAACGGTTGAAGCTTCATCTGTTGTAGAAACAGCATTTGTTGAAAGGCTAACTGTAGCTGTATGTGCTTCAGATGAAGAAGGAACATTAGCTGATGTTTCATGGATTTCAGTGTTTGGTTCTGCAGATGTTTCAGTTGTGGGACTTTCGTTATTGGTTGAAGCCTCAACTATGGAGGAAACAGCACTTGTCGAAATGCTAGTGGTAGCTGTATGTGCCTCAAGCGTACTAGGAACATTAACTGATGCTTCAGTGATTGTAGTGTTTGGTTCTGCAGATGTTGCAGTTGCTGGACTTTCAGTAACAGTTGAAGCTTCATCTGTTGTAGAAACAGCATTTGTTGAAAAGTTAACTGTAGCTGTATGTGCTCTGGTTGACGAAGGAACATTAGCTGATGTTTCATGTATTTCAGTGTTTGGTTCTGCAGATGTTTCAGTAGTGGGACTTTCGTTATTGGTTGAAGCCTCAACTATGGAGGAAACAGCATTTGTAGAAAGGCTAACCGTAGCTGTATGTGCTTCAGAGGAAGAAGGAACATTAGCTGATGTTTCAGGGATTGTAGTGTTTTGTTCTGCAGATGTCGCAGTTGCTGGACTTTCGTTATCGGTTGAAGCCTCAACTATGGTGGAAAAAGCACTTGTCAAAATGCTAACTGTAGCTGTATGTGCTCTGGTTGACGAAGAAACATTCGCTGTTGTTTCAAGGATTGTAGTGTTTGGTTCTGCAGATGTTTCAGTTGTGGGACTTTCGTTATTGGTTGAAGCTTCAACTATGGAGGAAACAGCACTTGTCGAAATGCTAGTGGTAGCTGTATGTGCCTCAAGCGTACTATGAACATTAACTGATGTTTCAGGAATTGTAGTGTTTGATTCTGCAGATGTTTCTGTTGCGGAACTTTCGGTAACGGTTGAAGCTTCATCTGTTGTAGAAACAGCATTTGTAGAAAGGCTAACTGTAGCTGTATGTGCTTCAGATGAAGAAAGAACATTAGCTGATGTTTCAGGAATTGTAGTGTTTGGTTCTGCAGATATTTCAGCTGTGGGACTTTCGTTATTGGTTGAAGCCTCAACTATGGTGGAAACAGCACTTGTCAAAATGCTAGCAGTAGCTGTATGTGCCTCGAGTGTACTAGGAACATTAACTGATGCTTCAGGGATTGTAGTGTTTGGTTCTGCAGATGTTTCCATTGCGGGACTTTCGGTAACGGTTGAAGCTTCATCTGTTGTAGAAACAGCATTTGTTGAAAGGCTAACTGTAGCTGTATGTGCTTCAGATGAAGAAGGAACATTAGCTGATGTTTCATGGATTTCAGTGTTTGGTTCTGCAGATGTTTCAGTTGTGGGACTTTCGTTATTGGTTGAAGCCTCAACTATGGAGGAAACAGCACTTGTAGAAAGGCTAACTGTAGCTGTATGTGCCTCGAGCGTACTATGACCATTAGCTGATGTTTCAGGAATTGTAGTGTTTGGTTCTGCAGATGTTTCAGCTGTGGGACTTTCGTTATTGGTTGAAGCCTCAACTATGGAGGAAACAGCACTTGTAGAAATGCTAACTGTAGCTGTATGTGCCTCGAGTGTACTAGGAACATTAACTGATGCTTCAGGGATTGTAGTGTTTGGTTCTGCAGATGTTTCCGTTGTGGGACTTTCGGTAACAGTTGAAGCTTCAACTATGGAGGAAACAGCATTTGTAGAAAGGCTAACTGTAGCTGTATGTGCTTCAGATAAAGAAGGAACATTAGCTGATGTTTCAGGGATTGTAGTGTTTGGTTCTGCAGATGTTTCCATTGCTGGACTTTTGGTAACAGTTGAAGCTTCAACTATGGAGGAAACAGCATTTGTAGAAAGGCTAACTGTAGCTGTATGTGCTTCAGATAAAGAAGGAACATTAGCTGATGTTTCAGGGATTGTAGTGTTTGGTTCTGCAGATGTCGCAGTTGCTGGACTTTCGTTATCGGTTGAAGCCTCAACTATGGTGGAAACAGCACTTGTCAAAATGCTAACTGTAGCTGTATGTGCTCTGGTTGACGAAGAAACATTCGCTGTTGTTTCAAGGATTGTAGTGTTTGGTTCTGCAGATGATTCAGTTGTGGGACTTTCGTTATTGGTTGAAGCTTCAACTATGGAGGAAACAGCACTTGTCGAAATGCTAGTGGTAGCTGTATGTGCCTCAAGCGTACTATGAACATTAACTGATGTTTCAGGAATTGTAGTGTTTGGTTCTGCAGATGTTTCAGTTGTGGGACTTTCGTTATTGGTTGAAGCCTCAACTATGGTGGAAACATCATTTGTAGAAAGGCTAACTGTAGCTGTATGTGCCTCGAGCGTACTATGACCATTAACTGATGTTTCAGGGATTGCAGTGTTTGGTTTTGCAGATGTTTCTGTTGCGGGACTCTCTGTAACAGTTGAAGCTTTATCTGTTGTAGAAACAACAATTGTTGAAAAGCTAACTGTAGCTGTATGTGCTTCGGTTGACGAAGGAACATTCGCTGTTGTTTCAAGGATTGTAGTGTTTGGTTCTGCAGATATTTCAGTTGTGGGACTTTCGTTATTGGTTGAAGCTTCAACTATGGAGGAAACAGCACTTGTCGAAATGCTAACTGTAGCTGTATGTGCCTCGAGTGTACTAGGAACATTAACTGATGCTTCAGGAATTGTAGTGTTTGGTTCTGCAGATGATTCAGTTGTGGGACTTTCGTTATTGGTTGAAGCCTCAACTATGGTGGAAACATCATTTGTAGAAAGGCTAACTGTAGCTGTATGTGCCTCGAGCGTACTATGACCATTAACTGATGTTTCAGGGATTGCAGTGTTTGGTTTTGCAGATGTTTCTGTTGCGGGACTCTCTGTAACAGTTGAAGCTTTATCTGTTGTAGAAACAACAATTGTTGAAAAGCTAACTGTAGCTGTATGTGCTTCGGTTGACGAAGGAACATTCGCTGTTGTTTCAAGGATTGTAGTGTTTGGTTCTGCAGATATTTCAGTTGTGGGACTTTCGTTATTGGTTGAAGCTTCAACTATGGAGGAAACAGCATGTGTAGAAATGCTAACTGTAGCTGTATGTGCCTCGAGTGTACTAGGAACATTAACTGATGCTTCAGGAATTGTAGTGTTTGGTTCTGCAGATGTTTCTGTTGCTGGACTTTTGGTAACGGTTGAAGCTTCAACTATAGTCGAAACAGCATTTGTAGAAAAGCTAACTGTAGCTGTATGTGCTTCAGATGAAGAAGGAACATTAGCTGATGTTTCAGGAATTGTAGTGTTTGGTTCTGCAGATGTCGCAGTTGCTAGACTTTCATTGTTGGTTGAAGCCTCAACTAGGGAGGAAACAGCACTTGTCAAAAAGCTAACTGTAGCTGTATGTGCCTCGAGTGTACTAGGAACATTAACTGATGCTTCAGTGATTGTAGTGTTTGGTTCTGCAGATAATTCAGTTGCAGGACTCTCGGTAACAGTTGAAGCTTCAACTGTTGTAGAAACAGCATTTGTAGAAAGACTAACTGTAGCTGTATGTGCCTCGATTGAAGAAGGGACATTAGCTGATGTTTCAGGAATTGTAGTGTTTGGTTCTGCAGATGATTCACTTGCGTGACTTTCAGTAACAGTTGAAGCTTCAACAATGGTCGAAACATCATTTGTAGAAAGGGTTGTTGGTACAACAGTTGGTGTCGAAGGTTCTGCAGATGTTCTTTCAGTAGTTATTTTTGAATCTTCAGAGGCTGTGTTGACAGTGGTTGGCAGTGTCTCTGTCCTTTTGGATGTGGGAACATCAGTGGTTGTTTGATCTTTGTTCTGTGATTCAGTGCTCAGTGATCCAGGTGTAGTTGTCTGTGCGGCAATAGCTGTGGAAACAATTTGAATGTTTATGAGCATATAAATGTTTTTTCTTTTGACCTTTTCTTGAGATTCCTCTTCTTTGTCTTGTTTTGTTTTTTCTGTTGTTTGTTTTTTCAGTTGTAGAAGCAAAAGTAAGCTTTGGACTGATGGAATGGCCTTATGGGTACATTTGGTGGTTATTTATGTATTGATGTATTCACACACAGTCTGCATGTCATCTAGATCAATGGTTCCCAAGCTTTATCTGCCAGTCACCCATTTTATGGGGAACAACACATTTAGGCAGCCTCTCCCTGACCCAAATACACGCCACCCCTTAATGACCAATTCTTTTTAAATGTTTATTTTGCTTAACAATCTGCTGACTGTACACTATCCCTTAGTCTGACTGTGCCACTCAGTTCTGTATTGAGGCTCTTGGAGGACAGTGCAGTGTTTAAACTTGTGCCAAACCATCATGAGAGAGATGTTGTCATCAACACTCAAAAAAGCTTCTTTTTTTTACTTGTTAAAACTAATTTCTTGTTCACCTACTAATTCTTGATATTTCATTAGGACAACTTAATTTTTTTATATTCAATCCACATAATTTTGTTAAAGTGTTAAGGTATGAATAGTGTGGAAGCCTACATTTTTTACTGTGAAGAGTAACAGATTCGATTGGTTCAGCAAATACTCCCCAGTGCCCCACTGGTTCTGTTTATCATTTACGCTCCTGTGTCTCCACTGGTTTTGTCGAGCAATAGCGCTCTTGTGCCCCTGCTGGTTCTATTCAGCAACAAATTCCATCTACTCCTACTTGTTCTGTTCAACAATGATGCTTCTGTGCTCCTGTTGGTTCTATTCATCAATGACTCTCCTGTGTCCCCACTGGTTCTGTTCAGCAATGATGCTCCTGTGTCCCTGCTGGTTCTGTTCAGTAATAACTCTCCAATCCCCCCCTCTGGTTCTGTTCAGCAATGACTCTCCTGTGCCCCCTCTGGTTCTGTTCAGCAATGACTCTTTAATCTCCATGCTAGTTCTGTTCAGCAATGACTCTCCTCTTTACCCACTGGTTCTGTTCAGCAGTGATGCTCCTGTGCTCCTGTTGTTTCCATTCAGCCCTATTTCAACATTTTCTGTCCTGCAATGACTATATCCTGTTCTCAACAGTTAAAATGTGTCAAGCCCTGAACTCTTGGTCTGAGCAGTATCCAGCTCAGCCCTCCCTCTCCTCTCCTACTTGTATCTGTTCCCTCCATCCCTCCAGCCAGTCCACCAGCCTGTCCAGAGCGGAAGATTCCACCTCAATTCTTCAACCCAGTGGTTCTACCTTGGCTTACCTCTCATCTCTACCTGGGCCCATCATCCCACCAGCTCAGCCATGCTCTGTTTGTCTCTCCAGCTTGCCTTTGTCACTTGTTGCACTTCTTCGACTTTTGGATTATGCCTTATATCCATCAGCTGCGTCTCCAATGGTCATCCCCCATGAGTTATTAGCCACTCCTCCCCAAGGCTCCTCCTCCCTTAGACCCTCCTGGCTCCTCGTGTGGTTACGCCCCCCTCCCTCTACAGTTGTTCCTGTAGGTGTGCTGAAATGCCTTTCTAGAGGGGACTTGTGACCTGGGACTCTTTATGTTTTCGTTTTCCTTTGTTTTGTATTCAGTTAATCAGTCTGTGTATTTATGTCTGTTTTCCCATATATCTTGGTCTATTTTCATCGTTTTCCTTTCCCCGTCCTTCTGTTCTGCCCTCTGAAGCTTGAATGTGTGCGCTGGTTTGTGCTCCCAAAGACATTTAAATAAGTGTGAATTAATCTTTTTTTATTACTATGTCCTCATTACTCCTGCAGCACATATGGGACACTATGGGAATACACCATCTAAGCGACAGACATCAGAGCACGCTAAACTGAAATAAGCACCATGTTTAGGCTCACAATCTCTAATGACTTCAGGACCTGTGGAGCTGCGCATCGATGGATTTGCTCTTCAGTGTTTAAACTCTCAGCAGTGAAGATTAAGTGGTTTAATTTTAAACTAATTTCGAGAGGAGCACGTTCTCATGACTGACCCAGCTGGCCCACGTTAGCTAATCATAATCCTCCAATCAAAGGATCCAAAGTCACTATATATATCCTCATTTCCTTTCTACAGCTATCTTCATCTGGAGGAATCCCCCCTCCTCCCCTTCTTCCACCTTTATCTAGAATGGGCGGCACGGTGGCTCAGTGACTAGCACTGTTGCCTCACACTAAAAATACCAATGGTGTTGGGTCCTTGCTGGGCCATCTTGTATTTCTATGCGGAGTTTGTATGTCCTCCTCGTGTCCGCTTGGGTTTCACCAGGGTTCCCCGGTTTCCTCCCACCATCCAAATGTGCTCTATATTATAGATGAAATAAGCCTTAATCTTTTTTCTAATGTCTTACTCTCAGGAAGTTCACCTTGGCCTCAGCAGTGAGAGAGTTTGAGATTGACCTGAGCTTAATCTTCTCTCGCCCTACAAAAGCAGGGAGCCCTGGGCCCGAGGATTTCTTGAGCACAGGGCTCTCCACCGGGACAGCATGCCAAACTAGCTATGACTTTATGTTGAAAACTGAAAACACACAGGCAGTGATGTAGAACTGGAGTACTGATGAGTGCTGGATAGAGCTGCTGCTGCTCAGTGTAATGAAGAGATCTTCAGGCCTGCTCCTGACAACTCTCTCTCTTGCAAATTATTCCTGCTTCTGCACACCTCTGTGTGTGTGTGTGTGTGTGTGTGTGTGTGTGTGTGTGTGTGTGTGTGTGTGTGTGTGTGTGTGTGTGTGTGTGTGATGACCCTGAAGAGCCTGATCTGCTGCTTCTGCTGTGTTTTATCAGGGCTGGAGCTGATCTCTGCAGGATAGAGCATCCCTAGGGGCAGAGCTGAACGTCTCTGATGTAATAAATGCTGAGGGCATTTTAAACATCTCTTAAATTCTTTTCCCCACCACATCTTAATTTGTGCAGGACATTTGTGGTCCAATGTTGTTCTTTTTTTACATACATCTTTATTTAGCTTTATTTACAAAGCACAAGTAAATATTGCCCTTTCGCCTGGCCAGCTTCACTGAGGTCAGGGTGGGTTTCAGATTCCCACATTGACTCATTTTAGAGCAGAGACTGCAGGTGACACGCTCACTATATAGTTTACCATGTTACTTTGAGTACTGGGTCTGGAATAGCGTTAGCAAGACTTCAAAACAACATTAGCACTGTTGAACTGACATGAGTGATGCTGTTCTTGGAGAGACTTTGGCTGATAATACAATATAAATGCCCCCGTTTAGAGGGCAGCACAGATCAGCAATCCTCGCATGCATCAGATATCACACAGTATGACAACGTCTGCTTGCAACACAACTGAAGATGTGCTCGATAGAATACAGCTTATCCTGGAGGGCTTTATGTTAGGCATTGCAGTATTGTACGTAATGTACAGTCTTCCGACCGGCCAATGACCACATCCAGAGTTATAAGTCTATGGTCACTTATTGGAGGTGTGTTCATGACTTCAGGAGGCGTGGCTTTGGGCACCAGGGAGGGACGTGTGTTTTCAATGCTAATATGCTAATGTTAGCATTTTCTCAGATCTCCTACAGCACATTTAGCACACATAGACACATCCCCTTCTCTGGAAGGACACTGTATAACTGGAGGATAACTCTACACTGTATACTCTATACACTATACACGACCCCGTCCCTGTTCTGATTTGGATTGTAATGCAGTCCTGTGCACTTCTGTAAAGCTGCTTTGAAACAATAATGATAGTGAAAGCGCTGTACAAACACTAAACATCACTACTACTGAATATTAAAGCTAAACTAATGACAGATCTTGAGGAGGACACATGTCCAGAACAATGTAGTGTTGTGGAGAACATACACTCTCACAACTCTGTGCAGCACGCACGTGTGTGTGTGTGTGTGTGTGTGTGTGTGTGTGTGGAGAGAAGCTGTGTGTATGTGTATAGTGCATGTGTCTCTGTGTTTGTGTATTGTGCGTGCTTGTTTGTGTGATTTAAGAGGACATGTTTGTATATTGGCATGGTATTCTCCAGCTATTATAACACTGCGCTGGTTTATGAGGACGTGCCTTGTGTCCTCGAAATGTAAAATCATATTGAACAGGTTTTTCACACTCAGTATCTGCCACAGATTCCCTGTGAGGGCTGGGTTCATGTGTAGGGGCGGTTTGAGGCCATGTATTATTGTTTGAAATATGCTACCACCAATACCAACGTGTGTGTGTGTGTGTGTGTGTGTGTGTGTGTGTGTGTGTGTGTGGGTCCGTCATATAATGAAGAGATGCGCTTACCTATGTGACAGCTCAGGTGACTGACAGCAAAGTAAATGACAAACTGTAAGTGTGTGTGTGTGTGTGTGTGTGTGTGTGTGTGTTAGTGTGTCTCACTCACCCACACAGAGGGCCGATAGTAATATCAGTCTGCCGGTCATGATGCTCTTTCTCGTGTTGTTCTCAGTTCATCATTTTTGCTGCAAGAGTGAAAACACATGATGGGACCATGTTCACCAACACACACACACACACACACACACACACACACACACACACACACACACACACACACACACACACACACACACATTTCTGGCAACTCTGAGTTCTCCAAATTCCCGTTGTGTCGTCTTGTCATTGAGAACAGACAGGAGCTGCAGCCGTCTCTATATTTGATCAACTGTACGCTCACAGTGCGGCTCCTTCAGCATTGTTCAGCTGTGATAAGCACGTAATTAGCGAGTCTGTCTGTTTGCTGCAGTTTCACTCCTTCAGGGATCTTATAGATCAGAGGTGAACATCAGTTATCAGTGTTAGTCATGTGCATTGACACTTGATCATTTCTATTTTTAACTCTTGTCTCAGGAGTGCAGATCTGAACACATCAAACAGCCACAGAAAACCACCAGCGCTCATCAGCGGATGAACAGAGCTGAAAGTCAAGCGCATGCACGCGTCAGAGCGGCTCCATGATCAGCGATACGTTCTGTGATTTTATAAACACTTATTAAATTAAATTAAATTAAATGCAAAAATTAAATTAAACTTCTGGAAAACACACACACACACACACACACACGCACACACACACACACACGCACACACGCACACACACACACACACACACACACACACACACACATGCACACGCACACGCACACACACACACACACACACACACACACACACACACTGTATATGGAATAAAAACAGTTGAAGTCAGAGTTATTCGCCCCCTTTGTTTTTGTTTTCTTTGTTAAATATTTCCCCGATGGTGTTGAACAGATTGAGGAAATGTTCACAGTGTGTCTGATAATGTTTGTTCTTCTGGAGAAAGTCTGATTTGCTTTATTTCGACTATAATAAAAGCAGTTTTTAATTATTTAAACACCATTTAGGAACAGTATTATTAACCCCTTTAGGCTGTATTTGTTTTTGATAGTCTCCAGAACAAACCATCATTATACAATGACTTGCCTAATTACCCTAACCTGCCTAGTTACCCTAATTACCCTAGTGAAGCCTTTACATGTCACTGTAAGCTGTATAGAAGTGTCTTGAAGAATATCTAGTCTAATATTATTTACTGTCATCATGACAAAGAGGAAATAAATCAGTTATTAGAGATGAGTTATTAACACTGTTATGATTAGACATGTGTTGGAGAAATCTGCTCTCTGTTACACAGAAAATGAGGAATAAAATAATCAGGGGGTGAATAATTCTGACTTTAACTGTATATATTGACGTAAATCATTATTTGCTATTTCATTAATGTGAAAGTTTAAGAGAATAAAGCCAAGCGCAGTGTTAGACAGAAGAGTCAGCGCACACGCTTATGCATCAGTCACATGTAGACACGGTGAGCGGTTCCACAATACAGTCCTCAATGAAAAGAGCACATCAGTTTCACTCTTCACCTCTTAGTTAATTTCACACACTGTTACTAATCTAACTTACTACTGCATTAAATACTTGATTATTACAGTAGGATGATTATATTTGTGTGCTCTTCTGTAAAGCGCTGCAGTCCTTTCACTGATCTTCAGCTTATTCTAATTCCAGATAATATTCATTTAGACATCATATCATGCAGAGATGCGCTTACCTGTGTGACAGCTCAGGTGACTGACAGCAAAGTGGATGACAAACTGTGTGTGAGTGTGTGTGTGTGTTGGTGAAAGAGAGAGTTTGGGTGTGGCTGCTAATTAAGGTGACTGCCGCCCAAATGTATATCCTTATGGTCACACACACACACACACACACACACACACACACACACACACACACACACACACACACACACACACACACACACACACACACACACACACACACACACACACACACACACACTCTGTCTCTCTCTCTCTCTCTTTCTCTTTCTCTCTCTCACACACACACACACACACACACACACACACACACACACACACACACACACACACACACACACTCTGTCTCTCTCTCTCTCTCTTTCTCTTTCTCTCTCTCACACACACACACACACACACACACACACACACACACACACACACACACACACACACACACACACACACACACACACACACACACACACACACACACACACACACACACACACAGAGATGTTGGGTTTTCATGTTTTATGGGGATCCCCTTATCTGTAGTATGTCTGTATACCTCCTCGTCTCCTCCTAAACCCACAGCATACACTCTGCCCTTTACACCTCCACACTCCTTCATTCAGCCAGATTAATGATGCAGAGCTGAGATTTGAGCTGGGGATCTGTTGTTTGTTACTGAAACTTCATCAGACTTAATCTGTTTCTGACTGAACCTATCAAACATCTGCCAGTATTGGCTGAACCGGCTTTAAGTGTGTGTGTGTGTGTGTGTGTGTGTGTGTGTGTGTGTGTGTGCGTGTGTGTGCGTGCGTGTGTGTGTGTGCGCGCGTGTGTGTGTGACCCACACACTTGGATGTTTCAAGTATACCAAGTAAGACCTTGATTAGCTTGTTCAGGTGTGTTTAATTAGGGTTGGAGCTAAAATTTGTTGGACACCGGCCCTCCAGGAACAAGTTTGGTGACTCCTGCTTTAGATTCAGGATTCTTTATTCTCGCAGAAAAATCTATGAGTTGAACAGAAAGCAGCACCACAGAGAGGGAACTGATCCAGAACAAGCATGGGCCGATAACTGTGTGCAAATCAAATCAAATCACTTTTATTGTACATCATCAGCAGCGTGTGGGCTATGATGAGTGAAAAGCTTAGGTGATGCTCCAGACTGTGCAAAATACAGACACTGCAAATACAACGACAATGTGAGATTGGCAGCGATGTGTACAATGAGTAGGTGTCCACTATCCAGGGCAGTGGTGTTTCAGTATGGGCTGGTTAAAGGGCAGTGCATGCTACATATTGATGGTGTGCAGTGAGGGGTGTGGAGGAGTCTGTGTGTGTGTGTGTGTGTTCATCAGCCTGATAGTCTGAGGGCAGAAGCTCTCCTCTAGTCGGCTGGTGTGTGACCGGATGCTGCGGAACCGTCTGCCTGAGGGGAGCAGAGAGATGAAGTCTATGGCTTGGGTGGATGGAGTCGCTGATGATTCTCTTGGATTTCTTTATGCACCGCCTGGTGTAGATGTCCTGGAGGGAGGGAAGATCCCCTCTTACTACACGTCCAGCAGTTCACACAATCCTATGTGGGCTTTTGCTGCTGCTGCTGTTTCCATACCATGTTCGAGGAATACCGCAGTTTGGAAAAGTCAAGTTTAAAACCATCAAAATGTTCTGTTATATCATTCCTAAGGTGTGTGTAAGATTTTTATTTGCATTTTTGTTTCAGGAAAACAGAATGTCCCGCAGAAAAGATCTGTGAAGATGCTGTTTCACATTGTAAAGAAATCTGAGTTAATAACCAATGAAGACAGCAGACGTCAGGGATTCAGTCTAATTATTCAGCCTGACATGCTCACTGCTCCAAACGGTTATAAACCTCTTAAGAAAATAAATATATTGTGTTCAAAGAGAAAAACATTTAGTTTTTTACTCAGACATTTAGAAAGAGTGTATTTTACAGCAGTGAGCACAACACTGTCAAACCGTGCAAACATTCGATTAGAAACAAGGGTATCAAACCGCCAGAGTCTTATACCGGCCCATGCCTAATCCAGAACCTTCCCCTCTGGCAAATGAGTCACTTAATATCCACAATAACATCAGAATCAGGAGCACTTCTCCCGTTTAGAAATAATAATAATAATAGTGATAACATCAATAACCTTACAGTGTTATTCAAGTGTTTCTGTCATGTGTCACTGAGCTGGAATTCCCTTCTAATAAAACATCTGTGTGTGTGTGTGCGCGTGTGTGTGTGTGCGCGCGTGTGTAGTTTCTCCAGGAATGTGGATCTTCAGGTCTTTGTGAATTTAACAGCTGTTTGAGAAATGAATCACACAAATAAAAGCATTGAGTTACCAAAGATGCAAACAGATCCACACCCAGGATTCTTGGAGCGGCTCCAGGAGTTTGGGTAACTTTTTGAGTTTTAGAAGAAACCTGACGTCACGAGCTGCATTGTGAACACACACACACACACACACACACACACACACACACACACACACACACACACACACACACACACACTGGTGTTCCAGTGTTTTCTGTTGATCATTGTTGATCACCTCAGTCTCTCTCTCTCCGTCTTGTTGAGCTTTGCTTTAGTTATTGTCGTCTGCCTCATCCTCCAGTTCAGCTAATTGGTTGCTCTTGTGTATAAATATATATATAAACACCTTCATGAGCCGCTTGTTGCTAGTTGCTTGTGTTTCTACCGTGATGTCTGCTTGTCCTTTGCTCTGCTTAGTTTTTGTTTTGATATTTGATGTGCAAACTACACATTACTCTGAACTAATGATGAGTTAATGGATCCTCCACTAACTTTACAACACGAGTGACGAAAGTTCACATGTCAATAACAGTGACCTTAATAACAGTGACCTTAATTACTTGTTATTTCATGTTGTTATTTAAAGTATTAATTAAGATTTAAGTTTAAGCTAAACGTAACCCTCATGACCTTATGAGCTGTTAGTGTGTGATTATGTCATGACTTTACTTGGAGGGGCACATCCTCATCCACTCATCTTTAACTCCTCATCATCTCCTGGATTTAATCGGTTGATGTTGACTGAACACTCTTCTATTGTTACTCAGTGTAAAGCTGCGGTCACACTAGAGTTTGAGCATGCCATATTCTGTTGTACGGCGCTGCCAAAAGAAATGTGACATCTTCTGTCCAGAGAGCTCATGTTCTGATCCTCGATTGGTCTCACGCAGTCAAGTGATGCGATTTAGCAGGTCAGAGTTCTCCAAGCTTGAACTTTACACCGCAGCAACCTGCGAAACTTAACGCAACCCGATCACAGAGATCCCGGTCACCTGAGCATTCTTTAGTCCTGCACCTGCATGTCATTCCCGCTCATCTCTCCGGCACCATAAACACCCTCAGCAGCCCTCGCTCAGTGTCCGGCCTCATTAAGGACAGCACTCTCTACACCACAAGAGTCAAATCCAGTTCCCAGAGGCTGCAGCTCTGCGCTCACATCGCACTTTCCTCACATAGACTTCCATTCATACACACGTGAATGCGTCAGACTGGAAACGCAAGGTCGTGTGTCAAGCTTCTCAGATCACTGCATTGAAAAGTTCAAGCTTGGTGAACTCTGACCTGTGAAATCGCATCACTTGAGACCAATCGAGGATCAGAACATGAGCTCTCTGTACAGGGACTAAAACATGGAGCAATCACTCGCTTTTTATTTACAGCGAGTTTAATCCCGTCCCTTTCACAGCGCTGTACGACAGAATTGCGCAAACTCAAACTCTAGTGTGACTACAGCTTAGGGGTGTAGAAGCAGGGTTGCAGAGCTACGGCCCTCCAGGAACTGGACTTGACACCTGTGCTCTATACGGCCTCTTACCTGTCTCTTGTTGCCTGTGATCTCCAGCGTCTGCGTCTCTCCTTCATAGTGTGGTTTCTCCTGGTCGCTCCTCTACTTGTCTGTGTTCCTGGTTCCTCTGAGATCTCCTCTGGTCATCCGTCTCCATCCTGCACTTCAGCTGTATTGAGTTCTGTTCACCCTGTCATCCTTTACAATGAACTGATGTTACACTACACGTCTCTGGCTCCCCTCACTTCATGTGGCACACAGAGGCTGCAGATCTTGATGGTCAGCTCTGACTCTCTTGATGACTTGCTTGCGTCTTGTTTTCAAAGTGGCTTGTATGCACTGTCTGCACACACACACGCACACGCACACACACACACACACACACACACACACACACACACACACACACACACACACACACTGACTCTAGAAAGAAGAGCGGCACTGACTGACAAACCTTTTCTCCTTCATCTGTTTGCAGGGTGGTGTATATGCAGCGGCCCTAAACACCGCTATCTCTCTCTCCTGTTAAGCAGACTCTGTCAGGGACTCTGATCTGTTCTAGATTCTGACAGAAAAAGCTCACGTTTGCCTCATCTTCTTTAATGTGGGCTTGGCTGATCAGATGAATGAGGTCTGATACCAATCTGTGCATATCAGAACATGTGGAAACCATCAGACGTCACTTCCTCTGAATGTGTGTGTGTGTGTGTGTGTGTGTGTGTGTGTGTGTGTGTGTGTGTGTTTGAATAATGAACTGGAGTTGATTATTCAACACATAATATGTGAATGGCCGACAGCTTTCTTCTTCCAGTGAGGATTATGTCAATCGCTTCTTTCTGCCCAGCAAAACAATAATAAGAGTTCTGCTGACGCTGGAGACACAAGCCAGACCAGGGAGACCCGTCAACCAGCAGGATCCAGTACTCTTTATTCCACACTGTGACTCAATACAAGCAAACAGGATCAAGAAGAGACCTCCAGAGCAAGGATCAGTACCCACAATAACAATGACAGCCAGCGGGCCACGCAGAGAGGTCTGACGAGAGAGGAACCGGACAGTACCGGACTGAATGAGTGTGTCTGACAGCAGCAGAGCCTTCATACAGGTGACTGAAACACGCTGCGGTGGTGACCGCTACTGACTCAGCTGATGGACCCGCACGCTGTCAGGGGAAAGGTGAACAAACACACCCACTCCACTGAATCAGAATGAGAACACACATCATGAAC